AGTTTTTCTTATATTAATTAGTGCTTATTTAGATTATCTTACTCTGTTGTAAGGAGTCAATCACAATGAAAATTGTAGTTCCTTTTTATGATAGTTACATTGCCATATACAATGGTTTGATCTCAACAAAATAAGAAATAGTTATTGTCTGGGATTTTACTTAGATCCTACTACTTTTTTTATGCAAATTTCATTTTTGGCATGAAAAATGATTTAGTACAATGGTGAACGTGTTTGTTAATATCATTCCTAAACATAGTCAATTTTCTTAACATTGCTTCTTTTGAAATCAATTCTACCAAAATCTAAACCTAACAGAACCTCAGTCAATGTCTGTATATTATGTGTATATATAATCAATGTATGCATGACATACTTGTGTAAGAGTAAAAGTGGAAGTGTCAGGTTAGGTAAGTAACTGGAATGGTTATTTTCTATTGAAGAAAGGTGAAATGATTAGATTAGTCTTGTGGACTACTTAATTATTTTTTATCACTTTTCAATTGCTATTTAAGAGTCAGTTGGCTAATATTTTTCATTTGTATGGTGTTTACAAAGATTGAACTGAGTAATTACTTTTTATCATTTAACTTAAGCACCGCTTGCTATCAGGTCTTTTTGATCAAATCATACATTCTGCGGATAACATAGACATCCAGGAATTATTCAAGCATCTTCATCCCATGGTAAATGATTTAACATAAGCTGTAATTTGAATTTCTATGTTTGTGATAAAAGGAGTTAAAGGAAGTTATATGTAAATTTCATTTCCCAGGAGATGTTGGGCTTGCCGATATTAGAAGGAACCAATCCAGCATCGTATTTTCCTTCTATTGTCATTGGTTATGAGGCAGCTTGCTACAGTCGTATATGGAGTGAGGTTTGAATAACATGCTACTTCTTTTGTGTTACCCTTGTCAAAATTGATAATAGTTTTGATTGCAAACATCTTTTAATTTTTAATCATTCATATGTATTCTTCTCACTTTTTTGAATATTTATTTCTGGAAAAATTCTTCCCTAATAATTGAGTTTGAAGAATTAAAACTGAAACCTAAAATATTTCAGGTTTTTGCTGCTGATATATTTGCCTCAAAGTTTTGCAATGATGTCTCAAACCAGCATGCTGGCATACAGTTCAGAAACAAGGTAACTGATAACACGGGCATTCTTTTCTTCCTCCCAAAATTATATTGACTTTTATATGAAAATTGTACCAAAAATTCATTCCTAAAATTTTCATTCCCAGTTTCACGTTGTTCTAATTGTTATAAGAAGAAAGATCACATGCAGCAATTTAAGCGGATCTCAGATTGCGACTGTTAAGTTTAGTAGTTTTATTCGCGTGCTTGATTTAAAACATTTGCAGGTATTGGCCCTGGCTGGAGCAAAGGATCCTATTGAAGTGTTATCTGACTTTCTAGGAAGAAAACCATCAATTCAAGCTTACGTTGAGACCAAATCTAAGTATGCTTTGTAAGCCTTTTTCGCCGAGCATGTATATTGTCAATCTTCCTTTCCTAGTATTACTTTTAGTCTATTCACGGTTTACTTCTGATTTTTTGGGAGCACTGATTTTCATTGAAAATCCATAGCTGTGTAAAAATGAGTATTTTATTTTTATTATATAAAAAATTAATAAAAAATGTGTGCATGTATATGTGTGCGCCATTGCATGCATTTAGCTGTATTTAATAAGATGTAAGATAAATTAATTTTAATCATATAATTATGGTGGTTTGATTTTATTTAAATTTAAATTTAACTATTTAGAATTGGTATGATCAAAATAAATTTTTTTCATGAAAAGATACTTTCACATATCAAAATAAGCACGCACCCATTAGCACACTGCCAAATATTTAAGAATTAGTACTTGAATAAATAAATGTCGAATACTTCAAACATCAATTAATTTATTATGGACATCGTATCATGTATGCTAATTCTTATCATTTTTTTGTCTTCTAAAATTGTTATATTTATGGACACATTTATTTTGCATTAAAAAATTATTATATTTTAAATAATTATTTTTGAACGAATCCTGTAGGATCTATTTGGATTATAAATTGTGGTTTAAATTAATTCACGATTTCAAATTTTATATATGTGGATATGTAAAGAGTTAGATTTTATTAGATTTAAGTTGTACAATTCACTTTTAAGAATTTATTCAATACATCATAACTAATAGTATATTAGATTCCTTCTCTTTTGAGATATTAAAATGTATTACAATTTAGTTTATTTAATATAAATGATTTTTTAAATTTGTATGATTCTTCGCATTATTAATAATTAATTTTAAATATTTTAATATAATTTATTCATTAAATGGACTAACTCTCTAACTTGATTCAAAATAGACTAAATGCAGGCCAATAATTTTATAAATTGTTCATTTCGTGACTCAACTGAATTCAGCCCATTTAATAGTGGATTATTGTAAAATTGAATTTATACGACGTGTTTGGTCGATTTATGCAACCCTAAGTAGAATCATCGACAGAGAAGACATTCGTGTGGACGATGTTTGGCTGTTGGACGTGTTGAAGTATTAACAGTTATAGTTGTATTGTAGGAAAAAGCAGGGCAGTGAGCAATTCTAAAAGCATACTTACCTGTAAGTATAATTGACAGAAGTAGGCAATCTTTATGAAATAATAACATGAAGGCATTTTGAGAAGTAACAAATTAATTGACTGAAGTGAAGGTTCAGATTTCTCTCTTTTCCATGTATTTTTTTTTAATTTTAATTCAAAAGGTATAAATTATTATTTGAATTTAAATAAAAATTAACAATCTTGGTTTTAATTAATACAATCCGCTTTTCGTGTTTGAACGCGTTTTTGGTTGGTAAGTTAGCAAGTACAAGTTCGGAAGATTCCATCGATCTTGATCGAAGAGGAAAATAAAGCGTGGAATGGAATGGAACGAATATTCTGAATGGAATGAATTGAAACAGTAATTGATATAAATAACTATTTTGCTAATTAAGAAAGTTTTTTAATATGATTATTTAGTCTTTTAAATAAATAAATATTTTACATAATAAATAAGATTAGAATTTTCATCTTTTAATTTTTTTAGTTTGATCTTTTTTTTTCTTCCATTTTAGTCTTCTATGTTCATTTATTTTTGTTTGTTCTTTTATTTTTTGTTTCATCTTTGTTCTCTAATTTTTTAATGTTAATCAAATAACTCATTTTTATTAGTTATATTTATTTTTTAATTACATTTTTTTATTTTTAAAAATTATTATCATTGTTATTTTTCTTTTTATTTAATTGATGTAAGTAAATGTACTTAATAAAAAAATATTAATTGATATTTGAAAGTTAAAAACTAAATTCAAATAAAGAAGTTAAAGAGTTAAATAAAAATAAGAATAAAAAAAATCAAGTATTAATTTTATCTAATAGTTACTATTTTGGTGATATGCAGATACAAATAATTAGTATTCAGAACTTCTTGCATCTTATTGTTGTATTGGTTCGTTAGTCTTATTATGATAAAAAGAGATATTTAATAGTAGTTATTTTAAAAATCATACACTCACATTTTACATCCTTGGTCGATTGTAATATTTATATCTGTTTCAATTTAAATTTTGTGAAAGTTTCAATTTCAAGAAAAAAATTATTTGTTTTATTTTTTTATTTATCGTCTAAGATTTTGTGCACAAATTAAGAAATACCATTAATATGGTATGATTTTTTAAAATATTAATACATCTTTAATTTATTTTATCTATTCTCCATGATAAAATTTTAAGTAAAGTAGTAATTAATGTGATATTTTAGTATTTTCAAAATCTAATAAAGTATTAATTATTTTCTTGGAATTTTATCATTGTTCTTTTTTTTTTTGGGTATTTTTACCAACTAAATCAAAATATATTGACATCAGTTTTTCAAATTATACTGTGATAGTTTAATATTACTCTTTATAATTGACGTTAACAAAATAATGATTATAACTAATGTAATGATTAGCATCATTTATGAACAACAATTTACGGCAATGGTGAAATTATTATATATTATGATACAAAAGCGTACGATGAAAGTGTCTACGAAGTTTAGCTCTTGTAGGCTTTTAGCTACCATCAAATTTAAACTGCAAAGTGAAAATCTTGGAAAGGTAAGTCGATTTTTGGCCGTCAAAACAGTGTTGTGTGTGCTTAAAGCCTTAAATGCATCATTAATTAATAGATAAGAAAGACGAAGAATATTAACTCACAATTTTTTTATTAGGTAAAATTTATTAAAAACTAAAAAATATGTATATTTAAACTTTTTTTATTTCAAAATTTAATATTTTATATTTTTTAATTAATAATATTAAACTTCAAGAAAGGTTTACGACGTCGTCTTAGGTGTTTGACATGTTCGTTTGTCTGGCGTATCGTTTGGAATTTGAATGCCCCGTTCATTTGCGTTTTTCTGCTGACTTTAAATTGGTCGAAATTCACAAATTGTACTGATTTGACTACTTCTCAAATCATCATAATTAAAAACACTAAATTCTCAGGTCAACAAACAACAACCCCGAAGACAACAAAACCGTGTTTGCTTCGTGCAATGTCTTTTTCTTTACCATAATTATAACCATTTTAATAATCATTACCTTCGGCTTTAACAATACATTAGCTAAAAATGCTTTAGTAATATCAATGTTTGTATTTTTAGTAAAAAAAAGTATTCTCAATATCCTATAAAATAAATATTAAATGTATTTAATATTTTCAAAATCTAAAACATTCAACGCTCTTTTGTTTAATAAGTAAAAGAACTATTTATTACAAGAGTTGAAATATTATTATTATAATTTTAACATAATCGACCCCAATATAATTACAATTATTTTATTCTTTCTTCTTTTTCTTGTGATTATTAATTTACAGTTGGTACATGCTTGCACCGCATGTGCTTGTTCCGACATTTTCTGGAGTATATTCCAATTATTTAAATTTTAGATTATCTACTGATACTTTCGAAGTTGAAATTCCCGTTTAGTTTTTAACAAATTCGAAAAAAATATTTGTGGAAAAAAGAAAAAGAAAAAGGGAAATCTACAGAACATTCTTCGCCTTGCTCTCGCTTTTCAAGCCGAACAACGGAGAAGATTGGGTTTCTGAAATTTTTGAATTCTGAAACTCGCGTCACTGTGATTGTGATCATCGACGTTGATCTCTGGTTCCACCCTCAGTGTTGGTGATCGTAAAGGTGAATTCACTTTTCACGAACAGAGTCTGCGTCATCGAATTGGGTATGCTTCATCACTATGGGTAGAATCAGAGAACTGGGTTTTCTTCTGATAACCGAATAAGCAAAAGGGTTTTGTTCTTTCCCCTTTTTTACGCCAACCCCATAATCGTAGCAGTGCACAAACATTAACATTTGTGTCTGGTTGGTTCTGAACATTATGGTTCTATGTTGTTGAAGCCAATTGCGTGATTCTTCATCAGGGATTTTTCTTTTTCTTTTTTTTTATTGTTATTATTATTATTGTTTTCAGATTAGAAGAAAGGGTTAAGGGTTGTGGCGTGTTTGTTTGATGAATTATGTTCAAACAGATATTAAGTAAACTCCCTCGAAAGTCATCAAAAGGTTCGGAGCATCGTGAACATGGTGGAAGTGGAAGAAGCCATGGTGTTACCACTTCAAAAAGTAGTGATCTTGTTGTGCCAGGAAGTAGCAAACCTGGAAATTCTTCTGCTTTGAATGTGGGTCATAATCATGGTAACAGGGTTCCATTACCATTGGTTGTGAAAGAGAACCCAAATGGGAATTTCAGTTCTTATGAAGCATCATTGCCTGCGTTCAGGGATGTTCCCAATTCTGAGAAGCCAAGCTTGTTCATCAAGAAGCTTAGGATGTGCAGTGTGGTGTTTGACTTCACTGACCCCGCAAAGCACCTCAAAGAGAAGGAAATTAAGAGACAGACCTTGGTGGAACTGGTGGATTATGTGACTTCTGCTAATGCTAAGTTCACTGAGAATGTGATGCAAGAAGTTGTGAAAATGGTGTCTGCAAATATATTCAGGACGCTTAGTCCTCAACCGCGCGAGAATAAGATTGTTGATGGCCTTGATGTGGAGGAGGAGGAGCCTTCAATGGATCCTGCTTGGCCTCATTTGCAAATTGTGTATGAGCTTTTTCTGAGATTCGTGGCATCGCCTGAGCTGGATGCAAAGCTGGCTAAGAGGTATATTGATCAGTCCTTCATTTTGAGGCTGTTGGATTTGTTTGACTCCGAAGATCCGAGAGAGCGCGAGTACTTGAAGATGACTTTGCATCGCATATATGGCAAATTCATGGCGCATCGACCTTTCATCAGGAAGGCCATCAATAATATCTTTTTTAATTTTATTTTTGAGACTGAGAAGCACAATGGAATTGCTGAGTTCTTGGAAATTCTTGGGAGTATCATTAATGGTTTTGCACTGCCATTGAAAGAAGAGCATAAACTATTTCTTGTTCGGATACTGATTCCCCTGCACAAGCCAAAGTGCTTAGCAATGTATCATCAGCAGTTATCTTATTGCATTACCCAATTTGTGGAGAAAGACTGTAAGCTTGCTGATACAATTATTAGGGGATTATTGAAGTACTGGCCCATAACAAATAGTTCAAAGGAAGTTATGTTCCTAGGTGAGTTGGAAGAAGTCTTAGAAGCAACTCAACCCCCAGAATTCCAGCGCTGTATGGTGCCATTATTTCGTCGCATTGCCCGTTGTTTGAATAGCCCCCATTTTCAGGTATGACATTTTCATTGCTTTCTTCTAGCTCCTTTTTCTGTTTAACCTCTTTCTTAATTTCATGAGTAAATTACTCCTGTTTTTGGAATTAACCCTCAGTGGCAACTTCCCTTATACTTCTGAATTCACGTCTTAATTCATTTCCTTTAGTGAGAAGCTGTATTTTTACTACCAATAGAATGAGAAACCTTTTTGCATCAACTTTTTTCTTAATGCATATTTTGTTTTATTGTTTTGAAGTTTAAACATAACAACAATTTTTTTTTCCTTATGACTTCCTCAAACATGGAAATCATTCAAATCTATGCTGTCTAATGACTTGGGCTTTAGAGATATCTGGTAAAATAATCATAGGAAGGAAGGAATTTTATGCTTAGCTTCCCTGTGTCCAAGAATATCCATCCCCCGTCTACTTGCTCTAATCCAGAAGTTGTCATATGAAAAATTATCTCATACAAATGCCATAGAAATTGAGTCAGCTTCCAGTTAAATCAGCGTTTTATGTCATTTGTCACTACACTGTCTGACAGAGTACACGTAACTGTTAAAACCTGCGGAGAATTATTAACTTATTAAGTGTATAATCATGTTCTGCTCTAAATCCTGCCTACTAAAGGTTTGGTTTTGCTGCAGGTTTTTTTATATTTATATTGTATCTTCCATCTTTCTATTCAGTCAGAGATATCCCTTCCCTTCTCTGTGTGTGTGTGTTGGGAGAAGGCCCAAGAATAGCTTATTAAATTTCTATGACATGCCCTCTCTCATAAAAGCTAAGCATGGAAGAACCATACCCAAAATCTTGTGCGGAAATTAATTTTAATTGGGAGAATGGGGATAGCAAGGGCTGAGCTCTTGAATGGTTGGTTGAAGACATTCTGATGCCATGATAAGTAGCTAAATATCTTGAAAGGATAAGCTGTTAATTTAAAGATCAAGAAATGATTTTATTCATATGTCTAATAGGGTTAGTATTACCTCTATCAAGCCACTCACTGCTAGAATACATCCCTTACCAATTCAGGAAGGTTTATGCTAGTATCTTAAGATGTAAGCCTGTGTCTTAAAGCTTATTTTTTGAGTTAGTTGTATATTCTGCACAAGTAAATGAAAATATGTCACTGTCCTTTCCCTATGAAGAAGAGATTGATGACATTATTCCGGTGATGCAACAACCTCTTTCTTTTTTACCCTTTGCAACTTCTGCTGGCTGCCTGTTCATTATGGATGTTCTTACTGGACTGGAATGGGATTGGGAACAGGTGTTTTTTATAACTTCCGCCTAAGAAAATCTGTTTGTGACTAAAAAAATTAGGTGGACTACATTGTACATGCATATTATCATCTACTTGATGGTTGAATTTTGAATGTTGATGGTTTTATCTCAAGAGGTGAAAGAGACCGTAATCTTCATCCAAACAATTTGAAAGACCGTATGATGGGAATATATACAATTGGTAACAGTACCGTTAGGCTCAACCTCTATGTTAATGATTATAAGTTGGCACGTATAAATTGTATTTAATTTTCTGCAAGAGTCCACTCTTAAAATTTAAATTGTAACCCATTGGTAAATAAGAATGCCTCTGATTTTTACTTTCCTATACCAAATTTAGAATCTTATAATTTTTGCAGTCATTATTATGTAGTGCTCAATACTAGGCAGTTATCTGTCAGCAAGATGAAATAATTCTGATTAGATGAACCTTATAATATTATATCTTCTGTTTAACCCTTGGATAATGATAACTGTTAGCCAGCAAGTTGAATCTTTAGAACTTTTATTTTATTCTTGGGCTGGATTAACCAAATCTTCTGGCATTTTCACAGAGAACTTAAATAAAATTTTACTGCCATTTTGTTCATGTGAAAGGGCAGCCTTCCTTTCGTGTAATCCAAACGCCCAACATTTAAAAGAGATTCTTCCTTCCCTGCACCCCACCGCCTCCCTAAATCTCGTAAATGAAAAGAAAGCATGTGTAAAATGTTTGGATGATGCACATTTCATTTTAGAAGTGTTTGTATGAAGGGGAAATGCTCCATAGCTTTCTGTTAATATTTTTGTTTGAGTGGAATATTTGAATTGGTGTTACATTGTCTGCTGCATTTTGCAAGAGTTAGTTGACACTGTTATAAGTGCACTGAATGGTATTTCAATTGTTCATGTCATGCTTATAAACGATTATGCATGCATTGAATGATATAGTGTCATGTGAAAGTACCTACATGGATATATCGAAGTTAACAATGATCTGTCTAGCTTAACTTGTCAAATTTTGTCATAACTTGAATTGGAGTTGCATTTGCAATATACTATTTTCCCTCGAAAGTGTACAAACATGAATCTTGTGTCTCTTTGTCCTTAGGTCGCAGAAAGAGCTTTGTTCTTGTGGAACAATGATCACATCTTAAACTTAATCAAACAGAATCGAAAAGTGATACTGCCCATCATCTTCCCTGCATTGGAGAAAAATGCTAGAAGTCATTGGAACCAGGCTGTTCATAGTTTGACTTTAAATGTACGGAAAATATTTAATGATCTTGATCCTGATCTATCTAAAGAATGCTTACAAAAATTTGAGGAAGATGAATCAAAGGAAAGTGAAGTCATAGCAGGGCGTGAAGCCACTTGGAAACGCATGGAGGAGCTCGCCGCAAAGAAAGCTGCAAGCGGCGAAGCAGTGCTTATTGGTAAAGCACCAACTCGCAGCTCTGCAGGTTAGATAGAACTGGAATATGTATTCTGCTCCAATAGCTTCATTTTTTAAAAAGTGAATTTTATAGTATTTCTTTTGCATGTGATGTGTTGGCCAAGAGGTGCAATTTCTTGAATACTTTTTTATTCAATTCCTATATAGGAAATGAAGGCTATGATTAGTAGCAAATATCTCATGCAAGACAACATCAAAGCTTAACTAGTATATACCTTACACTTTTGTACCAAGGTTGGCACTTAGCACATTTGGGCACTTTTCTTTTTAATGAATTTCCAATGAACATTTCGTTTCAAGACCAGTAATCTGATAACAATAGTCAAAGGACCATTTTTTCAAGGCAAACTAGCAACAAAACTGTGGGCTGCATAGAGTATTAGGAGTTTTTACCATACAAGGCTTGTTAGAATAAAATAAGAAACATTAAAGAGAGCTATTTTAGCACCAACTTTCTTTGTATTTGACCTTTCGGGGCACACAATGACTATATATGGGTTGAAGCTTCTACTCGCTTCTATTGATTGATTTCATTGGCCTTTCCAAAGGGTGGTTGTGTACTAATCCCATGTTTTGGATTGGATAGAGCAACATCATTTCTCAAGGGACAATCCATTCTTCAAGGATTTGGATTTTCTCATCTCTTGCATGGACATCATGCAACAAATTCTAGGACAACCTCAATTGTGCTGCTTGAGTTAAGTGTGGTTAAGATTTGTTCTCAAATTAATCTCAATTATATTTTATACTAGAACATGTACCAGTATGGTTTAATGCACAATCAAGCAAGCACAAAATTGGTACCAGGTAAGGAGGTTTACACAGTGGATTAATATTGATTTCAAGAGAAAACAAAAAAAGAAATATAACCAATGTGATTTAATCAGATTCTTATAGCATTTAATTGATTTGGTTTCCCTTCCCTTTAAAAAAAAGTTCGGTTTAAAATGCAAATATGATTTGATTTAATTCAAATCGATTTGAATTGGATTGATCTTTTGTTAAATACTTTTAATATGTAAATTCATCAAAATATATTGAATATAATTTTAAACTAATACATCAAAGTACATTAATAAACAAATTTATATTCAAAATATATTTTCAATTTAGTAATCTATCTAAAATATATTGAATCTCATTTGATTAATACATTTTCATCGCACAAAGTTGCCGCTTGATTTATTGGATAACGGTTTTTAAGACATTTGTTTCGTTTATTACTATTATTATTTTGTATTATCTTGTTTTATGGTTGTTTTTAAAATTAAATATGAAACAAGTGTCTTTATCTGTTCCTTCTTTTATTTTTTAAATAAATCAAATATATCCTCAGTAAAAACAGAATCCTTCACATTTGTGTTATGTGTGTATTATAGAAATGGAATTCAAAATGGGCATGCTTTGTTACACGCACACACCCCAGAAAATAAAAATTGTAAGGTCACAATGACTACTTCTTTGTATAAAATTTTTCAAGTTGTGGCTAACATATTGTTGTTCCCTACTCTACATTTTTTAACATTCGAAACTCTAAAGGATGAAATAAAATTTTATATATCTTTATTATCAACATTGGGATTCTTCATTTTACTTCTAATGTCCCATCGTCAATAGTAAAAGTTTAAAATGAATCATTCATGATTGATGGTGCTGAGAATCGCAGCAAAAGAAAGTTTGCCCTTATGATGTTCATTTATCTCAAAGTAGTGTAACATATATTCATTCATTGAAGAAATTAATTATTCAAGATAAAAAAAAAGAGAACAGTAAAATTTAACCGTCTCTCAATAAATAAGAGTAATTTAATCATTATTTAAAGTAAAATTAATAATATTTTACGTAAGATGATAACATTTATATATGAATTAGAAAATACAATGATAGCATATTTCACAACGTTATTTTGTACTTTTTAAAATTACATGATTTAATCATATATTTATATTTTATCTAGATAATAATCAACAAATTTCAACTCAACCATTAATTAAACCACTACTACATTGAATTCAAATTATAAAAATTACATAAATTAAATTTAGAGTCGAATTTAAACCAAGTAAAACCCAACAATAAAAGAATAGCCTGTTTTCTGGCCCAAATAAAAGAATTATTTTCTGGAAAGGCAGAGAGATGAAGCTGCTAAGAGATATGATCCCCATTATTTATTTATTTTTTTTATCAACTTTTTATTTTATCAGTCTTATAATATATTTATTTTACGTTAAAATCTATTTAATTTAAACTTTTATATTAATTTATTATGTTATACATTACTATATAACATTAAAAAACATATATTTCATCATCATATAAATTATTACATTATAAATTAATATTAAATAATATATTTTAGTTTATATAAGATTGACTTGATGCAATTTTTTTCATGTGTAATTTTTAATTTTTAATTTCATAAACTTAAAAATAATATCTTATTCCAATTTCCAAGGACAAGAATTGCTTATTTTATGTTTTTGGTGTGCGTGTTTGCATCTTCCACGTGTATGGCCAAAATTCTCACTTCTTTTCTCAATTAAAATTAAAAAACCAAAACAAAATAAAAATAAAAATCAAACGGATAAGAAAACCTTACTCTTTGAGTTGTCTGGTTTTATCGCGAAACAATGGAAGTAGGAATGTCTCTGCACGCGCTCGTGTCGAGTCCAAGGTTCCTCGACGACGCGCCGGTGGGACACTTTCTGTTTTCTAGCCGGAGACAGAGTTTGAAGGTTCAGCCAATGAGAAAGCGCCACGTGTTGGTGGTTGAAGCAAAAGGCAAAAAAGGAATGGTGGCGCGTCAATTTCAACGCCCTCCTCCTCCTCCCTTACCCAAAATCGAAGACGATGGCAATCCCAAATTCGTCATCTTCATTCGCATGGCCAATGTAACCTAACCCTTAAATTACGCTAATATTATCTATTAGTATTAATAATTCTATAATTAATTTCATCTTAATCCGCAGGTATACCTTTGGTACCCTCTTAGTATTGTGCAAGGTGGCACCACTGCTAAAATCATGGTTGCAGCTAAAGATAATTTTCTGGGCAAGTATATCTACAAAGATACCCTTGATAGAAACCTTGCTGCTGTTATCTACAGAGTATGTTCTTATCCACACTACTATATACTATTCGATTTAAATTAAATTAATATTTCTATACTTTGGACAATTCAATTCATGCTGTTACTATATTTTATTGCACTGATAACAAAGGCAACTAATATGATATTGGATGAAGCAATTTTATTTTTCCTTTTATTTTTTGTATTGAGAAAAATAAAAAATAAAAATTAAGGGGCATTCCGAGAATTGAACTCGAGACCTCTCGCACCCTAAGCGAGAATCATACCACTAGACCAAATGCCCACATTTGAAACTGCTATTTTCATTTGTAAAATCAATCGTCCTTGGTTTGTGTTAGCATTGAGCACATAAGCTCATATATGTGTGTATGTGGGGGGGAACATTATTACTTATTTATTAAAGAATGCTTGCAAAGTGATCCATGTATATATTCTGACAAGTTTCAGGTGTTTAGGTAAACAATTTAACTAATACTTAATTACTTATTCATTAAAGAATGTTCATAGAGTGATCCATGTGTATGTTTGGACAAGTTTTATCGTTGGTTGTTGAAGGCTTAACACAACCCTTCTCTTTTACCTGAACTTAGGATCGGCTATGGGACCATAGGTAGAGTTGTTTGTAGAAAAGTTATATATTATTTACATAAAAAATCTTCCAAACACACTAGATATCTTATGTAACCATCATAATGTGCTTTGCTTTCTTAGTTATGTATGGTCCTGTCTTTGTTGTTGATTGCTTGCTTCAATTCAAATAGGATGAGAAGGAGATACAGAAATCGGCATTCAAACAGTATCGTGTACTGCAGTCAGCTACTGATTTCAGATATGGCTACAAACTTATTGTAATGTTCCTATACCTTCTTTTATGCTAAATATTTTAAAACCAATTTTCAATCTTCCATAGTTGGAAATGAATTCTTTAAAAACGTTAGATGACTATGCTGCATTTTTCTTTTTTAATTTTTCCATATGATGAATTTGCAGGAGAATGGCAATGTAAGAGCTGCACTTTCTACCACAGACGTCATTGAGGTAACATTTCTGACATATTCTTTGCCATTCTCATCATAATATTTCTGAGAAAAAAAAAAGGGTTCTTTGAAGTTTTTAACAGAATTTCGGACCTTACAGCATTAGAGGTGTATGTTATACCAAATTACCAACACAACAAAGAAGAACCTGGGTTTTTATGCAACTTTTCAATTGATCAATTTGCTGGAAAATGAAAGCTATCATTATCATTGTAATTTTTATGTTTAGATTTTAGAAGCTTGTGGATTGATGGGAGTCTACATTATAAAATTTATACTTCCTACTTAATTGTATGATTTTTATCCAAATATCCAAGAAGATTTTTGGATGATTTCTCGCTAATATATTGTTATGTTTGCATTCAAATTCAAGCTTCCAACAAAAGATCAACTAAAAACCGTACTTGATAAAGTCAAAGACTTTTTTGGAGATGCAAAGGAGTCCTTTGGAAAGATTACATCATTGGGTTCCACTACAACCGATGATGAGTCAAAGGAAGATTCAAAAGAAAAGGCCAAGTGAGTTTTACATCTTAATTATTTGCCTAAACAAAAATTCTGAGTTGTGAATTGTCCGAGTGAAACTCCATATCTTATCCTCCTCTTTCTTTATCTTTTGGATGCTACATTTGATGGGCAATCTCTGATTCTATAATATATGCTTTATTGACTTCTATGTAACATTATTCAATTATATGGTTGGTTATTTTCAAAATTTCTGATGGTTTATATTTTTTTGTGCTAATACCAGGGTTAAAGGATGAAACAATAGCTGGGAACGATTTGTTTGAATTGTTATTAATACCCTGCGGCCTTGTGATCTCAGAAAGCTTTGTGCATTTTGTGAATTGGTTAATGGGAAAGCTTCTGTGCACAACAATGATACTCTTGGTTTTGTTCTTATATCTGTTGTGTAACCATCGAAGTTATTTTATGTTCTGCAGAGTAAAAACACCTATACAATGCTGATCACTGTTGTGTTATAATCCATGATGCTTTGGAATAGAGAGCATGTAGCATGACCTTGTAATGCCACCATTGTTAAATCAAGAGATTCCTGGAACTGTTGTACAAATTACTGGTTCTATTATCTGTGCATTTTATTTGACAGGAATTCATTAAGTATTCAGTGATTGCACTATCAACTAGACCAATTAAGATTGTAGTTGTGTTAAAATTAAAAATATTATAACCGTTAAATAATGGTGAAGTTTTGTATTCTAATAAATTGTTTTGAAATAATCAGGGTTCTATTTTATTAGATAAAATTAAATTAAAAAGATTATTTTTTAAAATTGTTAAAGAACTTATAGAAATAAATTATTTGAATTAAAATATAATTTATATTTGTCAAATTTAATATTGAATATTAAGTTTTAATTTAAATTTATGGTATTAACTAAATTTAATTAATAATAATTAAGAGCAATAAAAAATAAACAAAACAAAAAAAATGGGAAACTTAATATAAGGGAAGTTACATTGTCTAATGAGGAAAATTTTAATTTAACTTTTTGTTCAAGAGTGAAGATGATATAGAAATCTTGTTAAAAAAATGGATTTATAAAATGGAAACTTTTTGAAAAATAAATCTTTTTTGGAAATGCAACCTTTTAGAAATGATTCGTAGAGTTAGAAGAAATTTCTAGCAGAAAAAGGATATACCAATTTTTTTTTCAGGGCACCGTTCTTGATTTTGTGAGAAAGGTTTCAGTTTGTATTCCTACTTCTGCATATTTGTGGTCCAAAATATGTCAGTTTTATTCGATTCAGTGGAGTAGCTTGAATCCCAACCTCATAAAACAAAAAAAACAAAAAAGAATAAGAGAGAGAGAGAGAGAGAGAGATTGAATCCCTTACCTCAAATCTGGTGAGGTAGATGATTCATTTGTGGAAAACATTATCCATAAAGCTTATGTGGCAATGCTTATTTTCCACTTAATTACATTTTTGTCTCTCTAAGTTTAGCTACATACCAATTTAAATATATTAACAATTTTTCATTAAATTCACTGTTAAACTGCATTCTCTTAATTTTTTCATGAATTATTGATGTGCTCACTTAATTTGTCCAAACTAAATTATTCATTTTAAAGGAGTTTAATTCTGACCAAAAAAGACATAGACATAAGAAAATAAATAATATATCAACAAAAACCGGATTAATGTTGCCTCTCATTTAGCACAAACGTGGTCAATAGCTTATCTAAGAAATTCATATATCTGAACTCTAAGATGTCTGGTTCTGGAAAAATCTAGAAAAGGGAATGATTGTATGATTAGAATTTTATGACCCCACCGACCATGTCGTGCTTTCCAGAACTCTTGCAATTTTCTTTAAATTTCACGAAACCCTTTCTCCCACTTCGCTCGGCAACCTTAATCTTAGATTTTGGTCTCAACGGACACAACACTGTACACAAATGGCACATTCTTTGTACACCAATCTGCCTCTTAACCTTCCCACATACAGCTATTTTCGTCCCCATTTGTCCAAGTTGAAGCCTGTTAGGGTGATGATGGAAGACGCAAGAAAAAAGCTTCACCATGTTCCAAGACACAACAAGCACCAAAAGATAGTTCCCCCTTCTCCACCCATAGGTAATTTAATTTAAGTAGTTTTCATAGTCTTTGTTTCTAAATTATAAAATTATTTTAATTTTAATCATATATTTTAATTTTATTTAACTTTAATTCAAGTTAAAATTAACCCTTTGTTTAGAAAGAAAGAAATTTAGAATTTAAATTAAAAAAATAAAATTTTATTTAAAAAACTGAACTTTTTGTTTTCCTTTTCTGCTGCTTTTCATTAGATCAAACAAATTAAAATACATTTATATTCCTTTTTTTTTCTTTTATAATTATCACATGACATTAAATTTGTAACTATTATAACTGTATATTAACATGGGAAATTCAAACTACTATACCATGTAAAAGCAGGGTTATGGGACAGATTTCCTACAGCAAGAACAGTGCAAGAGATGATGGAGACAATGGAGAGAATGATGGAAGACCCATTTGCATTGAGCACACTTGAATGGCCTTCTTCTCCCCTACCGAGCGAGGGAGTTGGTGGGTATAGGAGAAGGGGAAGAACACCATGGGAGATTAAGGAAGGAGAGAGTGAATACAAAATGAGGTTTGATATGCCTGGGATGAATAAAGAGGATGTTAAGGTTTGGGTGGAGGAGAAGATGCTATTGGTTAAGGCTGAGAAAAAGAGCAATGATGAACAACAACAAGAAGAAGAATGGTCTTCTAAGAGCTATGGAAGGTATAGCAGTAGAATCGTTTTGCCAGATAATGTTCAGTTTGAGAAAATTAAGGCAGAGGTTAAGGATGGTGTTCTTTACATAACCATACCTAAGGCTACCACCACCTATTCAAACATCCTCGATATACGAGTTCAATAATTCATTTTCTTTATGATCTTTGTTTTCTTTTTAATTAATTTGATACATCAAAAAAGAAAGAAAAGAAAATGTGTAAATATCCTTTGCTAAGTATAGTATTCTTTTGCACTTTTACCATTTCTTGTGAATAATTTGCCGTTTTGGTTTCCATTGTTTTACAATGCAATTTAAAGTAGTTCATAAAATAGGTATTCTAATGTATTTTTTTTCTCGTTTATAATCATAATTTTTGGTATTATCTAAACATTAATTGTTTTGTTAAATACCATTTTGACACATTAATTGGTATATATAATTGGGTGATGTGATTTAAAATAAAATCATATTAAAATTGTTTAATTCTTGAAACATTAAACTAAAATAGTTCCTAACTTTTAACCGATCGTCAAGATTTTTTTATTTTCTTATGTTTAAACTAGAGCATAACATGTAAAGCTAACAAAATGAGTTTGTGTAAGCAAGCTAGTATAAATTTGTTTAATAAAATATAAAATTTAAGTTTAAATTAAATTCAAATTTTTTTAGTCAAATTTAATAGTTTCGATGTAGATTAAGTTAAAAATAAATAAATTTTGTTTAATTTGGTATGAATCTCAATTAGATTTGAAATGTTTTTTACTTAGTTTATTATTCGTAACAAACTAGTTTAAATAAATTAAATAGTTTATTTTACTCATTTTAACTTGATAACTCAAGGATAAAGTAGTAAATTTAAACAAATATATATATATATATATATATATCATAAATTTTTTAAATTGTTAATTAAAGTATGTAAGTTAAACTATTCTCAATAGTATTGAATTAAGAAGTTTGTATAATTGAAGAATGTTACTATAAAATTGTATTTAATAGTAAAAAGTGATTGTTATATTAATTTTTATATTTGTAATTGAAACTGTTAAAGTTATATATATGCTTAAATTTGATTGCAATTTAAAATATTAAATTAGAAAGTTATAAATTAGAGTACTATGTTATACTAATTGTTTATATATCGCTATAATATAGTACTATAACTAGCAAGTATTTTATGCATTATACATGTCTTTTAAATTTAAGAATATAAATGTAAATATTTAACATTATAAGATATACATAGTTAATTTAACTAAATAAATAAATAATAAAGAACTTAGATTAAAGGGAAAATAATAGATTTAAAAAATTGAAAATAATTTAAAAGATAAGTACTTGAAATTGAAGATGAAAAAGGAAAATTTTAATAAAAATAATTAAATTTAAAAAATGAGAGAGAGATATTAATATAAAATAATTTTTTTGAAGATATTCCTAATTTGAAATTAAAAAATATATATGAACATGGACAAAATAATTGTAAAGTCACTTATCGAGAAAAAATGCATGATAAAATATTTTTTATAATTTTGAAAAGCAAGGATTTAATTTCATTATACAATTATTAATTTTATTAAAGTAACTTTCCTAATCATTATTTTAAGGATTAAGATTAAATAATTAATAAATACATTTTTAATTAAAAATACATTAAAAACTTAGTCATTATACTTTTTAATAAATGTTTTGTTTTTAATTTTTAACCATTATCATAAATAATTGGTAATCTTGATTAAAATGTTACTAATCATGCATCCAACATGCGCGTTGTTGGGCTATCTTTTGATGGAACAACAATAATTGCGGACATGGCCGTTGGACATTATTATTTATCCATACTTGGTTGAGATTTGCCCCCATTTTCATTTTATTGGTCCAAATTAAAAAAAATAACAAATCCTACTTAAATTTAGCATCAAAATATTTTTTTATATGATATTATTAAATTATTTTTTGGACCATTCAACAAAGTTATTTTGTAAGTTTAGCCAATATACAATTTAGCCATTTCTCAGTACTGATCAAATCCACACGTTACTATTCAGTTCACCACAAATATTTATTTATTTTTTTTATATAAAAGGAACATTCATACAACAGAAAAAAAATATCTAACGGCCAAAAATGAAAAAGAAAAGAAAATAAGGGGAACTAGACGTTAGAGAAAAGGGAATTAATTACCACAAATATTCAATATTGTGGGCCATATAAATGGTGGGATCCACCTAAAATTATTTTGACAAAAGGGTACTTTGCTTTCACAATGACACGAAGATTCATATTAGGAGCAGAATCCAGAAGGATCAATGTCGTGTCACAAACCAAGGCGCCTAGTAAGTTAGTAACTTAGTATAAATGCCAAAGTAAAAAACCTTAACGTTACTCAACTCAACCCAGGAAGTTCCTATTTTTTCCACATGCCAATGTTATTTGTTGTATTGGGTATTGTGGGTACTTACTTGAGCGTTTAATCTGTGAATTCACGTGCATTTCTGAAGCTAAAGAGTTTTGGGTTCGTTCTCTTGAATGTTTATAGAGAGTGAGAGAGGCAAAGAGGTTGTTTTTTCAGTTAACAGTTTTCCGTTATGGGTGAATCAACGACTTGTCTTGTGCGATCTTTCTCTACTCCTTCTGACACTAGTTGCGTGGTTCAAGAGGTGAGTTTTTGGCTCAAAATCTTAACTTTCACACGCTTCTGTTATGTTTTTCGATGACCCATGTCTTCGTTTTTTGTGGGTCTGTTCTGTTTGGTTTGTTGCTGAGAACGGCGTTGTGCTTTCTTTGGTGTTGGTTGTTTTGAATGTTGATTTTTGGTTGCGTTTTTTGATTTCTCCGACCATTCTGCAACTTAACTATTCTGTTGAAGTGTTAATAATATTAACAATTATGTTTTCACTTTTCACCCCCAATATCGATTTATGGCTTCCGTTGCCAAAATTCTGAGTTTTTCTTTAGTTCGGCCTCACGTTGTTCTTGTCGAGGATAGGAACCATACATGGGTTTCGATGGCACTGGTAAATCCATGAATGTTATTGTTCTGTTAAGGATACTTTGTTTTAATGCATAAATATTAAAATTCTGAAATTTCTTTTTCTGTATTCAATATGTGATGACTTGTTATATGCATTAGTTTAGTTTTTTATTTGATTTTGATTTGATTACAGGGAAACCCTATGCGTATGCTTGGAGAATCTATCTCTTTTGGAAGGTTTATAACAGAAGGCCTTGATTGGGAGAAATGGTCAGCATTCTCACACAAACGCTATGTAGAAGAAGCTGAAAAGTATTCGAAGCCGGGTTCGGTGGCAGCGAAGAAAGCTTACTTTGAGGCTCATTACAAGAAGAAGGCTGCAGAGAGAGCAGCTGCATTGATCCAAGAAGCAAATTCTCAAGCTAATGGAACTTTTGATTCGAAAACTCTGGAAGGAAACTGCACTGACATATCCACTGAGATGAATTCAAAAGCAGACAATGTTGTGATTGTCAATGAACAAGAAGATAAAGAAACTGTTAATTGCCAAGTTGTTGAATGTGCTGATATGAACCAATACAAATGTGACTCTGGACAAAGTGATTTAGTCATTTCCAATGTGGAAGGAACCGAGGATGTGCCACATCCTCACGTTGATACAAATCTCAATATGGAATGTTCTGCTCTTGTTGATAATTCTAACCAGTTTCATCATGTTGAAGTTCATAATTCTAACCTGGTTGATCATGTAAATAGTCTATGCTTTCTTGCTTTGTTAATATCTAATTTCCTTTTGTTTCTTGTGATGAGTAAATTTGTAATTGTGGCACCTCTCACATTTATCATACTGATTCTGCAGCACACCGTTGATCGGGAAGAAAATTCTTCAAAATTATCAACTGAAACAATGGCGGCCAAACGTCCTCATTCTCTTGATGAAGGGAAGGTTGCTGTAGGTGTATCACTCAGTAGTGAAATACACAATGGTTCAAAAGGTAAGAAATCTGATGGAGACTTGGTTGAGAAGAAGAGACCAAATGCACGGTCGCTTCGCATGTCAATAAATCTTCCCTCTGGCACTGGTGAAAAGTGCAACAAAGTTGCTGCACTTTCACAGTCCAGAAATGGCTTAAACAATTTTTCAACAAGTAAGAAGTCTGTTGGAGGCTCAGTTGATAAGAAGAGAATAACTGCGCCATCACTTTACATGTCGAACAATCTCCCTTCCGGCACGCGTGTAACGAGCAAAACAGCTACTTCAGCTGTTAAACCCAGAAATGGAACAAACTTTGCTGCAAGAAGTATGAAATCTATTGGAGATTCGGTGGAGAAGAGACCAACTTTAAGGTCACTCAACACACACTACATGTCGATCAATCTCGCTTCTGGGCTAGGTGAAACAAGTAAAACAACTTCAGCAATTGAACAGAATAGAATTAAGAAAATTCATTCTCATTTGCCGAAAGATAATCCATTGGCATTGAGAACATCAACTAAGGTATTAACTTGTACACCTTTTGGTTTTTCTTTGAATGAAATACCCAACATTTTAATGGCATTATTTCTAGAAAATTGTGCTGCTTGCTAAAGATTTTTTTTCCCCTTTTTGTAGGCATCTCGTGGTTTATTAAATCAAGCTTCAGCAAGTCCACTTTCTCAGGGTAGAAGGTATTTGGCTTCTGAACCTTTTTATTTTTGGTTGTGTGTTAGAATATCTTCCTTTACAGCTTCAGATGCATGCATCATTAGGAAATTTCATTGACACACGATCAAATTTGTCTCTGTCAGGACTGAAAGACTACGTAATAAATCTGTATCTGGAGGTGTTACAGCAAATGCAAAACTTTCCCCCTCCGTCGCTGTCGAGTAAGAGAATTTCACTAGTTGCTAATTTTTCTTAATGTTCATTTTTGTGGCTCATAAATGAATCTCTGTTTGCTTTTGGAGCTATTCAAACTTTTCCTACTAAGCATGTTTCACTAGCCTTATTTTATAAATACACTTCACAAATTTGAAATTCAAAATAGAAAGTTTAAACATGCCCAAAATATGTAAGGTTTCATTTATATATTTTTTTACTCTTGTGAATAATTTTGGGAACAGCTGCCTGACATCTTCAAGCACCACCAAAAGCAATCCCCGATCAGCTACCATATCTTCGCCTTTCAGATTCAGAAGTGAAGAAAGAGCAGTAAAACGCAAAGAGGTGAGTTTTTTCCCTTGTCCCTTGCACTAAATATGCAATTTATGGCAGAACCAAAGGTAAAACTAGCCTTCCCATCGTTGTATTTCAGTTCTTGCAGAGGATGGATGAAACTAAATCCAAAGAAGAAGAGAAAGTTCAGCTGCAAAGGACTCCCAAGGTGAATAATAATACTAGGCAAAGCTATTAGTGACTCACAGAGCCAATAACTGATCAAAATTAAAATAGAACCAATAAATTTATTAATGGAGGAGTTAGTCAAGACATGGCTTCATAATTCTTCTTCAATTCCTCTTTATTGCTTAATAAGAAGGTGATTCAACATCTTTAACTGAATGTTCATGCAGAGGAAAACAGAGCATGATCATCACAAGAAGCTGAGGAAGAGCAGTGGCTCCACATCCAAACTAAATGAGGACATGCCTGGTGGATCACAATCACCAAGTAATCAGATTAGAAAGGTATGTTAACTTGTTGGAAATGACACCATTGACTTCAAAGTTGATGCTTCTGTGCTGGCTTAGCCGCAAGTCATTGTTTGTGCCTTTTTTAATTATATTCTAAAGTATGTTGCTTGTCAATCAATTCTATTCATTTTGACCAATGACCATCTCAGTCCCACATAATCTGTCAACCATTAATCTCTGTCGGTTAATTACTACCTGGAGATGCTTTATAATATTGTACTTGATATTTTCTTTGGTTCTGCCAGATGTTCTATTTTAACCTTCAATTTTTTTTTTATTATTTTATTTTATTTTCAGATTTCTCATGCACTGCCCCGGTCACCAAAACTTGTGAAAAAAGCAAGTTCTAGTACAGTCCATGACAAAAGCTTAGGAAATTCATGGAAGCCTCCAATGTGCACCAATAATTCCAAACGTACAACAGAAAAAGTTAACCGAACAAGAAGGCAATCAGTGATTTCATTATCAAATACCGCAACAGAAAATGCTTCTCCAAATATTCAGCATTGGAACATGAACTTGTGTTTTGAAGAATATGCTGTCAAAGAAACTGAAGCCACTTGAGTTTTGACAGCATCAAGTTTGTATTAAACAATGTGATTAGGAGAGTTTTATATCCTGATGTCTTCTCACATTTCAAAGAAAAATTTTGTAGTCTTTTTTTTCCCTTAGTTGTTATGTCTAGGCTTCAATAAGCTTTGACTTGGGAGCATATAGAGTTAGAATTTAAGTCTGTAATTACAATTGGTTTAGGCAATTTAGTATATACGTAAAAAGGGTAAACAAAATATGTATTATCTTTAGTTACATTACTTCGCATGGATAAACTTTACCTTTGTAATTCACCACTTTGTTACCAACCATTCAAATATCAAGTGTTCAGGACAATGATATGAATATTTTTATGTGAGCGTGTTTGAAGAATTTTACCCGTACATAAAAGCGCGGTTCACGGATGTGTGACGTTCCTTTTTTACTTTTTGTTCGTAGACTATAAAGGGTACTTTTTTTCTGAAAAGAAAAAAGTGTTCATTCTTATTAAGATAAGAAAATGATGGTTAAAACTTGAGCATTTAGTACCTTCACTGTTGAAAAAACTCTCTAGTTTCTCTGTTTTAACGTTTTCTGCTCATTGCTTGGTTCTGCAACTACGCTTCCAACCACTTGATGTACGGTTAGTTCCTGTGATCTATGCACGTGGCTTCTAGTTTCCAATCAGTACTTGTATATGATTATATATGAAAGTTCCCAAAATCAGGACTTTCCATGTGTTTAAAAGGAGGCAATCTATTGTTTGAACTCTAATGTACAACTAAATAATTCCTTCTTCCGTACATTTTATAGGAGAATGTACCATAATAACACTTTTGTTACACTCTTTTTGATGCACTATTGTTAGGTAAATTTATTGTTTCTTTCGCCAAATAAATTGAGTTCATTTTAATTTAGTGAGACACATTAAATTCATTCAATGATAATCAGTATGTTGATCATCCATTGTTACTAGCACTTTTATGTCTGGTTTTTTCTAAAGCAAGAATAACAATAAGAAGGAAGCAAAGTTATTAATTAAGCTCAATATTTGTAATCACCCATTTTTGTACATACTACAATATCCAAAATCCTTGATGATCGGAAAAAGAATACCCCAACCCTTGAAGTTGAAGTTCTTCAATAAAGATGTAGTTAACTACAAGAAACATTTAAGTGTCTTTCATGCGTGAATTTTGATTTTTGTTGAAGATGTAGGAATGGGCTGGACAGATCATGCTATGAATAGACCTTGATCTATTAGTGAATAATCAGCTGAATCATAAAAGTGGGTTGGAACTTCTGTAATAAGTCCTGGATCATAATACTCAGACATCCCTATATTCTGCAGACCAAAGTTCATGTTATAGCATTCACCTTGTAGCCAATAGAAATGCAAGTCCTCATCCAAAGGTGCAGAAGTTGCATCACCTCCCAAAAGTAGGTTTCTTTGGTAAAATTCCAGATCAGAATTGCAACTAAGATTGTATCCCTGTGTTTTCAAGCCTGAATTTATAGTGGGAATGGGTTCTGAGGATTGATCATTCATTGTAAGGCTTCCTGGTTGAATAGGAAAGGTGTCAACTGCATTCCCTATAGAACTCACAGAACTGGCATAATCATTCTTGTAATCTGCAAACAAAGGTTTTGTTTCTACACAAGCAGCAACCTCTTCATCCGTTACTGAGGGAGTGGAGCTAATTGAAGCAATTGATTGTGATTGATCAACTTGAATGTGATGCTTCTTACCATGTAATGGCAAAGGATTGAAGCTATCGTCTAAATGAACAAGGGACTTGTGTTCTTCTTTGAGTTGCATATGTGGAACTTCAGTCCAAGAGTACTGTGTTGGCAAGGAGCAATCAAACACTGCATGATTTCCTTCAGACTCTAGAGGGGCAAAAGGTTGATTACGGCACATCCTTAAACTCTCTCTTACCTCTGTATCAGTAATGTTACCAGTCACAGGCCTTCCTTTTTCTGCCGTGGTGGACTGTGATACAATTCCCTTGGGATCACCTTCATGAGTTTTAGTTTCCACGTTCTGAAGTTGTAATGATCCATCTGAATAATTGTAACTGTCAATTGAAACATCATTTTGTTGATTGCTTACTGAAATCCGAAAGCCAAAACTTCCCAGATCTTTTGAAGGTAAATCCAAATGCTTCATTCCACTTGAGGAAGATCTCTGATCGTTTTCTTTCTGAATCCTACTCAAATAAAGCCGGTATTTCTGCACAATAAATTTCTCATCAGGAATTTGAGTTTCAAACTTCAAACCTACGGAACATTAAAGAAACATACATTTTTTCTATCCTATTGTTTTGCTTTATTGAATTTATGACAGGATCAATAGCTTGGAGGTTACCCCTTACACCCAATTGCATTAAAGTGAAGTTTTGTTGTGATTCAAAGTCTACCAAAAGTGCATGTATACATGAGACGTAATGATGCATACAATAAGAGATATTAAAAAATCTAGATGCTTATTTGAACGAAAGATATTAATTATTATGCATTTTTCTTTCTCAATAGCATAAGGATAACATTTAAGGAGTGAAATTATAGGATTACCTGCAAGTGGCTAGCAACATTCTCTCTAGTGAGCCATGGAACATTCATCAAATCTAGTATTTTCTTGGGACCAACTTCTGCCAAACAGAAATTATATGTTACAAATATTTTGGTACGTGAACAACTACAACTAGATTTTTGTGCATGCCCAGTACTCACACTTTAATTCATTGATGCAATGCTAGGTTAAGCACAATTAACAACTAGATTTGTAGAAGTCACAATGATGATCCAAATAACACTTTATAGAGAATCTTAAGAAGAAACTTACTATCAAAGCCAATATGATTCACAGCTTTAACAAACTTCTGATGAAGATCTACAGACCAAACTACTCTGGCTTTCTTGGTGGAAGATGGATCCAAAAATTCTTTGTCATCAAGTTTGTTATCTGCATCTTTTCTTTTCTTTGTCGAGGTCAAATCTTCTACAGCAAACAGGTTCCCATCATCTGATTGCTCCGATCCATTCCTCATCAAGTGAATGCTCTCAAAACTCTCAAAACTTTCAAATTCTCTTGCCTCGTGTATCCTTTTTCTAAAGACATGCTGCCATATATTTCGCAGTTCTTTCATCCTTATAGGCTTAAGGAGATAATCACATGCTCCATGTTGAACACCTTTCATAACCCTGCTTGTTTCTCCATCCACAGACATCACTGAACAGCATTGCAAAGTGTGACTTGTCAGAGCATGGACTTTCAATCATGTGATCAAAGGATTACAAGGATATCATTTAATGAAAAACTTGAATATAGTATTGATAGAGAACTGACTAATGACAGGAAGATCCATCTCAAGTCCAACATGCTCAAGAAGTTTGAAACCATCCATATCGGGCATGTTTACATCACTGATCACTATATCATATCCATCCTTCCTTTCACGAAGCAAGTTTAGAGCATGTCTTGCTAAACAACAAGTAGTCACTGAAGCAAATGATGGTAAAGAGTAAGAATGATTTATCAAATCAGCCATCATAACATACAATACATAAGAGATATAAGACGTGTGCTTGCTTTCCAAAATTTGCTAATTCTGTCAAATCTCACTTATATGAACAGAAACAAAAAGAAAAGGAACAGAAAGAAGAGTGGAAGCCAATAAAGATATTGGCTGAACAAAAAGCTTTAAAGGTCTCTTATTGTTACAGATATTCTCAAATTTTGGAGCCAAAGATTTTCTCAAAATCTAACTTATTAATATTGCATCATGTAAAGACCTCATAAACTGTGAGACATGAGCACTAAATTTTCTCTCTTTCATCTATGACAAAAAGTTTTTACAATCTTCTGAGGTCAAATGCTCAATCTAACTGTCTAGGTGAGATTGTGGTGATGCAGTAATGCCTCGCATTTTCAAAAACCCAAAAAGACGTACAATTTCGTTTGTTCAGCTTAATTCAATTGTTTTTCTTACATATCTATAGGCACACATAATAAGAACTTATATATAATAAGATTTTATTAAAAATCACATAATATTATTGAATTCGATGTATTAATAACATTTAATAGAAACTTACTATTTATTAATTTTTTATCATATGTCCTTGAAAACATATTAGAAAAAGCGTTAATTCAATTACTCGATTTTTTTTAAGAACTAAATCTCAGATACCAGTGGTAGTGCACCAACTATCGTCTCACATTAATGTTAGTGCATGCTATCAATGGATGAGAAAGTAGGATTACCAAGATGGCATTGTAGTTTCAAAGAAAATATATAGAATGCCAAAAAAAAACAGTAAATTTAGATTAGGAAGAATCAAATTTGACAAGGGAACTTGCTTATGCTCCTCTTTACATTTTTTAATTAAAACATTGTAACGCAGAATATAGAACCGGAGCTAATAATTTTATATAACCTTCTCCATCTCCTAATAACTTTTGCGATCTGAACTTCAAGTTTTTGCTTCTTGAAAAATTGAAGAGGGTCGTACTTTAAAAAGTCATCAGATTAATTTATCAAAAGCTTAGATTAACGCAAAAAACAAAAAATAGAAAGAAAAATGCTGCAAAAACGCATACAATTAACATCATTAACTAACTACTAAAATGTCATCAGTTTAAATGCTCATTAGAAGAAAATTTGTTTCTTTTTATTTTTGTTTCCCAAAAAAAAAAAAAAGTCACATTCCTTAGAAACTGAATCATGACAACATGACCACGACCCACCACATACTATAAATTTTAAAAATATAACCAAAACCTGGAAAGTATGATCTTGACGACACAGTAACTGTGCATTAGAAAAATTTATATAAACTTGAAGATCTTTAGTATACCAAATAAACACTGATAATAACACAGCTCATGATAACAAAAGTGGCAGTGTGTGGAAAGAGAAAAGAACCACTCGTGACTTAAACAAAGTAACAAAAAAACCTTCATAATTGCACTTCTTAAGCATCTTTTCAAGGATCTTCAGCCACGTGGGATCATCATCCACAACAAGAACTCTCAGACCAGCAGGAAAATCACGTCTAGGAGAAGCGAAACAACCATTGTCCATGTTTGTTAGAGACAAAGACAACCTTAGATTAAGATCACTGCTTTGAGTTCAAAAAAAAAGTTGGGTTTGTTTGCTTCGTTATAAGTATAACAAAGTGAGTAAAAATATCAAGGGAAAGACCCAAATGCAGAGAGAGAGAGAGAGAGAATATTGGCGCCGCACAGCTAACGGTCCCTGTGGCGTATGTTAGTATATATCCATTTGGGTTTGGTCCTACCTACAACTTAAGAGCTAATACATAATTAGTTGTATACTAATTACTAGGATTAGCAACAGTGAACTAGTTTTTTAAGTTTACAGCCGAAAGATAATGATGGGTTTGGAGTGACACATTGTGAGGCTTTAAGCAAAGTGAACTGAGTGAGAAGATTGTTCAGACAAAGAAAGCATCTGGTTAGGACAAAAGTGAGTGAGGCTTGTTATAATGCAAAAGCTACCTCAGTTTATGTACTATGCTCATTCATAACCATGGGAAAACAAACAGTGCTTCTACTTTCTACTATACTTCTGCAATACCGGAAAATCTGTTGTCATTGTGTAGAAGCTCCTCTTCTAAAAGAATTAACCATTTTTCTGGACTATCCAAGTGGCAGTTTATATATATTATTTTGAATTTTTTTAACTTGGTATAAAAAAATAATATATAATAATTTTGTATTAAGAGTTAATGTATTAATAATATTAAGTACATTAATACAAAAATAAAAATAATAATAAATCATAATGTAACATGATTTGAATAAGACACTATAAAGTGTTATAAATAATACATGTGAGTTATAATTGTGATATAGGAGGGAAGATTGCGGTTTATTTTATTACTTTTGTTAGCTTAGAATGGGAAATGTACGGTTTGTATAGGAGGGGGAGAAAACAAAGAATAAAAATGCAAGAGAGAGGAATTTATGAAGAAAAAGTGAGGGGACAAGAAATATAAATAAAGAGGAGGTATCACCTCTGTTTTGTGAGCTAGGAATTCACTTAAGATGGCATCTTAATTTATATAAAAAAGAGGAAAAAATAAAAGAAAAGGTAAGATAGACAACATGAAAACTCATTCCATGACTGACAAAGTTTTGGTGGAAAGGCACGTGGAATGCATTTTGCAGACAAGATGGGAAAGTTGTTGTGGGAAGAGCAATTGTTAGACATACCCAATATCATTTTAACTTGGATATCAATAAATCCCATTGGGTTCAAACACCTTCTCCTATTCAACTCTGCTACTTCCCTAACCCTCCTACTCTATTGTGCTTTTAGCTTATGCATTAAAAAAAATAGAGTTTAGTCTCTTCCCTGAGTACAGCAATTCAATCCAAATTATATTAAATAATGAAGATGGGGTTGATATTAAATAAATAAGTAAACAATGGATGAAGGAGTTTTTGATAATTTATAGTTTCATCACATATATCTTTGAAGGATTGAGATGATCTCCACGTTTAATGGTGCAATTTTACATAATATGAAACTTTAAAAACATATAATAAGAACTAAAATGATGATTAAATAAAAATTTTAAATTAATATCTTTAAAATTATATATACAAGTACAACCACACTCCCCGGGGGGTTTATTTTGCTTTCTAACGTGTCCACATTTAAGTGATGGACCCAAAAAAGGTCAGAAAAAACAGACAAAAGCACATACAAAGGTAGAGGGACAAAACATCAGTGTCAGGTCATAAATCAAAAATACCTGAAGGTCCTGTCTCCATTGGTGCGTGTTGTCCACGCTCAGTTAATAAACAATAACCTTCCAAAAGGAAAACATTTGGAAATTAAAAAATGTTACTAACATATGCTAATATACTCTGCAGCATTTCTTTAAAAATATGTTTTTCTTATTAATTAAATTTTTTTAAGAATCATAAGAAATGTTTGAGTTTTTTTTTTTATCTAAATAACATATATCTTTTATTATATTAAGTTAAAATAATTATTTATCAGTTGATTTACGTGTTTGGTAATAATTTTATTGTTAATTTAATAAGTTTCATTTATATTTTTATAATTTTTAATAAATTTTAACTAATAATAAATATTATACTAATTTTTTTTCTTAAATTATTAATTGAAGGTTAATAGATAAGAATCCAACTTTAAATATTTAACATCAAATGTTACCAAACTCTAAATATCTCTAATTAACAAAACCTTTTTAACTTCATTTGTAAGGTGACAGCATATGTAGAATTTAATAAACAAGAAGAAAAACTGATTTGATTAAGCCAAACTAATGATACAGGCACGAAAACTGTATACATATACATACATTGATTATTTTATAAAAAAAAACCGTGTATTCATTTTTTTAATATCATTCAAACAAAATTTAATGATTAATATTCATTGCTCTCTTTCTATTATTCATGATTCATTATTCCTGTTTCTTATATATGTAGTTTTCAGTAAAACTTGAGAACCAGAACTCACCGTGAATACTAATTAAGTATTAATGGAGGTTGCACTAAATCAAAAAGGATTTGGAAACACATAAATAAATCAAAATCAAAAGGTATCTAATTATGCCATCTTAATGATCTATGGAATCATATTGACCCATTACGTGCACCATAATGACGTAAGATTACCCAATGGGTGTAAATATTGTAAGCCAAATTTTATTAACATCAAGTTGAAATAATGAAAATGAATAAAATAAATAAAGGTGTTATGCATAACAATCTAGAGATAGCTAATCATGTGCATTGATAGAGGCCACGATACCCTACCAATATAACATTTGAAGGCCAAGATAGCTCCATTTGCTACGCATAAGAAGGGATAAGGTGGCATCTACTTTAAAACTCTATTAAACAATGATTTATTTGAACCAATTATCACTTAATTAAGTTCCATTAATGCCAACTTCTTGCTTCTTCTTCCTTTATTTAATTTATCTTACACTTTAGCCATGCACTTAATTGGTGCTTCAATTTCATTGAAAGGGGGATTACGATGTTACCAAGCCATATTAATTTTTCTTTCTATAGAAAAAGTTGGTTTGGGAGGTTTCACTTTCAAGTTAGAGCTAAGGGGATTTAAAGGTGTACCTTTGTCAAGTGGGGTACGTAAGGGGGGGTTTTAGGGAGATAGCAAAAGAACTATTGTGAGCAAAAACTAAATGACCTTAAAAGGGAAATTCCCACTAAGAAATTCTTTATGATAAGGGGAATTATTTTATATAAAGGAATGGGTAGTGAGGGAAGCATGATTGGAAATTCACAAAATAGAAAGAAAAAAAAAAGGATCAACTCTATGCAACTTCACCTAAGTGGAACACAGCTTTCATTAGTTTAATCAAAAGTTAAGAAAATGGGTCTCCCTTATTCTCTCCCATGATGCTTCATCAGTTGCCATTTACCCGTTTATTCTTTTTTCTTTTTTTAACTTTTCATTGTTAAATTTTTCACTATTTTCCTTGTAACTGAGAGCTCTTGAGTAATGAAATGAGAGAATATGCTTGCACCTAATCAAATGGGCCACCTGCCATAGCTACACCCTTTTGTTGTGCCATTAAATAAAACACGTTTGGTATACTTACGTAGCGTATATACTTTTTTTTTTCAGTATACGTAAGCATATACGGTTGATTTTTGTGTTTTATTCTTTATTTTTTGGAAATAATTGTTAGAGTTACCTTACATATAGAAAGATATGTTGGGCTGACTGAAGTTACAAGGCCCAATAGTCCAACATTGGCAATATTATAATTGGGCCATTTGGGCTCAACTAATTTCTTTACTTCTCTCATATTGTGAAAACAATAATGTTTGTTTTACGTCCCCACAAAGGGTGTAAAATAGGTGAAAAGAAGTGAGTTAATAAAAAAGAAAATAAGAGATGATGTATGATATCATAAAAAAAAGAATTTGACCAAACATAAAAGAAGTGAGAAATTAAAAGAGAAGGGGTATAGAAAATAAATGTAAGAAAAAAAAAAGAGGTGTAGGACAATCAAAATCCTCGTGAAAAATAGCTACTGTTTACAGTTTATGATGACTCTGTGGACCATAATTTAGCCGTCAGTTATTAGTGTACCAAAATCCAGAACGTGTCAATTTCCAAGCCATTGAACAAAAACTTTAGACTTCACAAGACAAAAATCAAAATATCTATGATGCCTTTCTTAGTTCATACTTTTGTACTGTTTCAAAATCAGATTTGTATAATTTATTTAAATTCTATTCTGTTATTTAAATTCCATAATGCATCATGATCTATTCATTGAAGTTACCATTTATAATAGCATAATTAACTATGGTGCAAAACAAGCTAGTTGCATCACATGACCAACTTTTCAAACTTAATGCATAATATGAACAATTTGTCAGAATTACCATATGATATGCTTGAATTAATCTTAAGAGAAGCCTCCTCAATAATGGAAATAAACATTATATCATATAATTAAATGTATATACATGTGCATCCGGTATGATTGGAGGCAGTGTTTCAATGTAAAGGTACAAACGTCTTAAATTCTCCTTGGCAATGGTAACCTTGTCAACTACATCTTTGTTGCCAATAACCACCCATAAATCTCTTGGAGTGATCCTTCTGAGGCTTCCACGGCAAAATGGGCATGATTCTGATCTCACATACCTGAAAATTTCATGTTAAATTTTGCAATTACAGTAAGTACTTGTTACTGCTATGGTAAGTCAAGAAACATACCAATCATGGAAGCAGCTAATGCACAGAGAATGTCCACAATTAGGTAGAACCATCTTCATGCTATTTTCCATGCATATGCCACATTCCTCGTCTCCTTCTAGATCTTTATTGAGAAGCTTTTCAAGCCTATTTCCTCTCACAACTTCTGCATAGCTGCTTCTTTGATCATTATTATTAAATTCACCTTGAAGTAACCTTAATGAAGGGTATATAACAGCTGCAAAAGCATGCCATCATCAAAGCTGATTCAGTATGTGTTTGGAAACATGTCGAAATACCTATAAAAGTGGATCCAACGTGGAAACTATAACTGCTAGCGTTAAAGTAAACATGGATATGTACTCATTTAAAAACGTGAATCCAAATATGCTAGTTGAAGACAGAAAGGCAGCAAGAAAAGGAGAGACATGTAACATTAACTGCATGTTTGGATGCAAGTTAAGTTTATGTAGAATCACGTTTATTTTATGGTAACATGATTTTGTAAAAAAAATTGATATTTGGGTCCTCTCAATCAAAATTAGTTTTTTCTTAAAACTCATGTTTAAATCAACCGTGGTAAATTGTAGCTTTTGTGTTGAGATGAAAACTTTATACTAATTTTTACTGAAAATTTACTTTTAAGAGACAGGTTTCTAACATAAATTACGTTACTTCAAATTCACTTTTAATCAATTCTACGTAATCAAGTTCATTCCAACTCAAATTTATAAACGCTCACCCAAACACACACTAAGACATACCATAGAATTCCTTTATAGTTGCTTTCCTTTCTTTTGAGGAAATAGATGGCATTCCATCAGCATATACCTGGACAAACATGGCACAGCAAATTCATCTACATTTTCAAGGTAAAAGGGTGGGGCCAAATAAACAAAGAGTGAAAGAATTCGAAAACTGAACAAAGGGGTAAACATTAAAAAAAAAAATAACCTGAAGTGATAATGACTAACATTGAAAACAAGTATGTGGAGTAAGCCCAAATACATAGGCAAAGTATCTGTACAACTAAAATCCAACCATTCAATCAAGAACAAGAAAAGAGGAGCAAAGGGGCTGTAAGATAATTTCATCTGAAAATAGTCCCCACCATAATCTTGAGGAAGTGCTGATGCCCTGCATTTTTTTTAATATCAACAATATTATATGTAAGCTCGGCCACAGTTAACATAAGCATAGACTATCAAACATAAAGTTTCATTTTAGCAAAATAAAGTCACTCAACCACTTTTAAACACCGACAAAATTGACCAAATTAAGGGAAAATTGTGACATATGGAGATGACTTCTCTTTGAAGGTAATTCTTCTAGATGATCAAAATTGGCAATTCAGGCCATGGCTTATGTAAATAAAACGCGCAAGGGGCCATACATGGAAGAGTATGACAAATTAATTTTAACCATATAATCCATACATAGATAGTCAAGATTATTTTATTTAATCTAATATTGATATGATTCATTTCAATTGTATAAATTGTGCAGGGGCAATGTTGTTTGGGTGATATTGAACCGTCTGTCATTCATATAATGAAACCGGGAAGAGAGAGAGAGAGACATATCATTCTACCTTAAAAGGGATAATTTATAACTATAAACTATATCCTTGAAAAATAAAATAATAAAACAAAGAACTTACAGGATATTAGCATGTTGAATATCATCTTCAAGAGCCTTGACAGAATCACTGTAAGAAGAAGTATTGTGCTGCTTTTGCCACATTACAAGTCTCAATAAGAAAAATGGAACAAAACGGAAGAGAGTTTGACAGAAAAAGAGTTTTAGCTTTTTAGAAATGGGACCAGTTTGGTTTGTTGTATAGAGTTCAGAGGGAATTTTTAAAGCCTAGGATTGTAAGTAAGGAAGGATATCTCTTAAAAGCAGCTGAGAAATCAGGTTGCTTAATTTTCAAACTTTGCATTCTGTAAGAAAAGAAAAGAATGCCTTCTACCACATGCCTTACCTTTTCCTTCTTTCTTCATTAATTTCATTGTCAACTGCATTATGGTTTACCATTGACATTTGTATTTTGACTAAGTCTTTCTTATAGATGTACTCAAATATTCAATCTCAGAGCTAGTGCTTCAAACGTTTCTCCAGTTACCCTCCAATAAATGTTGTGCCTGCTCTATACTTTTTCATTTCTCATATTTCTGCTATAAGGAACATTAATGGTGCCATTGCCACCTGCCACTATTTTGTGGTGAAATAAGTTTGCATAGGTAGAATAATTCAGAAGTTCCAAGTCGGTAGTTACTAGAAACTTCATGGCTTATGCTAATTGCTGAACTTAAAAATTATAATATATTACACTTTTTTTTTGTAATTTGACCATTTTTAACTTATTCTTCTAATTTTTTTGTATAACTTAATTAGAATTATACCATTAGTTAAATTTATGGTTGATAAATTTAATTTTGTAAATAAATTAAGTAAAAATTAGAGAAATTAACATTTTTTCTATAACTCATACTGTAAGAGAGTTGAACAAGAAAATATAAAACCATGAAGAGAAAAAATACATTGACTCTTAAAATTATTATAATAAATTTATAATACAACCTCTTATGGATATTAATCATTTTTAGTCAGACACCAAACAAGGTTTCTTAAACCTAATGTGTCCAGTAAATATACCTCACATCAATAAAACTATGGGCCAGGTCTTTGACATTGGCATAGGCCCAAAATTACAACAAAAACAATTTGGACAACTACATTGGCATGGTTGACAAAATAAAACATTACTGTAGGGCCCAAGAATGGAGGTGCTGGAATGCAGTCCCAGCATTGAATGATAAGATTTGTTAATTCAGATTATAATATCAGTAATATCTTATTTATGAATTCTTTAATTGAGCTTGGTCAACTGCATTTACATAGAAAATATATCATATTTAAACAATCATATCTCTCATAACTTGATACAACATACATACACTCAAAATTAAAAGACCAAAAAATAAAAATTTATAATATTGTTTCTCTTCAAATGGAAAGAAAATGAAAGAAACTAATAATTTTGTTCAAAATAAAAAAAAATAACCAATCTATTTATTTATATATTAAAAATATTTAACACATTTTTAAAAAAAAATTAACCAATTTTCATTTACATAATTTTTTTTTTGGCTTCCCCCTCAATCAAACATAAGTTAGGATCTAGCATTGGAGGAACAAAGTTTGATATGATACATGCGATTGTTGGATTTCAAAGCTTGAGGCGCAGACAAAACGGTTGGTTTGATCTTTTTCCTTTTACTATTTTTCATGAAATAAAATTTTATATTTTAAATGTATTTCATGTTTTGTTTTATTCAAAAGTATATTACATACAAAATAAAACTCGTACATTATATTATAACGGTTCTAACATATTTATCAAATTTTACAAAGTTTCTGAGTGAAAAATAAAAATTTAAAAGCTTGAGATAAAAAAGAATTCATGAAGAAACCAACTTTACTTATTTTAAAAATGAAAAAGACTCAATTAATTTTAAAAAATTAGAAGAATAAACTACACATAATTAAAAATAAAGAGACAAAAATACACAATTAAACCTTTTCTTTTTGAACTCTTCTTATACAACATTGTTCTGCACTTGTCTTTTATATGCCACAGGAGAGTTTTTGTAAAAAACAAAACAAAACAAATATCAGTTGGATTAAACTTTATGAAAGTTATTGGATTAAACATTTAATACGAGTTTACAACGAATAGGAGAAAAGTTAGTTTGCATAAACTTTATGAAAGGATCATTATTCTGATTTTATTCGTCTCAACGAAGATTAATAAGATTGTATAAACTCTTTAAATTGGTGAATTTGTTTTTTCCATATTGTAGTTTGAGCCCATGATAGAATCTGATTCTTGCAAATTCAAGGAAAACATGTTGGAATTTTGTATATTATTATTGGATGGTTAATTAAAAGAGAGAAATATATATAGATTTTATAAGTCATATAATATTTACAAACTCCATATAATATATGGTTTTTTTTAATAAACCAATTGGACCAACTGGTTTGATTGCATCGAGATTAGAGTGGGGACCACACTCTTCCACAGTATAGGAATCTAGGCCGCACAATATCTATGCACTTTCTCAAGTTTCAAAAAGCAGAATGACAACTTGGTCTAAAGTTGCACCATTAAAAGCACAAATCAAATTATATAAATTAACAACCTTCAATTTTAATTATGCATCTTGCACTTGGTTTTCTTGTTCTATCTCTTTGCTTTTGGTCTCGGCAGTTAGCATAGTTTTGTTTTGTGTCTAATATATATAATTTTTACATTAGATAGCATTTATATATTATTCATCAACTTATGTCAAATATATTAAAAGGGACGTTTCAAATTCAGTCCAAAATATTGGAAATACTTAATAACAAAGAAAAGAGATAAGATTTATGGAACTGACCATAATGGGGTGGTGCATTCAGGATTATTGATGCAACCTGTTTTGCAACCCGACATCAATTCTGTTCATGTTGTCGTATAGGAACAAGACAGCTTATTATACCAACTAATCCTGTTCATGGCAGCTTCTTCCATTGAAAACAAATCAGTGGGCTCAAATGTTAATTTCATCAACTCGTCCTAGATTGTGATTTGAGCTTGTGCCTTGTATGTCACTATTTTTATTAGGGGAAAGAGAAAAAGAAAAAGGAGAACATGAAGTCTTATTTTTCTTAAAGTAAAAGAGAGATTCCAACATCAGATAAAGATACAACAAACGTGAACGAACAATCAATATACTTATCAGTCGAAAAAGTTAAAGTGGGAGAAAGCTGGTTGAGATGCCAAACTCAAACAAGCAGTTGATGTTATCAATCACACAAAATTCTTGATGCAAATTATTAGTTTCTCTTCCAAGTCCAATGGGTTTTTTTTGTTCTATTTTTCTGGTGGTTGTTTCTCTTATAACATCATGTGTGGTTAGCCAACTTGAAGGTATGTTTCAACTTTCTAGTCATTTTTATCAACAACTCATTTTTATGATACATGGAAGAAAATATAACCATGATGGAGCTTTAAATCTGTGAGAAAATTGACTTGGGATGCAGAATTTATCAGTATTGATTGTGGAGGGACTAGTAACTACACTGATAAAAGCACAGGCCTTGCATGGATTTCAGACTCTGGGATCATGCAATATGGCAAGCCAGTGGAAGTTCAAAATCCTAATGGAAACAAGGTTCAGTATCAGAGACGAAGAGACTTTCCTATAGATAATAGGAAGTACTGTTATACACTTAGCACTGAGGAGAGAAGAAGGTATCTGGTAAGAGCAACGTTTCAATATGGAAGCTTGGATGATGGAGACACATACCCTCAGTTTCAGCTCTACTTGGATGCAACTAAATGGGCTACTGTGTCAATATATGATGCTTCAAGAATATATGTGAAGGAAATGATCTTCAGGGCACCCTCAAACTCTTTTGATGTTTGCCTGTGCTGTGCTACAACTGGTTCTCCCTTCATATCTACCCTTGAGTTGAGGCCCTTGAATCTTTCTATGTATGCCACGGATTTTGAGAGCAGTTTCTTCTTGAAAGTGGCTGCAAGAATCAACTTTGGTGCTCCAAGTGAGGATGCTGTGAGGTCTGGCATCTCGCCCTCATAGTGTTTTCTGTTTTTCTACATCTGCTACGTTTTTAGCACATGCTGTGGACTTTTAGCATTTGACATGAGAGAAATAAAAACAATAGAACATATATTTGAAGTTTTGCATAATTCCTAGCTTGAGTGGAAAATTAAAAAAAATAAAAAACACATTTTTGTTGGCATCAAGCTTAATTGATTTATTAACAAATATTTGTCAGGTATCCTGATGATCCATATGATAGAATTTGGGAGTCTGATCTTATAAAGAGACAAAATTATCTTGTTGGGGTGGCTCCAGGCACAGAAAGAATCAACACAACAAAGAACATAGAAATAGAGACAAGAGAATATCCACCTGTTAAAGTGATGCAAACTGCAGTTGTTGGCACAAAAGGAGTACTTAGCTATAGACTAAACCTAGAAGACTTCCCTAGCAATGCTAGAGCTTATGCATATTTTGCTGAGATTGAAGATCTGGACAAGAATGAGACTAGAAAATTCAAGTTGGAGCAACCTTACATAGCTGACTATAGCAATGCAGTGGTGAACATTGCTGAGAATGCCAATGGGAGCTACACTCTTTATGAACCAAGTTACATGAATGTGAGTCTGGAATTTGTTCTTTCATTCTCCTTCGTTAAGACCCGGGATTCTACAAGAGGACCTCTTCTAAATGCAATGGAAATAAGCAAATATGTACAAATTGCTTCAAAGACCGACAAGCAAGATTGTAAGTACTTAATATCATTTTATATTTGGCAAAATTGATATTTTATGCATGCCCAACATTGCTTTTTTGGAAGGGTAATTAGTAACCACAACAAAGATTAAATAATTTGAGTTTGATCACTAACTTTCAGCAATTACATTGTTGTACCGAATGAACAGATTGCTAACATACTTTTATTTTGCAGCAAATTTTGTAAATGCACTTCGCTTCTTGTCTCCTGACAGTGTCCTGAAGAATGAAGGTGACCCCTGTGTTCCTACTCCCTGGGAGTGGATAAACTGTAGTACCACTACACCTCCAAGAATTACAAAGATGTAACATCTCCATACCTTTGTTGACACTTATGTTTTATGCTACCTTCTAGCCTAGTGAATTGTCATTTTAAGGACGACTCATCTCTGACACAAGTTTTTAAACACACTAGAATGTTGAGTTCCAAAAGTTGGTGTTATAGAATGTGAAATACCCGGATATTTAGAGAAAAGATTAGGCAGAAGCATGATGGAAAATTATTTTCAAATAATTTTATTGTTAACATAACATTTTTCCAGAGAAAATACTTCCTCGAAGTTTAAGTGGTACAAATATTTACTTAATTTACATAAACTGTATTAGAAACCTGTCAAGAAGGAATCTGAAGGGTGAAATACCACAGGAACTCAACAACATGGAAGCATTGACAGAACTGTAAGTAAATCACCTTCAGAATAAAGGCGTTTATTCATTGTTTTAAATGTGGTTTCTTTTTTAATTCATTGTTGTTTTCTTAGGTGGTTAGATGGAAACTTGCTTACAGGACAACTTCCTGACATGAGCAATCTTGTCAATTTAAAGATTGTGTAAGTTCTTTAGTTTCACTCGTATCCTTTTATGGAAGGGTTGAGGTGAAATCAATATTTTGGAAACACCATTCATTGTCCCCTTTTTCTTATTTTCATTTTTTGAACTAATGACATGCAGGCATCTAGAGAACAACAAATTGACTGGTCCACTACCATCTTACTTGGGTAGTTTACCAAGTTTACAAGCACTGTATGTAGCAATCATCTATGTTTATCATCTCTACTTTCAGCAGCATTTTTCTAGTTAATCCAAAATTTTTCCAACTGAGCATAATTGTTGCCCCAGATATTTATGAATCATGCAACATTTATGGATGTATGACAGGTTCATACAGAATAACTCATTTACTGGGGAAATACCTGCAGGATTATTGTCTGGAAAAATAATTTTCAAGTAAGTATGCTAAGCAAAAATACATTTTTCTTTTTTATTAGTTTAGTTCCTTGATTGAAGCAACATTTTTTTTTCTTCTAGATTTGATGATAATCTTGAACTGCATAGAGGGAACAAGAAACATTTTCATTTGATGCTAGGAATTTCTGTTGGAGTACTAGTGATTCTATTAATATTGTTCTTAACAAGTTTGGTGCTATTGCTTAATCTACGGAGAAAGACATCTCAACAAAAACGTGATGAACAAGGTTAGTCCAGTAAGTCAAATCTAATATTTTTAAATAGACAATAATCAAGTTCTACCATGAACCATTAAAGCATTTTTGTGCTCTGCATGCAGGTATTTCTGGACGCAGCAGCACTAAACCTTTAACTGGATACTCATTTGGTCGAGGTGGGAATTTAATGGATGAAGGTACTGCTTACTACATTACACTCTCAGAGTTGAAGGAAGCTACTAATAATTTTTCAAAGAAAATTGGCAAAGGAAGCTTTGGATCTGTCTTCTATGGGAAAATGAGAGATGGAAAAGAGGTGGCAGTTAAGACTATGACTGATCCATCCAGCCATGGGAACCAACAATTTGTAAATGAGGTAGCCTTTCCATATTTGAATCTTGATTAAGAATCTATTCCTGTACAATTACCCCATCGGTGTCTTACAATATATTTTTAGTTGCAGTTTATCAAAAGTATTGTATTCATTCAATTTCATAAGTATAGCATTCTCAGTATTAGAGATACAATAATACCAATGTTTAAAGTTCAAACAGCTTAAGAAATTGAAACTATGAAACCTTCGAAACTCCACTTCAGGTCTAACCGCAGAAGATCTAATTTAGAACACAAATTTCTTAGATAGTTGAAGGGAACAAGAAGAACATGAGAAAACATAGTTTTCAGCTCATTGATTGTAGAGTCACAAATGCAGGTAGCCCTTTTGTCAAGAATTCATCACAGAAACTTGGTTCCTCTGATTGGATATTGTGAAGAAGAATACCAACATATTCTGGTTTATGAGTACATGCACAACGGCACTTTAAGGGAATACATTCATGGTCTAATTCAACACCCTTGTGTTCATCTATTTACTTAGTAGTAAAAAGTCGTGCATGATATAAATTCCAATGTTTTGACAGAGTGTTCAAGTCAGAAGCAATTAGATTGGTTAGCTCGGCTTCGTATTGCAGAAGATGCAGCTAAGGGTTGATTAATTAATCTTCTTGGTCCATTACTAATTTTAGTGTTTCACTTCCAAATTAACAGATAAAGAGCAATTTTTCAAATATGTTTGTAGGTCTTGAATATTTACACACAGGATGCAATCCTAGTATCATTCACCGGGATGTGAAAACAAGCAATATTCTCCTAGACATCAATATGAGAGCAAAAGTGTCGGATTTTGGACTCTCAAGACTAGCTGAAGAAGATTTAACTCACATATCAAGTGTTGCAAGGGGAACTGTGGGTTACCTAGATCCTGAGTAAGCCATGGTTCTCATGTCACGTCTCTATGATCAAACAATATCATTCTCTTCAACACTCTCAGCTCAGTTTCTTTTCCCTTGAACAGATACTATGCAAATCAACAACTGACTGAAAAGAGTGATGTGTACAGTTTTGGAGTTGTTCTGCTGGAACTGATATCTGGAAAAAAGCCTGTATCATCAGAAGATTATGGTCCTGAGATGAATATCGTTCACTGGGTATGTTTGCGTTGCCTTTTCTCAACAATGCAAAGTTGAAAAAATAGCATCAATAAATTGAACAATTGAACTTGCACAACATCATGTGAAGCAATTAATTTAGCTAGTAATGTATGTATATAGGTTAAAATATTGACACTTGTTTCATATATCTAAATTTGTTATATTTTAGTTTCTGTTATTATATAACACTATTAGTAAAAGTTACTGTTCATTCTTTTATTTGTTAATAATATCATAATAACATAAACTATATCGTAACAAAATATATGTATAAAGACTAAAATATAAAGATTAAATGAATATGTTCAAAATTTTGTTGCAGATTTTCATGCAAATTTTTACGTGTTTTTGTAGGCAAGATCCTTAATTCGTAAAGGAGATGTGATAAGCATAATGGATCCTTCCCTTGTTGGGAATGTGAAAACTGAGTCAGTTTGGAGGGTTGCAGAAATTGCCATGCAATGTGTAGAGCAACATGGTGCCTCCAGGCCAAGGATGCAAGAAGTCATTTTGGCCATTCAAGATGCTTCAAAGATTGAAAAAGGGTCAGAAAGTCAACTAAAGTTTTCTTCATCATCTTCTAGTAGTTCAAAACCACAATCTTCACGTAAAACTTTACTTGCAAGTTTTCTTGAAATTGAGAGTCCTGGCTCATCAAATGGATGCCTCCCATCAGCAAGATAACTATTTTTCTTTCATATATAAAGGTAGGTTTTGTACATTATTGATCATTTTTTCCTTTACCCTTTTTGTCCATTGCTATATTATATACTAATGTGTTCATACAAGTGACACTCTCACTCACTAGTGACAAGATAAGACACCTTCAAATCTTAGAACCAACGAAAATATAATATTCTTACTTGGCTAGTTCAAAGATTTAACATTTAATTTGGCTATCTGTAAATTGGAATGGACAAGGAAAGTGCCCCTTTTTTTTTTGTGGGGTGCTGAGAAACATTAATTGAAAACAAAAATAAAAAAATTATTAGACACAAGAAATATTCAATTTGATTCTTAAACAATGTTAATTACGTTGCCTTGATCCTTAATAGTTTATTATTATTATTATTATTGTCCTTAATAATTTCTATTTATGAAAAATTGATTGCCGAAGGGTTAGATGAATGTGTTTACATTTCTATGGACCAGTCTGATTTGACCCTAACTCAACAGCACCAACTGGCCCGTAAAGGGTTAAGTAAATCCGTAAGCCTAAAAATATCATAATTAATTATTATGATTATTTTTTTATTCAAGTCTGTTTTGATATAATTTAAAAAATTATGCATTTTTGTTTCAAATTATAGGTGCCTTTTTGAGCCAAATAATAATAATAATAATAATGTGTTTGAAGCTTCTTTTTTTTAATGCAAGTTAGCTAAATAATTTTTTTCAAAAGTAGACTTTAATTACACAAACTAAATTTAATTCTTGGCGCTATGCGATTTGATAAAATTATCTTTATTTATAATAATTAATAATAAAAATATGAATTTTATTGTTAATTAATTTTTAAAAAATATCTTTAACAAATAAATTTAACTAAACTTTGTTGATAGGATAAAATATTTTTATATTACTATTTAATCAAAATTAATATTAGTAAAAATAAATAATTTACAATAATTATTTTAAAAATCATATCTATTGAATATTTTAATAACTAAAAATATTAAAAATATATTAATAATACATTAAAATTATACTCATATATTGTTTAATATTTAATATTTAAAAATATATATTTAAAATATTTAAAAGGGATATATTCTTTCTTGTATAAGAATATAAATAAAAATTAATTTTTCAAAAAATATAATTAAATATTTTTTATATTGTGATAAATAAGTAATTATTATATCATAAATAAATATTTTATTATTTTTATTATTATAAATCTAATGCAATATTATATTAATACTTGTATTTATATGTATGATAATTAAATAAAAAATACTAGCTAAAATTAAGATTTGATTTTACAACATATTTCAACAAGAAATTTATGAGTCAAGCTAAACCAACAATTAGAGCTAGGAATATTCAAAAATAAAAAATATTATATTTTATTGCAGGATTAAAGTTATTAATATTGAAGAGAGAGAAAATTGTTTTTAAATTTTATTTATTCAAGTAATTTCTTAAAATAAAAAAAATTACAGAATCCTATTTTTTTCATTTCACATGTTAAAAAGTCTATGTAACAACAAATGTGTTTATTATTATTGAGGTGACATTTTTCAAGAAAAAATATAAGTGGGTTAAATTGAGTTGACTCAAAAACCAATCAATTCAAGTCAATCAAAACTAGAGACTTTTAGTTGATTACTTAACTTATTTCAATTTTAAAAGAGACAAGCCCAATATTTAATTGAGTTTTGATTTTGAAAAATTAAAAACTAACAAATCTGAGCTTATAACTTAAATTTTTTTTTAAACATTTTCCACTTTTTAAAAATATAACTATTCCCTGATAATCCAAATTCTAAAAAATTAAAAAAAATAAGTTGAATTCCAATTACGAAGCAAAATTGCCAAGCTCAAATGGATCCAAGGCAAAAATTAAATGGATTTGAACTCATTATTCTTCTGAGACTTAACCTAAACACACCTTTATTTTCCAATTCCCAGTTGTCTCTTGTTTGTTTCTCCACTTTTGGGACGAAAATTGACATGATTTGAATAACTTGATTTCTTTAAAGTTGAAACCTTACCAATAATTCTCCTTCATCGCTGTCTCATTAATTGAGTCACAGCATGGGTATAGCTTCAACAATCTGATTATGAATAATAAATATATCAGATTAGAAGAAGCCATGAATATTATAACGTGTAATCTTTGTAATATAGAATCTAAAATAAGATAAAATATGGGTGGATTTGACCTTATTTTGATGGATTGTACATAAAAAAAACCTAATCGAGATACCCAAAATAAATTAATATAATAACTTAATATAATGGCACTTCACTAGAATAATCATTAACAAGTGATATAACATGCATATAAATATTTTATATGAAAAGAAAAACAAAATTGAAGAATTATTCAAATTCAACTACTATGCAAAACCCCATCCTTGACCATAGGAAGCATTTAATGGACTTTGAATTTTTATCTAATGTAAGACGAAACTAATATTATTTTATCTTCAACACCAAACCTCGAGTTTGATAACTCTACGACATGTTCTTTTCATCTTTAACTTATAGATTTCTTACTTTGAATTTTTGCATTTTCTTAAATAGAAAGAGCTCTTATCTAAGAGTGTGATTTGAAATGGAAATAATAGAGTTGTTTTAGGATTTACAAAACTTAAATTTAGTTTGTTCCTCGGATTTAAAATTAAAAGTTTATTTATGTATTTGAAATGGTTTTTTTTTTAATAATACTAAAAAAATAAACAGTTTTCTTTTAAGGTTTTCTTTATCTTTTTAAAATTTTAATTTAACTTAAAAATATGTTTAAAAGTCTTCTTCGTGATAATGATATTTAACAAGTTTAAAATATTTAATTTTAGAATATTATAATAAAAACAATAATAATAAGACTTAATTAAGGAAATCATAATTTTATCATTTGATCTTTTATTTTTAAAATTATTTTTTTATGAAATATTTTTTTGTTATAAAGTAATAGTTACTTTTTTTTTTAATTTAATTCTTTTAAATATCACTATATTTTATTAAATATCTTGTCTTTAAAAAATTAAATAATTTTTTTTGAAAATCTCATGCAATAATTAAGACAATAGATCACACAATATTCAAAATTTAAATTAAAAAACTAGAATACTACAAATGAAATTCTAGATAAGTTAGCCATAAGCATACTATGAAGAGGAGAGAAAGAATAATAACATAAGTACACAAAAGGACAGACATTTAATAATAACACGGTGAGTTTCCTAATATGAATAGAACACAATGTTTAACACCTCTTTTGTTATGATTAAAATGATATAAATCTTAGTTTTTATTTAACGAGATATACTTATGAATACTAAAATTAATTTTAATACACTTATTGTATTGTATGATTAAGGTATATGGTATCGTAGTCGTAGGTATTATGTTATGTTGTCATGGGAAACAACGCAGTACGCAACGCATAGTTTGTCATACGGCATTCCTTACCTCACCCACCGCAACACCCAAAAACCAAAACCCAACCACACTCATATATTCTCCAAAAGCTTCAAACATTGGGACACAAAACCATAAAAAGCTGAATCTTTTTTTCTCTTCTCTTCATCGCTTTCAGTTGCTCACTTGTTTCTTCATTTTCCCTTTCTATGGTGATCAATTTAGGATAAGGGTGCTTAACTCAAGATTGATCACCTTCACCCACTTGAGTTTTGTCTTGACTTTGAAGGAAGAATCATCTCTCTCTCTCTCTCTCTCTCTGTGAACCTATTGATTCTGTTCTTCATCTTTCCACAAAGTAAAAGCTAAGAGGGAAAGATGGCAATGATGCCGTACCACCTTTCCCGGTTACCTTATCAGGATTCTCTCAAAGTACTGGAGGCTGATATTCAACACGCCAATGCTTTGTGAGTTTAATTTTTAACTTACCCTTTATTTATTTTTCACCAATTTATAATCTTTCCTTTTTTTTATATATGTTTTTGGGTTCTATGAAAAAAATTTGGAAATAAAGGGTCTTTAGATAGTTGTTGATTACTGCCTTCAATTGTTTCTAGTAATTTTTGTTTATTAGAGGAAGATGATCAACTTGTGTATTTGTTCTTTTAATTTGTTTCTTATAATAGGAATTTTCTTATCACTTATCAATTTGATTGTGATTTTTCCCCCTCTGAATTTGAATTGTGTGCTGTGCCCTCTAGGGCTGCTGCAATTCCCAGAACCAAGGGTGGGACTCTTGTTCAAATGAAATTGGTTTACAATCAACTTGCTCCTCTCTTCCTACTATTTCTACAATGGATGGATTGTTCTTGTGCAGGCTTTCTGCATCGGTATCTCAATCTCTTCCACGTACTTATATACAAGGTGAGTTTCTTGATGTAGTGGTGTGTTGTTACTTTTCTGTTTGACTGTTTTGGACAGTTTTACTATTACACGTAGGCTATAATTGATTCATGTTTTTCTTTTGCTGTTGTTGCTCTCCTAAATTAATATACCATAGGTACACAATGATGGTAGATCAAACATGTCCACTCACGGAAGGAAGGCTACCATTGGGGACTTTTATGGTGTGTGAATGTTTGAGTTGCCCAAAATACCTTATTTTATTTTAGTTTTTCTTGCATAAAAAGTGTAATTATTTATGGCTTCCATCACTGACTATTCCTCACTTTTTTTACGTCATAAAAAAATTGAACTTCAGCTGTTATATTGCCATCTCTTCAGCGGCTTCATGGTAGTTTTGAGAAGTTGGAGGATTGTGAAGAAGGGCACTCAAGCATGGAAGGTTCAAGTTATGGCAAGAAGGTGATTGAAGGTGGGAAACTAACCAATCTTGATTTCCAAAGAGAAGATGAATGTGGGATTTGCTTAGAGCCTTGCACCAAAATGGTTTTACCTAATTGCTGTCATGCCATGTGTATTAAATGCTACCGCAAGTGGTAATTAATAATAACATTTGTTTATATCTTTATATCCCTTATTGTCAACTTTCATTTTTATATGCCATTGCCAATCGCTCATCATTTGAACACCCTTATGCTGGACTTTTTCAAATTGCAGGAACAGAAAATCTGAATCTTGTCCTTTTTGCCGCGGTAACTTAAGAAGAGTTAATTCGGAGGATCTATGGGTACTAACTTGTAATGATGATGTTGTTGATGCTGAAACAGTTTCTAAGGAGGACTTGTTGCGTTTTTACCTCTATATCAACAAGCTACCTAAAGATCACCCAGATGCACTTTTCCTAATGTATTATGAATATCTGATTTAATTTTTTTACTAAATAAGAAAAAAAATGTACAGGTAGGAAATTCCGGACTGCAAATGTGAATAGAGTCTGGTAAAAAAAGAAAATTACTCTGGTCATTTCATCACAGCTTTGGTATGAGAGATTTCTGGAATTTTAGCCCAGAAAAACTATCTTTTTACTCCTGTGATAGTATCTCCATTGTAGACATTGATCTTGCAATTAATGTGGAATTCCTTGTATAAGGATCCATTAAGCTAAATCTTCTTGTATTGTACTTGTTGTGACACACTGATATTGAGAAGATGAATCCGTGTGATTGTTTTTTATGTTGGAAATGTTAAAATTTGTGCATAACCATCCAAGATAAATCTAATTCATGGCATAAGGAGTACTTCTAAATATTATTTGTATAGATAGCATCACGGTTGTGATGAACAAATTATCAGAAAAGGTCAAGTAGAGTTAAGTTGAATGATTTTATACAATCTTTGATATTATGTCAGAATTATTTATCTTGAATAAGCATTTAGGTGTTGAAAAAATGTGAATGCTTTTATATATATATTAGCACTTTGTCTTTGAAAGTTTGTGATAAAGTTTGAATCAAGATTCATTTTGTGCTTAAATAACTTTTTTTTTTAAAAAAGAAGAAAAAACACCTACCCATATTTTTGTTCATACTCTTACCACAGTGCCACGCCATTCTTGTTAGACTTGGTGGAAGCACCAAAATGCCTCAACTTTCCAACGAATCACGTTGACTTTGTATATGAATTTTTTCATTAATTTTCAAGGCTTCAACTTAATTTTTCTTATAAAATTAATATAATACGAATATATGATTACAGGGTTGAAGTTTAACCTTTTTTTTTCCATTAAAGTTTGAAATATTTCACACAGGAGCATATTATGTCTACGTTTCTAGCAAGTAAAGACTTGCATATAATTGCTGAAAAGGAGCATAAAGAGTGAACAATAGCTTCAATGATGAAATATTAATAAGAAATATTCAAGATGCACCATTAAATTAATGAGAAGATATTTTTCACATTATTATTATAATTTTTGCTAATTTCAGTTTTAGCACTGAGTTAAAACATTCATAGATAAAATAACTTAAGAAAAATAAATTTATTATATTGAAGTTATAAAAATACAATAAATATTTTTATTTTAATTTAATAATAATATTATTAATTACTTATTTTCAGTGCTTTGAAGTTAACATTTTATTATTATTATTATCTGATCAAAATGAATCATGTTCTATAATAATTAGTAATTAAATATGGGGTAGTGAATTAAACTTGAACAAGTATGGCATACCAGCCAATACATTCAAACCACATTGGAAGCTTAGTAAAGACAAGACAGTTAACCAAAAACGCAATGAACGACAAAAGCAGCTACGTTTTGGCAAACTAATTCAAACGAAGTGACGTATTGCCTCTTCCAAATAGCAGAAAGGTCAACGACGAGTCTCGCAACGTTGCCGTTTACCATATACCAGTTTTCAGGATCTTGTAGTACCAACGCAAAACCATAATAAATAAATAAATAAAATAAAATAAAATAAAAATCACCTTGTGAATTTTGCTTTTCTTACAATCCGAATTTCGTCGTCTTAACAGGTGCGGATTTACACTTCGTTTGGCTCTCACTGCTATTTCAGATTTTCGAAGTCAATTTCATTTTAGGGTTTCTTTCTTTCTTTCTTTCTCTAGTTCTTAATGAAAATCCGGTTTGTTTACTTGATTTTAGATTGAATTGATTTGATTTTTGAATTTAATTGATTTTAATGCTTTCTAGATTATTATTTGTGGATTGTAATTTTAAGAAAAATAGAAATTACAGATCCGAATCTTGCTTGGGAGGAGGGAGTTGAATGTTGAGATGTCTGAGAATCACGTAGCAGAGCAGGTTTCGGAAGCGGATTCGGATTCGGGTCCTCATGTATCAAACACTGATGCATATCAAGATCAGGTACCTACCATTATTAATTACCTAAGCAAGGGGAATTTGGGTAATGCTGAGTTTTGATTATTAATTAATGCGAGTGAGTGAAGCAGGGAGAGCGTGATGATATTAAGGATGGAGTTTTGGGGGAGGCTGAAGATGGAAAATCTACAGAGGATACTGCCAGAGATGACATGTTTGTTGATTGCCCTGATGAGTTAACCACATTCGATGGTAGGCAAAAGGAAGAAGAAGTTGCAGCTGTGGAAAATGAAGATGACAAGTTAGAGGAAAATCAAGTTATGCATCAACAACAGAATCATTTTGTTGAATTGGGCAATGGAGTGGGAGATGGTTATTCCCAAGGCCAGCTGGAGAAGGCTGTTGCTGAGAAAGAAAGTATTGTGCAAGAATACCAGGTTTGTGGTTTGTGTTACGAGTAGTTTTAGCTATCACAGATTGAGTTTGTCATCAAATATTCATCTTTTCATTTTCGGGGCGATGCAGGAAGAAATGCGAACTGTTACCCAGGGAGTGCTTGATCTTCATTCTCAGCTAAAGGCTCTCACGGGTCAACAGAATGAAGCTGGAGTTGGATCTAGGGAAGTGACTGATGTTCCAGTAAGGGGGATGATAAAAGAATGTTTGGAGTTTGTGAAAACTGATTCAGAAGAACGATTGAACAGTGAAACCACTATCAGTAGTCTTCGTGAACATCTGTCTATGAAGGACCTTGAGATAGAGGATCTTAATGCAAAGCTTGCCCAATTAACGGTATCTAATGAAAGTTTGCAAGTTTCATCAGAAGCTCAGCTTGAAAAGGATCGTAATGTTGAGATTGTGATAGATAAGATGCTATCCTCTCTTGCAACAGTTGTTACTCGGGAGCAAGTATTGGATGATTCAATTAGCGGGAAAATAGTTAACATTGAGGAAGGAACTATGCTTTTAATAGAAAAGTATAATCAGATACTTTCTGAAATTTATCAACTCGGGCAATCTTTCTCTGAGGTAGGCTTGGACACTAAAGAGCAGGAATATGAGAGCATACTTGTTGATGCTCGTGGTGGGTTACTGGATCTCAAAAGAAAGGAAACAGAATTGGTTGAAAAACTGGCTCAGTTAGAAGATGAAAATCGGAAACTGGTTGAAGAGCTTGACAAGGAAAAGTTGATAATAGGGACATTAAATACTGAACTTGGAAATGTGAAAATAGAACTTGAGCAGGAAAAGGTTAAATGTGGTAATACGAAAGAAAAGCTTAGTATGGCTGTGACAAAAGGAAAGGCATTAGTACAGCAGAGAGATTCATTAAAGATGTCACTGGCTGAAAAATCCAGTGAGCTCGAGAAATGTTTGATTGAATTGCAAGAGAAGTCAGTTGCTCTAGAAGCTGCTGAACTTGCTAAAGAGGAGTTGGCCCAAAGTGAAAATATGGTTGCATCCCTGCAGAATTCTTTACTACAAAATAATGCAATTTTTGATCAAGTGAAAGAAATCTTGTCTCATGCCAATCCCGATGAACCTGAAATGTTTGATATGCCAGAGAGACTAAGATGGCTTGTGGAGGACAGAAATGCAGTTAAGGATGCCTTCCTGGAGCTAAGCAAATTGAAGGAAACTCTATCTCTAGCAGACCTACCAGAACCTATTTCATCTTCTGATTTGGAATCACAAATAAATTGGGTTACAAATTCTTTCCATAGGGCCCAGGATGATGTGTATACTCTACAGGAAGAAATTTCTACAATCAATGAAGCATCCCATAATTATATTGATCGGTTGAGTGTTTCTTTTTTGCTGGAATTACAGGAGAAAGATTACCTTCTTTCAGAATTAACTGATTGGAGGTTCAAATATGATGAGCTTGTTGGCAAGAACCATCAAATTTCTTTGGAGAAGGATCAGATAGTGAATATGTTAGTCGATTTTTGTGGCCTAAACATGGAAGATGAAGGGATTGATCAATTCTCTTCCAGCACTTCGCGAATCATTGATTTATGCTTTGAAGTTATAAGAGGACAGAGTGGTCCCTTCTCTAGAGCATCTCATATTGATGCTGAGTTGTTTGAAAGGGTTCAAAGTCTATTGTACGTTAGAGATCAGGGATTAATACTCTACGAAGATATACTGGAAGAAGAGATGCTAATTAGATCAGATGTGAATAAGCTTTTAACTGAGTTGAAAATGGCATCTGAAAAAATTGTAGCACTGAATGAAGAAAGGAATTCTCTGCTGCAGGATCTTGAACGATCAGAGGAGAAGACTGCCATGCTTAGGGATAAATTGTCCATGGCAGTTAAGAAAGGAAAGGGGCTGGTTCAAGATAGGGACAATCTAAAAAGTCTTCTAAATGAAAGGAACTCAGAGATTGAACAGTTAAAGGTTGATTTGCAGAAGCAAGATTTTGCTGTTTTTGAATACAAGGATGAGATCAACAGATTGTCCAATGACTTGGAAAGCATTCCTAAGCTAGAGGCTGATCTGCTGGAAATGAAAAGGGAAAGGAATCAGTTTGAGCAATTTTTAAATGAGAGCAATAGCATGTTACAGAGAGTGATGGAGTGTATTGATGGTATCATTCTTCCAGTTGATCCAGTTTTTGATGAACCAATAGAAAAGGTGAAGTGGCTTGGTGGTTATGTCATTGAGTGCCGAGATGCCAAGGTACGAGTAGAACAAGAGTTGCAGCTAGCAAAGGAGGATGCCAGTATACTTGAAATTAAATTAGCAGATGCCCAAGCAACTGTACAATCACTTGAACAGGGATTATCATCTTCAGAGGACAGTGTTTCTCAACTTGCTGAAGAAAAGATAGAGTTAGAACACAGGAAAGCAAAAGTTGATGAAGAGTTACAGAAAGTTAAAGAAAAAGTTGCTGAGGTCTGTAGCACTACTAAGTCACTTGAAGATGCTTTATCACAGGCAGAAGAAGATATTTCTCTTCTTTCCAATGAGAAAGAGCAGGCTCAAATTAGTAGAGTTGCTGCAGAGACAGAGTTAGAGAGCATTAAAGATGAAGCATCCAGGCAGACAAGCAAACTGGAAGAGGCCAGCAGGACCATAAAGGATCTAGAAGATAAACTATCTCTGGTTGAGAGTAATGCCCATTTATTGACTGAAAAGTATAATGCTGATCAAGTTGTCAAGGTTGATATGGAAAATGAATTGAAGAAGCTGCAAGATGAAGCTGAAAATCATGCTAGCAAATTGGTAGGTGCCTCTGCAACTATAAAATCACTGCAGGATGCATTATCAAAGGCACAAGATGATATTTCTGCCCTAGAAGATGCAAATAAAATTGCTAATCAGGAGATATCCTCACTTGGTTTTAAGTTAAATTCATGCATGGATGAGTTAGCAGGAAAGAATGGAAGCTTAGAAAACAGGTCCCTAGAGCTCATCGGACTCCTTAATGATCTTCAGCTGCTTATGAAAGACAATACTCTATTTCCCAGAATAAAGCAATGCTTTGAGAGGAAATGTGAGACCTTGAAAAATATGAATATCATTATGAACAAAATAAGAAACCATGTTGCCATGACTGCAACGGATTCTGAAGAACACCTTGTTATAGAGGTAATATTGTTACCACCGTCAATTGGTTGTTATTATTTCCTCATTTTCTGTGCATTCAATACTGATTTTAACCAATCTAATATGCTGTCCAAGTCTCTGATCATTATGATATATATAATTGGAAAATTTAATGGTGATTAATGCATAATGCTTTGAAGTGTGTACTGTTTAGAAAATTACACAGGGTTTTGATATCAGACAAGTGTTGTTCCAAATCTTTTGGATCTGTTCAATCATTTTGTGTGTGTCGATTGGTGTCATTGTTAATATGGCTTTCTCTAATTTTTTATTGTGTGTGTTTTTCTTAATATGTGGTGTTGTTTGTTCCAGCAAAATCCACTTGTGAGACAAGCATTCTTGGATGACCTTGAAAATTTTGAAGTTGAACTGGACAATAGAGAGATTGATGGTGTTGATATTGACACCATTATCTCATCATTTGGAAAGATTGTGAAAGGATTTCAGTTGAGAAACAAACACATTGCAGATAAGTTTGATGAATTTTCTGATTCAATTGATGAGTTTATTTCTCCTCTCCATGAAAAGCTGCTGGAAACAGAGACCATCTCAACAACTATTGTTGAGCACATGGAAGTTATGAAAGAAAAAGCAAATACCATGGAGAAGTTGAAAGAAGAAAAGGAAAATATTATTGCCACTTTAGAGAATGATGTCAATGCATTGCTGTCTGCATGCAATAATTCTACCAGTGCACTTCAGAGTGAAGTTGACAAGAATATTGGGCAACCAGGCTTCACATCTGAGGTTCAGAAATTAAACCTTGAAGGAGATGCACAAGCAGATACTCATAAGAACAGCAAATACGCAGAAGCCACACAGAAGTTGATAAATGCTTCTAGAAAAGCTCAAACTTTGATTAGACAGTTTGATTGTAGAAGTGAGCAGTTAGCTGCAACAATTGAAGATTTGCAGAATAAGTTGAAAGAAACAACAGTTGCTATCGAAATAGTCACAGATGAGAGAGACTTAAATAAAAACAGAGTTTTGCAACTGGAGTCTGATGGTCAATCATTGCAAAGTGCTTGCAGTGAGCTTAAGGATAAGTTAGAGGCTTATCATGCCCTAGAAGAAAAATTGGAGGAAAAAGAGGCTGAGATTTCATCATTGCAGAATACTTTGTTGGCAAAAGAAGAAGGTAAAAAGTTTTGAAATCTTTCTTGACTTAACAAAGTTAGATTTGATTTAACTTGGATATGTTGATTTACTTGTTTATGACTTGATTTCATTTTTCCATTGGCAGAAAGCTCCCTCCTTCCAGCATCTCTGATGAGAAATCTCTTAGACAAGATAGATAGGATAAAAATCCCCCTTGTAGAGTCTGAAGAAGATGATATGGAGCCACAAACTTCAGCCCCCGTTAAAAAACTCTCTTACATTATTGATAGTGTTACTAGGTTGCATGATCAAATAAACTCTCTGTCTCATGATAAAGAAAAGCTGCAATCAAACCTTGAAACTAAGGATTTTGTTATTAAGGATCTGAAGGAAGAAGTTAAACAGCTCAATAGAAACTCTGAAGACACAAACCTGATCAAGAATGAATTGTCTGAGCTCAATTATGTATTAGAAAAAATTATGGATATTTTGGGAGCCAGTGAATGGGTTGTAGATAGAAAATCTATAGGCGTGAAGGAATTAATACCAGCATTGGAAAAACATATAATTGCCATTCTTTCAGAATCTGAAAATTCAAAATCCAAGGCCCAGGAACTTGGTATTAAGTTAGTTGGAAGTCAGAAGGTTATTGATGAATTAATGACCAAGATTAAATTACTTGAAGATTCACTTCAAGATAGGACTTCTCAGCCGGATGTTGTCCAGGAGAGGAGCATATATGAATCATCCTCATTGCCTGCTGGGTCTGAGATAACTGAAGTTGAAGAGGTGGTAAATTTTAACATAGTTTTCTAAGCTTAAATTTCTTACATGATGCAATATCAGTAGTAGATCTGCAGGCTATTTAAGTTTACATGACATAATATAGATGATTTCAGGTGATTTTAAAGTTACATTTGTCTTCATGAGTTAATTGAATGTGAAATATGACAAATAGATATGGATGCCAGTGCTTTATAATTTTCTTCAACTAAATGCTGATGAACTAGGAGTTTTTTTTAGTGGTTATTTTTTCTCTGTACATATTGGAACTTTTTTTGATTTCTGGTGGATCATATCTTGTTTTATCTGTTAGTAATTCATTATGGTGCTGTATTCTCAAAGATGAAATACTTTTCCTCTAGCTGCCAAAAGTAAGTATTGAAGTAATTAAGGGGAATGCATATATAAAGTGTTTGCTTCTTTTACACAGGGATCACTTGGCAAGAAAGCAATATCTCCTGTCCCATCAGCTGCTCATGTGCGGAATATGCGAAAAGGATCTACTGACCATCTTGCACTTGATATTAATGAGGAGTCTAATCATTTGATTAACAGTGCTGATACGGATGATGACAAAGGTATTTATGAGTTTTTCATTAATATGATTTCTTGATTTGAAAACTTGAAGACTTAATTCTAGATTACTTTGCAGGTCATGCATTCAAGTCCCTGAACACTTCTGGATTTGTACCAAAACAAGGAAAGCTCATTGCAGATCGTATTGATGGAATCTGGTAAATTGCTATTTTCTGTCATTACTAATTGTAAAAAATAAAGAGTATTGGAAATTGCTTGTTTCAGCTTTTTAACATGCAAGCAGTTGTAGAATTTACACGGTGAGAAATGTTGAAAGCAGAAGACCTAAAATCCTTAAGATATTTTTTGCCTAGAATCTCAACCAATGCCTTGCTGTGTTTAGTTGTACGGCCTAGAGGATGCTTAAGATTCATGTTTTGGAGGGCCTAAAATGAAGCATGTACTATACTGTTAAAATGGTTTCATTTTATAGTGAAAATTTAAATGCTAAATATATTTGTTGTTATTTAGGGAACATATTATATTTTTCACAGTAACAAACCATCTTACTCATAACGACATTTTCCTTGGAATAAAGGGATTGAAGGTTTTAAAAACTATTTTAGTATTGATAATGATTCTGCCCTGAAAAAACTACTGAAATCATATAAATGTACATAGTCGCATTGTAATAACCTTTTTTCAATAAATCATTAAATGATGATTTAGCGAAATCGTCTCTATTATATTAATACTAATAGTCCCCTTTAATTTAATTTCAATACTTCAACTAAAAAGCATTTTCAGACGTTGCAAGTTCAATGTTTTAATTTTTTTTATCATTAAGAAATCAACACTAAATTGGGTTTAATTTCTGTATGCAGGGTATCTGGTGGTCGGGTTCTCATGAGTCGTCCTAGAGCAAGATTAGGACTTATTGGTTATTTGCTCCTCTTGCATATATGGCTACTGGGAACGATCTTGTAGAAAACTTGTGATCAAACCTACCTGGACTGCTCAACATTGAATGTTCTGCATCTGCAAAGTGTATTATAGATATGTAGTTGTCCCTTTTTATTCGTGTCTTTCTTTCTGCTTCTTAATGAAGCCTAACCTGTTTTCCCTTAGTCTCATCAAACCCATTATTTGTTCTCTGCAATCACATTTTAGGGATTCAGAGACTCTGGTTTTTAATGTTTGGGCTAACTTTTTGACAGCCTTCCTTTTTCTAAAACGAAGTCCCTCCATTGTATTGGTCTACAAATTGTTTCAAAATCGATGAGGTGGGTAGAAAATAGGGAGATGAATTCTTTCGCTTGTTAATGTAATAAAAATGTAGAAAGATTTAGAGTGACTCATTTATATCCCAAGTAGTGAATAATAATTAAGATACAGAGACCAATTAAAGGATTCCTCTTTCCTCTCCTTTTGAAGGAAAACTCAAAACTCTTTTTGTTTGTTCTCGTTCTATGGATAATCATCTCAATTTATTTGTTGTAAATAGCATACACATGCTTATAAATAAAAATTGTGGGTGTGTAAGAGCAAGTTTGATTTATAGTTGTGTAAGTGGATTATTTTATACAAGGGTCATATATGATAAAAATAATTATGATTTAAAGAATGTACACAATGAATTTCGATCATATAAATTATATATAGATGGTTATGATGAAAAATTGATTTGTGATCATCTGTTCACATAATAAAAACCGGTGTGTTTATTTCTTTTTAATTTTAAATATTTAAATAAAAATTAATAATTAGTATTCTGCTATGATGTTTGGATAGATAAAGTTATTGGAAACTGAATTGAAAGAATTTATTGATGAAAAAAAATATATATATACCAGGTGTAAATAGCTTCTTGTTTAGAGAATGGAGAGAAACAATACCGGCGGTTGCCGGAGGAGAATGTGAGAAATTTTAAAATTTGGAATCTGCTAGCTCTCTCTTCAAGGACTTTTACACACAAAGATAAAATTGTATTTTATATAATTTATTTATTTATTAACTCATCTAAATAAATAAAGACTTTTTTATCCATTTAAATAATATATCATTTAAAATCGATTTCTCGTTTAATTTTTTCTTCAGCCAAATAAAGTGTATTTATTTCCTATCTTTTTTATTGCGTTTTGGACGAGTGCTGAATGGCGTTCCACATCATCTTTTATTCTTAGGTGTTTATTTATTTCCCTCAATATTTCTGATTTTACTAAACATCAATCTCATTGGATCAGTATGATCTTTTAGTATTACATGTTCATCTTCTCAATTACCGTGCGATTTAATGCATGTAAGCTTTTGGTTTCGTCATTTCTAAGATTTATATTTTCGTCTTTTTTCAATAGAATCAAAATAGTGTTGACAAAAAAAGGAGAGTAGAAAATAGCATGCTACAAAGAATAAGAAAAAAAAAAGAAGACAAACTTCCAATCTTATAGATAGACTCCCCCTACCATCTTTTTCTCCCTTCTTTAGAAAAATGATTGAATGCAAATATTTTTCTTAAGTGCAAAAATAGTAATTGTTAAGAAAAAAAATATAAGCATACATTAGATTACAAAATTGTCATAAATTAACAGGAAACTAAATCACCCGCGTTTTGGATTAGTTGGCCACGCAAACCCAACAAGAAGTTTGCGCTGTCTTTCAAATTTTCCTCTTCTTTGTAGCTTTTAAAAGGGCTGCATTCCAATTTTAATTTTCATATTCAATTTTATCATTTCATCGTTTGTTTCATCTTCTTTGTTGTCTTATTCATTTTCCTCAGAATTTCTTGTTTTGTTGAATATTATCACAAGGCTTGAATCTCATGGCTTCGGTATGATCTTCTCGTTTTATCTCCATCTTCTCAATGTCATATCACATGCAATGCTTGAAGGGGTTTTTTGGTTATGTTTTTTCTATGATTTAGATTCTCTTCTTTTCTTTAAGAACAAATGACAAAAAAGACAAACTTCCAATTTTATAGATCCCACCATCCATCTCTTTCTCCCTTTCTTTTTAGGAAAATGATACAATGCACATATGTTAATAGAATTTAGTTAGAATATGCAGTTTGATGAAATAAAGAAGTGAGTATCATTTGCTCATAACCATTTTTTTTTCAATTTTTGAAAAGCAACCCTTTATGTACAAAAGTTGCCTAAGAGAGTTCTAGCTATCACATTTTTTTCTTTCAATGGTTGGATTATAATATTCTCTTTGTGGCTAAAAATTAAAGATGATATGTAACAAGCATTAGCAAATAAAGGTTTTCATCAACTATTCATTTGTTTGTTTGGTATGCACATTTGTATGTTTAGTATGATGAGCAACAAGGAAAGCCTCTACCCAAGTTTGGGGAATGGGATGTGAATGATCCTGCCTCAGCTGAAGGATTCACTGTTATATTCAACAAGGCGAGAGATGAGAAGAAAATTGCCTCAGCATCTGGACGATTCCCTTCACAGCGAAGGAATGATTCTCGCAACCGCAAGGGTAACAAAAAATTCAAGAGTTCCCCAAAGGTATCTCTATTCATTCATTCCTAAATTTTTTTATAACCCTCTCTACACTGTTTTTATTGATAATTACAATGATAATAACATTGATGATAAAGTTTTTGTTAACATCAATCAAGAATGGGTTTAAGCATTATAAATATAATTTTTTTTAATAAAATAAACATATTTATTATATTAAAGTTATCAACATATAATGAATACTTATTTTTTTAATGAAATTTTACTATTATTAGTTTTTTTAACTTGAAACTAAGTTTAATAAATTTTTGTTTCTTATAACAGCAATAGTAATAATAATTGTGAAGCTGAATTGTTTATACATGATTTTGGGTGCAGAAAAAATGGTTTTGCTTTGGCCCTTAGACAAAGATATATAAGGGTATGATTCTGATGCAAGCGTGTAATGATTCTCAATCTTCATGAGTTTTCTTCTGGACATGGATGAAGAGGAAAGTAAAAGAAAATATAGTGCAGCCTGCACATCATCGTTTAGCTTCTAATGCTATTTATATATAAAACCCAACGTCCGAAAACTAGTATATGTATATGTATATGTACATGCATGCATGAATCAATGACAACCCTTTTGCAAATGGAGGAAACAATTATTTTCCCTCCTAATTTCGCTGATGATTTTACGAGTATTATTATTGGTATTCTAATAGGAAACGTTTATCAATCGTTTTAAATTTTAATTAGTACGTATAAGGATAAGATAAAAAAAGATAAAGGCGTGTCACATTTAAATGTCACAATCACGGCTAATATCGTTCTGATCGAATGAAGCAGATTAAATAAATTGAATTATTTGCACCAGCAGCATATTGCTGACCAAGTTTTATTGGAAGTTGAAAATTATTACGGTTTGATTTGGATAGATAAACATAAATATACGGATAAATGTACTATACCTTGACTACATGACATATAAACTAGCAAGAGATAGCTATGACATTAATTAATCAATTAAATGCTGAACATGTGGTTTTCTAGAATTTTTTGTGGACTTTTTAGATTTTGTTAAGACTATACGCATCATCAACATAAAAAAAATTATGTTTAAATTAAGTAGAATTATCACGAGTGGTAAAATTTTCACTTTTAATATTCAATATAATTACAATTATTGAACTTAAACTTGAAACCATAAATTAAGTTAAAATAACTTCTTTCTAGTTGAAATTCAATTTGATAACACAACCCTTCTTGACTTTTGATACTGGTTAGACAAACTTTACCAGACGAATTATTGAAGTAATAAAAGAGGCAGGGCGAAAGCAAAGAAATTTTTACATAGTATAAGATCATGTCAATCACATGGTTATAAATGTACACATTTTATATTTTATAATAATAAAAAAAATAATGTGTCATGATATGAGTGATCAGATTTTTATGATTCTAAATTATCCAAAAAAATTTCATATTTTGGAAGGATACTTGGTTTATGTTTGCAATATTTGGAAATTTCTACTTATGTTTGTTCTTTTGTCTACATACTACGGTTGTTCATGCCTCACAATCCAAGTATAATAATGCATACTGTGAATCCAGTCAAAGTTAAATGATAGACAAAACTCGTGTTCGTTTGTTCCTTACAACGTGTTGTGGTTTGGCATATTTATTTGAGTGTATTTGCAATCCTAGACGATTTTTATGTGGAACCTCACAGGTTGAGTCCACCAATTTCAGGAATAGCTTTACTTAATACTGTGCTGGGTTAAGGATGGATTGATAAAATAATTAGAGGGAGAGAAAACTTTTGAATGAAATATTAATTTAATTCATGAATTTAATAATTGGTATTATAAAAAAGGCCAATTCAATTATTGAAATTGACCCTCAATCCATTTGATTCTTAACATTATAAAGTTATTAATATAACTCTTAACTTTATCAACTATCAATCATTTTTTTAATATTAGTGTGCATCATTACCAAATTAACTCGCAATTATCAAAAGTCAAGAATCAAATTTAATTTTTTAAAAATGTTAATAAGTGTTTATTATTTATAATAATTAACTTCCTTTTCCTATATACACATATACACTAATAACATGTGTGTCTAATGTTTGTAACTCCATTTTAAAAAAGTTTAAAGTTTGTAATTTATCCCAAAAACTTGCTATAATAATAATATAAACGCAATTTAGAACATGATACAAATAGGATCTAAATTTATGAATCAAATCAACTCATCTTTAATAAAGTTAGTTTAGTTTAGATTCTTTACAAAATAATACTATAAATTAATTAATTGTATAAGCATTGGGTTATTACTAAAGTTGGGGTGTAAATATGAAGATTTAGAGAAGATTGGGGTTATGATTTCGGTACAAGTTAAGGCCTTCAACACTTTGATTGGGATTTGTTAAACAAAAGAAAAAAAAATCTTAAAGAAAGAAGAGTGATAGATATGTTGGAAAATTCTGAAGTAGGCAAAGTGTCAAACAACACGTGGAAGTAAAAGACTATGTTGACTGCAGAAACGAGGAACAGAACAGAAAAGTGTCAGAGTGGATTCAATGTGTTTGAACACTGGACTCTGAATCTGTACCAAATGAAATCAGAGAATGGCGAATTGTGCTGTGGATGGAGGCTGCCCCAGTGACTACATAGCCATTGCCATATCTACTCTCTCCTTCATTGTGTAAGCTTCTCTCTTTCTCTTTCTCTTTCTCTTTTTCTCTTTGTCTTTTTCTTTCTTTCTTTTTTCTGCCCATTTGATCTCTCTACAAGAATTGGCCTCTGAATATGTGTATATATGTCAAATTAGCCACCCATTTGCCTGTTTGATGTTATGACCCTATGAATTTTGAGGTCTGATTAACAAGTTTTAATCTTGTTTATATAATATATACATCAGTTATTTCCCACCATGCCCATGATTCAAAAACTGTGTTTTTCCTACCTGATTTGCTTGTTGATTGAGGGAATTTTCTTGGTTCTGTGATGATTCATGTGATTCTAATGTTGGGGTGATTTAGTTTGTGCTTTAATCTCAAAATAGAATCTGAGAATAGGATGTAACATTGGTTTTTTTACATGCTTATGCTGTGGGTTGGTTTCTATTTTTCAGGCTTCTTTTATGGTCAATATTCCCCTTCCTAGTTCACAAGGTTCCTCGTACCAAAGGCAGTGGCTTCTGGATACCTGTAATTCAAGTTGTTGCCAGCTTCAACCTTCTGCTATCACTTATGGTGCGAAATATACAAATAAAGTTTTTTATGTCTGTGTCATTTATTTTCTGTAACTACTTAAGATAAAAAAGAAGAAAAAATCCCAATTCTAGCTGTTCAGTGTTACTGCAGTATCCGCTCTTAGCTATGCAATACTTATTTTTTATGCAGATGTCAAATAATTTCTTGAAAATTGAGAAGAGGCATTGGTGGCAGTCGTGCTACCTATGGGGAGGTTATCCTTCTTTCTGCCGTATTTTCTGACTTGTTTATACTTCATATAGAAAAGATGAATCCTTGTTAGTATAACCATACTTTTCCTGTTTATTTTTTTCAGTCTGGGGTGAAGGTCCACTAGGATTTGGTTTGCTGTTGAGTTGTCGCATAACACAAGCTTCCCAATTATATTTTGTCTTCGTCAAGTAAGTGACAACTTGATAGTGTTATTAGGCCATGTAGCTTCTAATTGCTGCAACCATTCAAATGCAACAAGATAGCTTAAGTTTGACATCCATAGCTTAAAGCAGTTAGTCTGTATTTTCCATAACTACAGCACATAGTAAATAAACTGTTGAATATCTGTTTGTCTGATTGGTTTTTGCTGGAGAATTCATGTAACTTCATGTGTGTTCAATTTTCATTTTTTGTTGGTATTTCAGGAGGCGTTTACCGCTAATAAGATCATATTTTTTTCTTCCACTTATTCTACTTCCCTGGATTGCTGGTGCTTCTGGTAAGAATCTGAATTAACTTGGTTTGCTTATTTTTGGAGTATTTATTACATAGAATTTGCAGCATAAAGTAGAGGTAGTAGGTGTAAATTTATCTAACTACTTTAATTTTTTTTGTCCATAGAACTGCATTTCTCTTTATCTCTTTTTATCTAATATCATTGTTCTTTCTAATAAAATTATTCATTCATACTCTAGTTATCCATATGATGAAGCCTCTAAGCAGTCGCTGTCACATGAGAGCTCAATGGACCATCCCAGTTGTATGCCTCCATTCATTGTATGTTGCAACTTTGGTTGGGGTTACAGCTGCAGTTCATCATATAGAGTTCAGGTTTGATGAGCTCAGAGACCTCTGGCGGGGAATACTTGTATCAGCTGTCTCCATTGGTACACTTTTTTCCTAGGTTTAATAAGAAACTCCATTATTTCTCTATTTGTTTTGAAGTTCCTAGCTTCATACTAACCAAGGCTCTAAGGCTATTATATAAGGTTATTGAATTTCACCATCAAGTCAATAATTAACCTAGGTTTCCAGCAAATAGATTTCCTATCTAAATGAGAAACATCCAAGTTAAAAAACTGATGTAGAGATCAATATTAACTCATCAATGCATATTTTCAAAAGCTATAAATATATATTCTTTAACCAATGTGCTTATGGAACTAGTTTTGCAGAAGCTTTACTCTAGATACAACATAGTTTACTTTCTGAAAAGAGATTCTATGCTATGTAATCTCTTAATTAGGAGATCAAATTTTTAATCTCAATTTAACAATGGTTTGCAAGACTAAAATCTATTGATATTCATTTTGCATTGCCTGATCCTATATCCACTTAATTATTTTAAACTATTATAAGCTTCAGTATTTTCTGGATGGCTCGGCTCAGTGGCCTCTATATTTAACCTTCGCTCATTTATTCCGGCAGTTGTGTGGGTTACTGCATACATACTAAATGAAATTCATGACAATATCTCATGGCTTCAAGTTTCCTCCAGATTTCTGCTTTTAGTTTTGGTATGCTTTCCTATCACTTCTTGTGTTGCAAAACTATGAAATGAAAGATATTGTTAATAGATTGAAAGTTAAAATTCAATTCAATTCTTCCTAAATCTTTTATTTACTTCCATCTTATGTTGGTTTTATTTAAAGGCTAGCATACTTGTTGTGGCTTTCTTTTCAATATCAAGTTCACAACCACTGCTCTCACAAATCAGCTTAAGGAGAAGAGAATCCAGAGAATTTCGCACAATGGGCCAAGCTCTGGGAATACCTGATAGTGGAGTATTAGAACAAACTGAACCAATTTCAAGAATAGACCCCAATGAACCATTGGATAAGCTTCTCTTGAACAAGAGATTCAGGCAATCTTTTATGGCATTTGCTGATAGGTAAAATGGCCTTCTCTGTGTATTCCTATATGTTGGCACACATTTGTGGGAATTATGGTTTCTCTTGAGGACTTATAAGAAATTACTTATTTAAGAGAAGCATTCTGACAAAATGGGTAATATATTCTAAACATTAAATGGTAGACACCATATGTTAAATTTGCACAAAGTAACCCTGGTTGAGATGATCAAATCCTGTTTACTCTTGTCACATAAGGTCCAGAATGTTTTGGACCTAACATAAAAAAATGCAGCTAAAAAACCTTATCTTTGTTTAAATATATTTTCAGTTGCTTGGCTGGGGAGAGCGTGCACTTCTTCGATGAAGTTCATGAGCTCAGTAAAATACCTCAAGATGACTGTGTAGGCAGGCTTTATATGGCAAGACATATTATTGAGAAATACATAATTGCAGGTTGTAATTTTAATTGCAAAAGGGTTCCTTCTTTCATCCCTTCTCTTTTTTTGTCCACAGTGCCTAGCTTTTGCCATATTCATCATTGTAGAATCAGTTTCTCTCCATCATATGATGTAGACACTAGTGCATGTCTCATCTATGGGGTTCCGGGGAATGAGTTGAAATACCAAGTATTTTATATATGATAAAAGAAATGTTGCTAGCAACACACTATTAGTTATTAATTAAAATTTATTAAAAATTACAAAAAATCATGGGAGTCCCATTCTTAATTAAATGATTCTCTCTCATAACTTTGGAGATTTTTAATAAATTTTAATCAATAACCAGGAATGTGTTAAAAAGAGTGCATTCTCAGCACTCCTCATATATAGAATCATGTGCTTGCATTGTTTTCTTCCAAATTCGGGGAGTTTTGTTCAGTATTTGCTAGAATGTGATTTTACAGGTTCGGCTATGGAGGTGAACATCTCTCACAGAAGTAGACAAGAAATTTTGTCAACTTCTGACCTCGCTCGCCCTTATCTCTTCCATAATGCACTTAATGAGATCATTCAGCTGATGAAAACAGTAAGTTCCTTAGGTTCAAATTGATTAAAATTGAGTAATGCCATATCCTCAAAAAACATTTTCCTAACAATCCTATTAATATTTCATAAAAAAAGTATTAATGAAAAGATAAATGCATTTTATATCCAAAAAAACATTAAATATTATTTTTTATTTAACAATTAATATGATTATTAGGAGGATGTTGTAGGAGGATTTAAAAATCTTCCTTAAAAATTACCCTTGCTCTGGCTGTATAGTTTTGATGTAAATTACATATTCCACATCCACAGAACTTGGCAAAAGATTACTGGTCATCAATGTTCTTCCTGAAGTTCCAGGCAGAATTCAATGTGAGATCTAATGGGCACGAGCTGGAACAAATGACAGGATGGAACTTTTCTCCAAGGTTGAGTTCTGTGCATGGAACAGATGATCCTTTTCACCATGAGCATCTTCTCAAGAGCTCAGGCTGTAGCAATGATACTGACTTATGACTTGTTAGCACTTAGGTGTTTCATACTCTACTTTTTGATGGCATGATAAGAGAAAGAAAAACAATTTCAAGAGTTTCGTTTTAGTGTGTGTTTACATTAACATCAAATTCACTTAAACATGTATTTATTCTAACGTTATAAAATATAACTTTCACGTTAAAATATAGTTTAACGTGATTGTAGGAATATGCATTTTTGCTACAACATAGTATGCGGTTACTGTCCACAGAAGATGAAGATAGGAGGAGAGTGGAGAAGTGTGACGATAATTTTTATTTATTTTATTTTATTTATTTTCAGTCCATAAGTAACATCTATAAAGTTAGGCTTGGACCAATTAGCTTCATGCATGTGCTTAGTCATTTTAATCATAGGGGATGAAAATGTATCATATTGACATATTGATCTTTGATGCTGCTAATCATATTGAGTAGCTGACATGTATTGTAATTACATGTAAAAAATTATATAAAATACAATAATAAGTTGAATTGCTCTTTTAGTCTTCTTACTTAGATAATCTGAGATTTGGTGTAAGTCTTTTTTCCTGATAATTCAAGTCTCCATTTTAAAAATTAAATGAATGATCTCCATGGCAAAATTCTTCCGTTTCACGCTCTCAAATTCATTTTTATTTTTATTTTTTGAATAATGTTATAATGGGGAGTTTATAATTGATTTAGAATATGAAATAAAGTTAAAAGTTTATAAGTCAAGAATTTTTTATAAAATTAAAGAATTCAGTAAATTTTGAAATTTAAGATTGAAGAGGAAAAAATTGAGGTTTTTAAGACGTTGAGCTAATTTGAAGAATTAATTGATTAATCTTATGATGTTTTTTAATAAAAAAGATATTTTTAAGTAAAATAATAATAACTCAATTATAATAATTAAAGAATAAAATTTGTTAAGAAACTAAAATCACAAGTCAACTATAATTTGACAAACTAAAATGATAATTAAATTAAATAATTTTTTTTTTGTAAATTTTGTGACTTTGTCTTTGTAGATAAATGCATCAATAAAGCATCAAATGTAACTCTACACTGTTTAGTTTGAAGAAGAGAAGAGGAGGCACACCCTGTGTGATTTAGCAGAGAAGAGAAAGAAAGGTAAACAAAAATAATTAAAAAAAACCTATTATTACATGTTTAGAATAAAAAGTTATTAAATTAATAATTATTTTATTTTATTGATCTAAAATTTTTATTTTTTTAGAATTCTTTGAATTTTAGAGGAGAATTAAAATTAAATGAAGAGAAATCTTAGCCAAATTTTGAAATATATATACATATAATAACCAATAGAAAATTCAAGTCATATCGATAGCAGAACTGTGGGGATAAAAATGATTCCCCTTAAACATATTAACGATGAACTGTGCTGTCAAATTAAATTTCCAAGGTGGCGGAGGGGTTTAGTTGTTGTAATTTAATATCCAACTATTCATGATTTAACAAAAATTTTAAGTTTTTTTTAACAGATGAATTTTAAATAATTTTATAAAAAATTATTAAGTACTCTATTCTATTGCATTATTTTATTTTGATAAATAATATATTTTTAAAATTTGACTAAATATTAAACTTTAAATGACATATTATATTAAATTTGACATAAATGATAAGAAAAATAATATAATATAATATAATAAGAATAATTCTGTATATATCAGCAGAGCTAAAAATGACATTCCTTGACAAATTAATGACGGAATGTGACGTCAAACTATAAGTTTCCAAGGTAGTGGAGAGGTGTGGTTGTTGTAATTTAATATTCAATTATTCTATGATTTAACAAAAAATTAAAAATAATTTTTTAATACGTGTAATATTATATGTGATAAAAAATTAATAAATATATTTTTTTTAAATGTATTTTAATAATAGTGCAATCAGCTCTAAGAAAAATTGCACATGTGGTGTTCCTTCAAATTGCATCCCACACTAACTGCATGTGATTCACTTGTACTGCATGAAGTTGGTTTCGCGTGATTGGTTGAATGTTATTGAAGCATTTAATATTGCAACAAAACCTAGGTGTAGTTGATATATTAAATATAAATATTAATTAAAATAAAATTCAAGTTGTTAATTTTGTCCTTCATATCAAGGAGCATGCTCTTTCTTGAGAGCTATATAGAAAATTTCTTGTTTTTCTTGGTGTGAAAATGGAGTGGCTAGATTTCTTCCTAGTGACAACAAATACCTTAGGCTTGATTTGTCTATGCAAGGCTCTTATCAAATTTCTCAAGTGGGTATGGGTGATGTTCTTGAGGCCACCAAAGCAACTCAAAGAATATGGTTCATGGGCTATAATCACTGGTTCCACTGATGGAATTGGCAAGGCCTTGGCCTTTGAGTTGGCATCTAAGGGACTTAACCTTCTCTTGGTTGGTAGAAACTCCCTAAAACTTGAGGCAACACTGAGGGAAATAAGAGAAAGACATGGTGGGCATGTTGAGGTCAAGTTTGTGATCATAGATATGCAAAAAATTGATGGAGAGGAAATGGCAAAAACAATAGAGAAAGCAATAGATGGTTTAGATATCGGTTTGCTAGTTAATAATGCTGGCTTGGCTTACCCTTATGCTAGATTCTTTCATGAGGTTGATGAAGAGCTTATGGATGCTATCATAAAAGTGAATGTGGAGGGAACAACTTGGATCACAAAAGCAGTGCTTCCCACCATGATCAAGAAGAAAAAGGGAGCAATTGTAAACATTGGTTCTGGTTCCACTATTGTGCTTCCTTCATATCCTCTAGTCACCCTCTATGCTGCTTCAAAAGCGTAAGTATACATATCAAACTTTTTTTTCTTTTTTGAAATCAATTGTACTTTATTCTCTTGTAATTTCATACTTTCTTAGTTTACTTTTTTATATTTTTTCTATAAATAGTTTTTTTTGTGAGAATTAAGTGATGCAAAAGAAAAATTAGTATTACATGAAAAGTATGAACAATAAATTGAAAAAACGTGAAATTATAAGTGACTACTATATAATTGATCATTTTCTTCGGCTAAGGTGATTCTGTTTATGTGTTTTTAAGATAATTTTATATTGATCGACTGCACCTAAATAGTCTAATTTCTAACCTTCAAGTTGTCTTTTTTATTCAATTTTATGTCTTTTATTCTATCTAACCATGCCTACTGAAAAGTTACTTCATTTAATTAATTTGCTCAAGACTTGATGAAATTTCCTATGTTTTCCTTTTGTCCTTAACAAAATTTAGTAGTTTCTCCACATTGGATTTTGTGTTTATATATCTATATAAGATCTATTGAAATCAAATCACATGTTTCATTTCTTGTCCTTTTCCTACCCATTCAATTTACAATGATATCTTGACACAGAAAACCAAAAATTTTTAAAATGTTTGCTTGAAAAAGTTTTTTTTTTTTGCTAAGTTATTATTTATTTTTTTATTATTTTCTTCAAACGAGGAAACAAATTTGAATGTAGATCTACTTGCTATTGTTACAGATATCTTGCAATGTTCTCCAGATGCATCAGTTTGGAATACAAGCATCAAGGAATTGACATCCAATGTCAGGTTAATAAAATATTATTTTTATATGCTTAAACTTAATTGTAAGTACTGAAATTTATAAAATTCTTATAATATTATTAGAAAAAATGGGAGAAAGCACTTCTCGTGGATGTTTAATTTAAAAGTAAAATAAAAGTTTACATGTACAAAATAAATTTTACTTCTGATTTTAAGTATATATAACACTCTAACCCTTGTTAATTTCTTTTATGTGATGCTGAGTTATATACACAGGTTCCATTATTTGTGTCAACAAAGATGACAAAAATGAATGCATCTCTTTTTGTACCAACACCAGATATGTATAGCGAAACATGCACAAGATGGATTGGCTATGAAAAATTGGCTGTACCCTACTTTCTTCACTCTGTGCAAGCCTTTCTCATAAGAAAAATTCCTGATGCAATTGTGGATTCCTATATGCTGCGTTATTTTCTTTATTGGCGTAAAAGAGGACAACTCAAGGACTCCAAGTTGAAAGCATTAGCAGCATCTAATTCCCAAGCAGCAAAGATGGTGCATGAAGATCATACAAATTAAATCATAGTTTTTCAAAATTATATATAAAATTGAGAGTGATTAAGGGGATATTTAAAAATGATATATACTAAAATATGATATTTTAAAAGAATTACAGAAATATGAAATCGGCAATTTTTTGAATAGAATTATTCAAAAGTTTTATATTTTTGTAATTTTTTAAAAATTTTAACATTTTAGTGTATAATATTTTTAAATCTGATATTTAAATTTAATTGTCTTGATCATGATGGTCCCAGTTAATTACATTTTTTTTTTGTTCTACCTAGATTTGCCTTTGAAATAGATTGTTTACCTACTTTCCACTGTTTTTTTTTTCTAATTTGGTCCTGTTTACATATTTGTGGTTATATAATTTCTAGCGACCTAAACCATTTGGGTTGGTAGGTGCTGTTAACCAAAAATATTAATGAATGCTGATAAAGAGTTCAAAAGTAATACGTAGGAGCTTTTAGAATATGATTTCTTTTATTTTTTTTAAATTCTTTTTACAAGAAATGGAAAGTTAATTGTTTTATTTGAATTAGGATATTTTTATCAATGATTTTTTTTATTTTGACAATCTTTTATTTTATATTTAAAGAGTTTAAAATTATAATTTGATAAAATTGTATCCTTTATAACTTTTACTTGAAGTATAATTTAATATTTTAAATAAAAAATAAGCACACATTTAATCTTAAAAATTTATATTATACATTTATAAATAAATGATTAAAATTTAACTTTATTTAGTGATTTTATAATTATTCAAAAAATTGTCCTTTTTATTTTGATTATTTAGATATAATTTAATAATTTATATTTATTATTTTTATTCTCAAAATAACTAAGTAATTTGACATATGCAAATGTAGTAAACATCTAACTGCTGCAAGATTTTAAAACTTGGGTTGGGTTACCTATGAAAACAACTTTCACCAACCACCTGTTTTGTTTTACTTTTTAAAAACATTGTGACTGTATTTAGTGTATATTTGATGTTGTTTAATTTAGATTGCTTGTTAATGAAGAAATTTCTTGACAATGAATTTAAACATCAGTCAATTGTTAGTAACAATACACTTTGGTTTAATTGAATAGAAGTTACATTATATGTTAACCTGAAGCCAACCTTTAACTTTATTTTGAAAATTTTTTCAAAGTAAATTAACCAAAAAAAAACACATTGATAAATTTACTTAAAAGAATAAACTTCTTTCTCTTTGTGTCTTTTTTTTTTTATTTTTTTGGTATATTTCTTTTATATGAGTGATAAAATTTGCTTTTTATTAAAGTTGAGAAGGGTTAGGTTCTAAATAAATAGAATTAAACATTTAGAGCATACTTGTTTTACTTCTTAAAAATAATTTTCTAATTTTAAAAATATAATATAAATAAAAATCAAAATTTTTACAATGATAGAATAAAATAAATAAACTCTAAAAATAAGAGTTAGTGTCTTTTTCTTTCTTAATTTCATCTTTCTATTTTGGAAGCATAACTATCATTTAGTGAATTGTCCAAATTCTTGATTCTCTCAACACAAGTAACTGGTAACTAATATGGATGGTATACAATCAATTGTTGGGTCTTGGGACCAAAAGCAATGTTTGCTTTCTCTCTCTTTTTTACATTTTAATATATTTTATTTATAAATTTATTCTTAATGATTAATATTTACTTAATAGAAGATGATAAAGGATATAAAAAATTTAAGTAATATTTTTTATGAAAATTAAAATATTAATCATTTTTAAAAATATTTGTACAAAATTTCAACATAAAAAAAACACTTCATATCAGCAATATTTATTATCACCTAATTATAGCTAATTATGCTTTATATTTTTTACCCCACCATGCATTCAATTGAACAAAAAATGTGCAATGTGAAAAAGAATGGTGGTCCAATTTTGTGCAATAATCCTTCTGTAGTGATTTTTTGTTGGTGTGATTTTAAGCTTGGTAGTTGATTTTTTAAATAAGATCATAAATAAAACAAGCATAATAACACTTACAAAACTAAAAATGCTAAATTAGAATAGTATTACAACATTACACAGTAAGCAAACTAAAAAAAATAAAACTTAAGTCTAAATAAAATTTAACAATTTTAAAAAATCTTAAACACAACAAGATTAAAACTAAAGATAAATGTTAAAATTATATTTTTCCTCAAAAAAGAAAATTAACAGAATCATAAGAAAACAACAAAAATATGCTTTTCTTGTACTTTAGAATTGAATCTAGTCCTAAAATCAAGCTTGTTAGTTGCTTAGAACTAAAACATTTATGGTCTCATCCATTCATTGTACTATTTGTAGTCTTAGTCTTCATGTTTTGTGCGTGAACTTGTCAGTAATTTTAGGCCTTTTATCATACTATACCACACACTCCACACAACATTATTGTTATAGATGTGGTCCTTGTCAATGTACACTTAAATGCTTAAGAGGTTGGTTACATTGGAAATTTAAAGGAAAGAGAAATATGTATTTTTTTTTAATCTCAACTATATAATACATTTATAAAATTATTCCAAACATATGAATAACTTCAAAATAATATTTTTAATAAATTAGTTTACAAATATTATAACTAATTCTAATATATATTTTACAACTTATTGATTTTGTAAAAAAATTGCACCTATTAAATGAAACTTAATTTGTGCAAGTTTGTACATTTTATACATTTACATTTGATTTACACGTCATCCAAAAACTTGAAATGTTAAAAAAAGCAGGTACTCTAATTTGGTGTAATGATCCTTCTTGGGTGGTTCTTTGTTCGTCTTTTTCTCGTGAGTAGTTTTAGGCCTGTCATCATACCAAACTCACGTTACTTGTCATAGGTGTGGATCCTGAGAATTTTTCTGTGAACCTAGACAAGGATTTTAACCACAGTTTTAATTCTATGTTACTTCAAAATTTTGTTTTTTTGACACAAACAATGTAAATGGTCCCATCTGGTAACAGGACACGAAAAAAAGCACTGAAGAGAAGAGTTAAAACAAGTAACAGAATACTACAACAGTTGAATCTTATCACCCTGGTTAAGTAAGCTACATAGATTATACAACAACACACTCAATAAAAATCAAATTTTTTACAATTATAGAATAAAATAAATAAACCCTAAAAATAAAACCAGCTATTATGTCATTTTCATTTATAAAACTTACACGGTTACACCACCCACATGCAATCTAAACCAAACAAAGCAAAACTGTCCCACAACCCACAGCTTATACACTGAAAACGGCCCAAACCCAAATAAACCATTTGAATCCAACTCTGTTGACTCCGCCCATTTTATTGTCTGCAAATTGCTGAATTGATATTCATTTAATGCCGTGATGACCCAACCTTCTACTTAATACTGGTGGTTTTCCGCTCATCTACCTCACCCATATCACATTTCCCTTTCTCTCTTTTTCTCTGTTTGTATTCAGTACACTTATTATCATAAATTCAATGCTCTTCTTTTAGTCTTCACATATTAGGAGTTCAGCATAACATAATATCATTACCCACCAATTTTTTTTTCACTTGAATATGGAATGCTGTATAATTGACAGGCTCAAGACTCAACCTTTATGGTTCTCTGTGCTTTTTGTTCTGGGATTGCTCACCATTCTGAGATTGGGTTTGGTTTTTCTGAGATGGGTCTATGTCAATTTTCTCAGGTCTCCCAAAAACCTTAAAAAGTATGGATCTTGGGCACTGGTTACTGGACCCACTGATGGCATTGGAAAAAGCTTTGCCTTTGAGCTCGCTCGCAAGGGGTTAAACCTCGCACTCGTTGGTCGGAACCCCGACAAGCTCAAAGACGTGTCCGATGCCATTGTCGCCAAGTTCGGAAAAACCCAGGTTAAAAACGTTGTCGTTGATTTCTCTGGGGATCTGGACTTGGGTGTGGCGAAGATTGGCGAAGCAATCGAGGGGTTGGACATTGGGGTGTTGGTTAACAATGTTGGAATCTCGTACCCTTATGCGAGGTTCTTCCATGAAGTTGATGAGGAGCTTCTCAAGAATCTGATTAAGGTCAACATCGTGGGAACTACAAAGGTGACACAAGCTGTTCTGCCTGGAATGCTAAAGAGAAAGAAGGGAGCAATTGTTAACATTGGCTCTGGAGCTGCTATTGTGATTCCTTCTGATCCCCTTTATGCTGTTTATGCCGCCACCAAAGCGTGAGTTGTTTTGTGTTCTTCTTGTGTGTGCTGCTATTGGTTTCCTTTGAATTTTGAGGTTCCCAGAGTTGGGTGATATATGCATGTTATGTTGAGTTTGTATGTTTGTTTCTGCTTCAGGTACATCGATCAATTTTCCAGATGTCTCTATGTTGAATACAAGAAGAGTGGGATTGATGTTCAGTGTCAGGTACTGTGCTGTTGTTTTGTGTCATTAATGTTACATACTTCTTGGTTGCTTAATAATGAACTCGTGTTTAATAATGAACTTTTGTGTTTCAAATTATTTTCAGTTACATTTATTTTCTAAGTTCTTTTGTTTTGTTTTACATCATCAATTAAATCTCTTACTTTTTTTTCTCTTTCATCCCCTTACTTTACACCCAAAAAAATAGATTTCAACAAAAATTCTCCCTCAGTATATTGGAAGATGATTCTTTAACACTTCATTTTAGGGTGTCATGTGGGCCGCAGAAGAAAGAGATAGAAAGAATGAAAAAGAAAGGAAAATATAAGATGTAATGAATGGTGTGATAGAAAGAGAAAAAAGATAGAAAAAAGAGAGAACCACAATTGAATGTAAAAGAGAACAGGTGTTAAGTATTGATACTTATTTTTGGGGGGAAGGGGTGAAAAGTACCGATTTATCTTTTAGTCAAGTTTCAAGTTCCAGCCAAATTTGTTAGCTAGTTAATCGCAGAACAGTTTTAGTCTCAACTGAAGTCAATTGAAATTTTATGGTGATGATATGGAAGCATAAGCTTTGCTTGCATTACCTTTCTCATGATCCAGACTGGAACTATTACCGTGATGTACAACTTATAATTAACGAAATTTACTTTTTACCTTTTTGAGTTGAGACAAATGTGGCTATGAATTTTGCTGAAAGTTGAAGATATATTACCTTTTACTACTGGTCTTTGTGTACTACCTGTCCATGATAAGAATTAGAGCTATTCTTTTGTGTCTGCTAGTGATTTTTTTCACCATCTGTAAGGTAGCTGCTTATAAAAGCCTTTTTACTAACGGCCACTTTTTTGTTTTTCCATTTAGTCTATTTTGAAATTTCACTTTAATATTCTAGGAGTGGTGTGGTATCCTATTTTTGGTTTTTATGGTGTACTCGTATATTTTGTCTAAGCTTGTCCAATCAATGGTTGTGGCCTTTATTATTTTTAAGTATTGAGGAACCATGCTGTCGTCAGTTAAGGTGCTGTAGCTTAAATTATTGACTAAATTTGGAAACATGAAAATGTAATTGACGATTGTTAATTTTAGGTAAATACATGTTCCAATTTTACTGTTATATTTTTTATCACCTGAGCTATTTGACTATTACTTTTTCCCTTGCTCGATCTTAATTTTTCTTTTTAGCAACTGGAAAACTGTACACCTAAATAATTTGTGCGTGCAAGGAAGATGACTATGTGGACATGGATAGCTTTGCTTTGTGTTTTGTCATTTGTTGATGGAGATTTTGTGGATGCAGGTTCCATTATATGTGGCAACAAAGATGGCATCAATCAGGAAGTCTTCATTCTTTGTTCCATCAACAGATGGCTATGCCAAAGCAGGTATGCGATGGATCGGCTATGAACCTCGTTGCACACCATACTGGCCACACACTATTCTTTGGGCCCTGGCATCCTTATTGCCAGAGTGTGTTGTTGATGCTTGGCGCCTGTGGTTTTGCTTGGGCATTCGAAAGAGAGGACAGCGCAAAGAGGCCATGAAGAAGGAGTAAGAGGATGCTTGGTTGGTTCTGCTGTGTAGGCATAGATGTTACTGATATGATATATATGCAAGATTACTAGCTGGTTATAGATGCTAAGTAACTTCTGTGTTCCTGATTTTCATCATGTTGTTTTGCTAGTCTTTATTTATTGAGTATCATTTGTGTGGCCTATTCTTTTTACTCTTCCATCTTTTGGTGTTTCTGTTCACTGTTCTAGGAAGTTGAACAGATATATGAGCATTGCTTAACCCAGTTTTCTCTGTTGTTATTCCTTCCTTTTCTCGTATCCTAAGCTTTTATGAACCCTCTTTGGTTCAAGCCAACAGCCAAAATTTTGAGTAGGAAGTTAAACTGAAGAAATGATTGTTCTCACTTATATAAATTTGCTGATTCTCTAAGTTTAAGTTTGTTTGATAATTTGGAGGAAGAGGAGGAAAATGTTTAAAGGGTAAGAGAAGAGGAAGGAAAATTACAAAACCTTAAACTTGAAAATGTAGGATTAGAAAGGTTTATAAACCCTCTCCCTCTCATTTGAAAACTTCCAAACAGGAATAATTACCATGAAATCTTTCATTTTCCCTCTTTATCTCTAAAAATAAACTTTCAAATAAAGCTTTGCATAACGCATTTGTTTCGTTCAAAATATCAACCAAAATTTTTCTATTTATATCTATCTATATACTATGAACCAAAAACTTTTGAATGCCATATATATTAAATTTATTGGGTTAAGTACCATTTTTAAGTTAACCTTCAAATTGAAAAGCATTTTCACAATTGTAGACTAAAGTCTGCGTTTTGACCATTGTAGACTACAGTCTCCCGTTAGAAGAAAATGATTGAAGTGGTTAAAATGATTCTTTATTGTTTTTTCAACAAAATCATTTCTCTTGTTTATAGTTTTATCAAATGATAATTTTTCAAGAAGAGTTCATAATGGATAGGAAACTTTGATGGATAGAAAAATAAATAATAAAACTTTTTAATCAGAACTATAAATGCAATTACTTCATTATTGCTTTTGGCTTCAAAACTTAACGCGCATTATACATATACTTATATAGATAGTATGGGTAAAACCTAAGTACTAATGTGTAGTACTCTTGTAGGGCCAACAAATAAGTTATATAAAATATTTTCCTTTTGAATAATATTTTGAGCTTTGAAGGGCTCGTTAGCTTTCCTCACTATAGATTTGATTCCTTTTTAAATTAGACTATAAATTGAATTTTGAAGAAAATAAAACATATCCTACAAGGAAATTTTACAGCTAAATTCTTCAAAAAAATTATCAATTAGGTATAGAAATAAATTAACTTGGATTAGGTTAACATGTTTTTGAAAGGGGTGGTCTATTATCACTCCTTATACAAGATTTTTTAAAAATATTTAAACGTTATGATTATTAATTTAATTAATCAGTAAAAGATATTGTATAAAAATATTTTAGTTATAATAGACTCATCTTATTTTGTAAATTATTTAACTTTGCTCTATTTACATTATATATGACATTTTTAAGGATTGATCTAACTTGAAAATTAGTTTAATAAGTGTAATTTTTACAATACAGCTTTATTAGACAAGCTTATAAACCTATTTTGACATAGTTTAATGGGTTTAAATTCATACGAAGTAACTAAATTTAAGTGGCGAAGCCTTTAATTAAACTAACAAATATAATCTTAAAACATTATTTTGTTGATGTTATTATTATAGATCAACTTGATCAATCTAAAAGGTTTTTCAAAGGTCTACAAAATTTGAAAATATAATCAAATAATTAAATAAAAACCTTTTATCAAAGATATTTAGTAAAAATAAGTCTTTTATAGGTAATAGATTGTGAAAGAGTGATCTAGCTTATTTTTATCCTTGTTCTTCAGCCATATGATATAAGACTGCTTGTTTGTGATAATGAAATTATTCATACGATGCTAAAAATTTTTGTAGTTTTCTCAAAATTTTAAACAAATAACATTTAAAAATTCATTAATTTTTAGAAAGTTCCAAAAACTTATTTTATTACATATATTATTTTTAAATGTAAAAATATATTCATTTAATATTAATTATTATTATTCTTTTAATATCTGATATATAATATTTGAATTCTTATCACGTCATAAAAAAAGAATGATAAATGAAAAGATAAAAACAGGTAATTAAATGAAAGATTGAAAAAGTAGAAAAAATTTCATATGATAAAACATTATGTTTGGTTTTCATGAAAAAGTTGAGAAAGAAAATACTAAGGGAAAAATAAAAAGATGTACTTAAAAAGTTGGTCTATATATATATATATATTATTAATTGCTGAAATATTTCCTGTTATATATATATATAACAAATAAGATGGTGGGGCGAGGGGGGGAGGGTATAACACTAAAACCTGAACCAGCAGCAGCGTTGTGGTGCCGTCATCCCATAAACCCCAGAGAGCATTGTATATGGCGATTCCCAACACCAACGTCGTTTTCGTAGACACCAACCTCGATACCCACTTGGCCCTCGTCGTTTCCGACCTCGACACTGTCTCTGATCTCAAAAGTAATCCCTTTTCTTCTCGTTTTATTCACTCATTTTTCCCTTACACATTGTTAACTACTTCGTTTATGTTCCTTATCTTCCTTTATGCTTCATGCATATCCTTCTGTTCCCTTTGTTTTCTGCTTCTTGTTTGTTACATTTATGCTTATTTGTTCTTAATGTACTACTATTACTGTTAGTTTATAGTGCTGACATGAATGCGTTTCATGTATAGAGAAAATTTTGTTGGAACACCCCTTATGCTTTCCGAAAATTGGGCAAATTCAGATTCATGGGATAAAGGTATACTATTGTTCAAGCCATGGTTTTGCCTTGTTACTGTATACTTTTGCTTACAATTTTATTTTATTTGGGTTAGGTTAAGCGCAAGGGGTATTTTTATCACCTTTCAGATTCCATGCTTGTGAGAAGTGCTTTTAGTGGTTCTATCAAGAGCTGGTTTCTTGTTGTTGATGCTTCTGAGTTGCGGGAGTGTGCTCAGAATGAACAGTTATTTTCTCATGGTTCTCCTAAGAAGGTGGCTTGTCTTGGCATTGCGAATAATGCTTTGATTGGTTCTGGTGATAATGTTGTCGATTTTCCATCCAAAAGGGTGTCCAGCTTTGACAATTTCCAGTTGCTACAGTTGGAGAACAAAAGAGATGGTGATGAAGAAATTCCTGTTGCTAGTCCATGTGTTTCAGAACATAGTGGCGAAGAAGCTATCAAAAATTTTGATGCAGGAGTTCAATTGTCTGGTGATAAGGGCACTGGAATTCCGCTTCCTGGTTCTATTCCTGAGAAAGAGGATGGTTACATTGTAAATCGTGAACTTCCAAGTTTACATATTGAGTGTGAAGTGGATGAATCTGGTAAAGGCATTAACGATGAATGTAATACATGTGAGGAAGGTCCTTCAATATCTGTGCCAAGGCCAAGAGAAAAGAAAAAACGAAAGAGTAAAAGGAAAAAGGAAGATACAGTGTGTGATTATGATTCTAAAGATGATGCTGCTGCATCTGTTGACAACCCTCTTAGTTTTCTATCCAAAAAGGCATCCAGTTTCCAGGCGCCACAATTGGAGAACAAACAGGCTGAAAAAGTAGAAATTCCTGTTGTTGGCCCGTGTGTTTTAGAGCATACCAGAGAAGTTGTAAAAAATTTGAACAAGGATATAAATTCATCTGGCAATAATGACCCTGACATTCCAGTGACAAAGAACAATTGCCTTGTAAATCATGAACTTCCAGGTTCACATGCTGAATGCAGGGCAGATGAAACCAAAAAAGGAATCAAGGATGATTGTATTGTATGTGAGGAGGGAAATTCTAAATCTGTGTCAAATCCAAAGAAAAAAAAGAAGAGTAAAAGGAAGAAAGAAGACACCATGCAAAATAACACTTCAAAAGAAAAAGATGCTTCTGTTGTTGGACTTGGTAATTATATAGTTCATCAGGATAATGTAGTTGTAACAAATCCTTCAGAGAATGCAGATAAAGAAGTAATTAAGGAAACTGAAGTTTTAAAGGAGCTTCAGCACACTGATTGCAACAGTAACAACAGTAAAAATGACATTGTTGCTGCTGTGTCAAAGAAAGAGGCTTCAGAACCTGGACCTGCTGCAAGTAAGAAGCATAGGAAAAGGAAGAGATCTTTGATTCGTGATTCTAAAGAACTGTTGGAGGTAGAGACAGCATATCAGAAGGATGAAGTACAGAAGTCTGATGAAGCACATAAGGAAATTAAAAAATCAAAGGATCATGTTGAACTCAATAATGACAATTCTAGGGATGTTGTTGAATATAAGCTCAATAAGGTAACTGAGGACACTTTAGATACCACACCTCCTGCAAAGAAAAAGAAGAAGGGAAAAGAGAAAAATGGAGAAAAAAGTTTGTCCAAGGCAATGTTGATTGATGATTTTGAAGTAGACAATGCTTCTCACCACTTTCTGGAGGACCAACAGAGGATTAAAAACAGCAGTGCTGACCAATCAGCTGGACATTTTAATGACACTGATCCATTGGGAACTAATGTGCAGGGTCAGAAGAGGAAAGGGAAGAGAAACTCATCAAATCCTCAAGAAACACCTGTGGTTACTTCTTCCAGGAAAGATAAAGAAGCATATCATTCCAGCATTCAAAGAGGTGTTCAGGATGAAATATCTGAAGATGGCTTATTCTCTAAAGGTGATACTACTAAGGAAAAGGGTGAAAATAGAAAAGTACCTGCCTTTTAGGTGGTAACCTTGTATCATGTTAATATTAATTTGATATGTTTATTTCTATTGATGTCAAGTTATTAATAAAAGAAATCAATTTTAGAATAGGGAAAGAACTATTATATCTATCATTGATCTCTCTCTGTTTTTTTTTTGGTAGATATCAGTATGAGCAAAACTACTGTTGACAATATGGAGATTGGAACAGATGCATGCAAAGAAGGCATTCAATCTACAGAAGAAAGGACAGGAAATTATGAGGGCAATTCTGATATTGAAATAGAATTACCCCGTTCTGATGTGGATGAGCTTATGGAGCCGACTGAGGATAATGAGAATGTTATCCATGATCATTGTCATAAAAATGAAGATGTTCAGATTGAGGGAGCTGAGGAAGGAGATGTATCACCACAAAATGATCCTAAGCTAATGCTGTTAGACAAGTCTGCACCATCCAACCAGGATAACACAGATGCAAATATCAGAGAACTAAATGTTACTTCAAAAGTTGTGGATGTCAATGGAATGACTGAACCTGTAAAACCAGAGAAGGAAAAAAGAGGGATGGGAAAATCTAAGAATTCAGGTGGAGGGTCCATACTGAGAGAAGGTGTTGGCCTTGTGGATGTTTTTGGGAGTGAAACTGTTACTGTGAAGTCTCTTAATGGAACAAGTTGTGATCCTATGTCAGGAAATACATATACAAAGGAGAACACTTTAAATCAAACAGAAGGGAAAAGAATACAGCAGGAAGAAGTGAAAGGGACTATTCTCTCTGCTACTGATAAGGAAGATGATTTTAATGCTGATAATGCTGGTTCCTTGGTACAAATTAAGACTAAATCTAATGCTGAACATGTTGACAAGAGACAAAGAAAGAAATCAAGCAAAAAGCAGACTTCTATCTCAAAGAGCATATCAAATATGCTAACAAAAGATCAAGTTCGCGATGGTGAGAAACCGTCTCCATCTTCTGACAGTGGAACATGTGACAAACCATCAGTTGAGGTGACAAAAAAAAGTATGTCGACAAGCATGAAGTCCACTAAAAAATCAAGTAAAACAATTTTGGAACCTGTTAGACTTGAATCTTCTGATTCTCAGTTTAATTCTTGGAGTAATGATGCTGCTCAACATTCAACGCGCTTATCAGGAGAGAAAGATGATAATAACTTGGAAGCACCTTCTAAAACTTTAAAGGTTAATCCTGACCAACAATTTTCATCCCAGAAACAGCAACATGAAGCTAATTTGTCAGATGACGCACTTGTTGACAAGAGAAATGGAACAGATAGAACTGGTATTGAGCCAATGACCAGAAAGAACATGGATGGGCTTGAAACAACAAATGGAAAAAATCATCTTGAGGGTTTAAGTTCCTCACAGCAATTATCATCCAAGGAAGAGCATGATGTACACAGCAGGATTCACCCTGATAAGAAGGTATCAAAAGTACACAGGAATGGACAAGATTCAAAATTGTCAAGTAGGTCTGACAATGTCATATCATCAGTTGGGAAAAACAGAAAGGCTCGTGTCTATGCTTCTGGGAAAAATATGGAAGGTTCCAAGAAAATGGTTCAAAATAAAGCAGGAAAAGATTCTGGGAAAAATCTTGGTGGATTTGTGAGTAAAACACAACAGAAGAAGAGCTTGTTAGCCGGAGCAATTTTCAAGGATGATAGTAGTGGCACCTCTGAAGATGAAGTTGATAACTCTGATGCCAGCACTAGAACTCCTTCAGATAATCCTCTCTTGTCTGATTTTTCTGATGGGGATAGCAGTTCAGGTCTGGCTTCACAAGAAAATGGTACTGGAATATATTTTAATTGGGAGTATGCCTTTATGTTTTAATAAGTTGATACAGTGCTTAAAAATATTCTTCAATCTGTGGGGGCCAGATTGGGTGGATGAGTGAGTTTCTTTTGTGTTAGTTTGGATCAACTTTTTTTATATCATTCTGAGATCTGGTCTCTGGGTAATCCTATTAAAGTTGTGTTTGAATTGAAGAGCTGGAAATGTTTGAACATAACCCTCCTTCTTTACTTGGACTTGAGACCAGCTATGGGACCATAGGCAGAGTTTTAAGGTTGAAAATATTGTAATCTTTAAAATGAAAAACTTGTTCGTTCCCTCTTGTTAAGTTTGATATTGTCAAGGTATTACTGTTAGTGTTAGAAATAGATGAATGGACAATCATTAGATTATTGCAGTTCAGATTTTTTTTATTGTTGCCAGATCATTTCTGTTCCAAGAAATTAGAGGCAGACACTGAGCATAGTCCGTCCATGTACATTTGTAGTTCACTTTTCTAAAGATTTGTTTGGAAACTAAATTTTCTCTGAACTTAGGGCATTTCAGAGAGCCAAGCTGTTTTTCTTGTCTACTGTTTGACTAGAAAAGTTTGCTATCTCACTTGGTCGTTCTTAACGAGTTAATTTCCACATTACCATTTTGCTTTCCTCTAGAATATATTTCCTGTTACATTTTTTGAATTTTGAGGTTGGTATGGATGGATGGCAAGCTTAAATTAAGATTAATATGGCCATGTTCACACTTCACAATTTATCTTGTTTCTTCAAAAAATGGAGACAATACAATTTGGAACCAATTTCTTTCCTTTTTTGATCAGATTCGTATGGTGGGAAAAGAATGGAAAATGGTGGAAGGAGTTCCTTGAAAGAAAGGTAAGTTAATGCATCGCATTCTTGACAAAGTCATTTGCATGTTTGAATGGCCATTTTCGGCAATAAAACATATCCCTTGTTTCTCTTTCTGCTACCATTCTCAGCTTTACTTTTTTTTTTTTCATTTGAAATTTCTTTATCCTCCAAGTTACATGAATCTTTATCGCAAAAGATTTTATTTACTTGTTTTTGTCTGTAGCTGGGACAGACACGTTGCTTATTGGTGAAGAATATGACAATTCATAAAATTGGAATCCATTCTTTCATCTCTACATCATTTCAGACAAAAAATGTTTGTCGTATGTTTCATCATCATTCATGTGTCATGTTACGTAATTGATATAGCAGTAGGTTAGTTCTGAAATCCTTGTGTGGACAGCTTGTCAGGCACAAAAGGGATGCCAATTGATCATGTTCTCAGAAGTTCAAGAAGGTTTAAGAAGGCTAAAACAACCGCCTCTCAATTGGAAGAAACCCAAAGCCAACCAGAGTTTGTTCCAGACAGCCTCGCTGACATATAATCACAAGTTTCAGCAGAAAACCAGGAATTTTGATATCACATTGTTCAAGTTTTGTATCTTCTTACATAAACGCTGTTTTTCTATTATAGAGTGTTTACCGATCCAAGTGGTGATTGATTTACGTCACGAATCCAGTTAATTAGAGCAATGTGATATATTACTGTTACTATATAGACATCAACAAGGTGCATTACTCGAAGTTGTCTTTACAATATTTTCTTCCGAGCATTTTTTTTTCATGGATTATATTACTTTGTATTGCAGTAGCAATCATTCTGATAAAATGTAAGGCTTGGATTCTAAATTTTTTTTTTCAGTCTAATATGAGTTCGTAAAAACTCAATAAATAAATTGAACTTTATTGGTTATGGTAGTCTATTTTACTAGTACTACAGTCTAGTATTATACAATCAACTATCTAAATGATATATGATGAAGTAACAAAAAATTTCTATTGAATACAATAAGCAAAGCAAAATAGGTCTTCCTAGCATCGCACTCTTTTCACTCTCTAACACATTTGTGTAACATATCATTTCTTATGGATTAAAATTTATTAAAAAGTATAAAAATTGCATGACATTCTTCAATTTCTAAACTTATTTTAAAAATAAAATCAATTCTACACAATTAATTTCATTCTAACTCAAATTTACATACTTTCCTATATTTATGTGAGAACTATTCTTTAACATAATTTTCTTTACACATTTTTAATCATTCATTAAAAATAGTATTTCACGTGCTTACAGTGTCTCATAACAAGAGTTTTTTTAATAGCGAAATACGAAACCGAGCCCAAATGATTGATGGGCTCAAGTCATACAAAGTATGTTTTGACTCCTACGTATCATTAGTTTTATATATATAAATTGTAGATTCTGATTTTGACTCAAAGTTGTGATATACGTTTGGTGCAGATTGAAGAAATAGTTTTTAAAATAAATGAGGAAAGGCAAATAATCACGTGAAAATTGATTTTTATATAACATGATAAACTGTGTTGCCCGAAGAAGGAAAATAGAAAATGGTAGGAGGAAAGGATATTTTTATTTTTATTTTTATATTTCTTAAATATATTATCGGTGGGCCCTTTTCATTTTTGAAACCCCAACAAAGGAGGAGAAAAAGAAAGTAACACCCAACCTTCGCTCTCTAACAATATCACCACAATTTTGCATTTGCATTGCTTCATTTTCAGTGCTGCCTTGTGTGTTCTCAGCTCACTGTTGAACAACTTAAGAAAACCGAACCGGAAAGCACGGTTTTTTCTTTGAACCGGGTCGTTGCGAACCCAATATCATGGCAGCTCTATTACCTTGCGCGCCGAATATAGTTTCTGCTCCGTTAGCGAACCGGACGACCGTGAACCGTTTCCCGCATCGACCTCACTCACACGCTTTCTCCGGTTCGACCAAACACTTTCTTCGCGGTTCGGTTTCTGTTGTCCGGTTTGGACTCAAGTCCGGTTTGTTGCCTGAGCCGGATGAGGCCGAAGGCGTTGTTAGGGAACTGTTTGGGCGAGTGGAGGGTCTTCTTTACACGATTGCCGATGCCGCCGTTTCTTCTTCCGATGCGGCGGCGGTCACTACCACCGCCAAACAGAGCAACGATTGGCTTTCTGGAATTACCAATTACATGGAGACTATTCTCAAGGTATTATTATTATTATTATGTAAAACGTCGAACTCTTCGATTTTTTTTATTGATGAGTTAAACGGAAGCTGTGATTTGAATTATCGACGTGCTTTATGGAGCTTAGTTTAGTGACTAGAAGAAAATTCTGTGTTTGGAGAGGGTGAAATTAGAATGGAAAAGTTTTAGCTGTTTTTTGTGGTGGTTGGTAGGGTAGGGTTCGGGTGCGGATGGTTAGTGGTGTTTGCTGTTGTGGTTCAGAACAATCGCAAGCAAATTGGATTCCCTAGTTAATAAATGCAGAATATCATTGTTTCCACTCTGATTCTAGCGATAAAATTTCCCATTCTAGGTCAAGATAATTTTTGCACAGTAATAGAATAATTTATTCTGGTCAAAATCTCACCGTTTATGAGTTCTAGTGCTTGAACTGCTGCTTTGAAGATTGCTAATTTAACAAATTTAATAATTTTTTTTCTTGACGCTCAATGATAGAATTATTAAATGGATGTGATACTTCCACCGATAATTCGTGGTACCTATATACATGAGCCTGTAGATAGCTTAATGAATAACAATAAACGGAAGTTGCAGTTTGCAAGAGGGTCTTTTATTTATATAACGTGTGAATTGGATAGCTATTTTTAGTTAAAACTAGACTTGTATAATTTGACATGGGTCCACTTTTGCCATCATATACTGTCCAGTGATTCTGAGGGGAAGTAATTTACATTTTTCAGGTACTCAAGGATGGGCTTTCTGCTTTGCATGTCCCATATGCTTATGGTTTTGCAATTATACTGCTCACAGTTCTTGTAAAAGCTGCCACTTTTCCGTTAACCAAAAAACAGGTTTGTGGTTGTTCTAATGTGCTTTGTTAGTGCTGATGTGCTAACAACTATCAATACAAGCTATGATCTTTTGATCCCCATAAAATTATGGTTCTTGTGACATTAAAAACCTTTGTAAAAGATACTCATCTTCCTTCTATGATATTCATTGTGATTTTGTTGAATAAAATTATGAGCGATTGTATTCAGGTAGAATCTTCCTTGGCTATGAGATCTTTGCAACCTCAAGTAAAGGCTATCCAGCAACAATATGCTGGTGATCAGGTATTTTATTTGGCCTCTGTTAGCATTACTTTCTCCAATAAAATCTCTTTTATAACAATTAAACTACTGTCAGAACTTCCATTGTGTAATTTTTGGGGCTTGAATAATCTCCTACAATTTTGATGGATTTCCAGTGCCAGTACTTCTTTTAGAGTGTGTTTAGAATGTTACTAGATGGGATCTGATTTGATATCTAAATCAAATTTTGTGTTTGGAATGATAAAAATAAAAATGATTTACTTTTAAAATCCACGGATTTCATGCTTTTCTATGAATCCTATCAAATTTGGTAGGATTTGTTGGATTATATTTGATTTTAAATTCAATTGTAGAGATTAATATTTACCCTTATTGAATAGCCTTTTTATTAAAATGAATAATCAATTCCATGTTTAATGAGTTCCAGTCATAGGAGTTGATTTTAAATTAGTTCAAATCTCATTTTGATAATGGGATTCTAACATATAATTTTATTCTTATCAAATAATTTGTTTGCTACTTTTGAGGATTCCAAGCACAATGTTAGCATTTTAACTCTGTAACCTCTAACGTATGGAATTTATTTAAAAAATTCAAATGTCAAGATTTATATATTGCTACTTTTGAGGATTCCAAGCACAATGTTAGCATTTTAACTCTGTAACCTCTAATCAATGGAATTCTTTTAAAAAATTCAAATGTCAAGATTTATATATTGTCTTCATGCAGGAGAGAATTCAACTTGAAACTGCTCGGTTGTATAAATTAGCCAACATCAATCCTCTAGCAGGTATTCATGGCATGATTGGCTTTATTGCATAAGGTTTATAAATATTTCCTTTTGCTTTGAGGATTGGGCCTTCCAAAGCTTTCATATCCCAAGTTCAGTTTTCTAAGTTATCTCAATTTTGCTCTGAATGTTTCTTAGGTTAATTTAATGTATGGAACTATAAGTTTTATTCCATCTTAGATATCCAAGCATTTTGTTTATGGCTTAGGTAGGTAGATGGAGTCCCCAAGCTATCTAGTATAAAGCATTACTGATTTTTTAGACTTGAAGTTGGAAATTCTTTTGTTAATATCTTAGTTTTTCCCAGGATGCTTGCCCACACTCGCAACAATACCAGTGTGGATTGGGCTGTATCGAGCCCTTTCAAACGTGGCAGATGAGGTATGCTGCTTATGATGTACTATGCTACTTTTTGGGGTATATACGACTCTATCTTCAATGGCTAATGTTATGCATTTATCTGATATACAAAGGGACTTCTTACTGAAGGCTTTTTCTGGATACCTTCTCTTGCTGGTCCAACTACAATTGCAGCTCGTCAAAGTGGAAGTGGTATCTCTTGGCTTTTTCCTTTTGTGGTGAGTGTCTCAGTTACAAAGTAAAATTTCATGTGTTAAGGTTTCCCTGTTGGCAACTTGATATTCAAAAAAATCAGAAAGCTCTTTTATTTGATTTTCTTATTCTCATTGTGTTCATAATAGGACAATGCCGTACTGTCCATTGTTCTAATTTTGTGCCTTCTCATATATTAGAAAAATTCATTGTCTATCGCAAGTTACCCAAATCATTGGGAACCCTCTACCTTTTGGGGTGCACAAATCACAATTATATAGATTCTAGTAAAAAAAATTTCCATATTATCATTTTGGTTTTTGTTCGCATTGTTGGTGATTTATTGCAGAAGCTAGGTGCATTTAAATGTGAACTTTGTTTTAAATGTTATTTTTTGCTTTAATCATTTGACTTCAGGATGGTCACCCTCCCCTTGGATGGTCAGATACATTGGCTTACCTTGTCTTACCTGTGTTGTTGGTTGTCTCTCAGTACATCTCTGTCCAAATAATGCAGTCATCACAGGTCAGTCATCTTTCATTTACAATTAAATCAGTTGCTTTTTAATTTTGTCTCATGAACCTTGTTGTGTGCTGCATAAGAGTTTTAGCCATGGCTACTCTTGCTTGCTATCTGAACAAGTGAAGATGATTACTACTTTTTATCTAATATGTCATGTAACCTGCTCCCCCCTCTTGTACAAGGATTAAAGAAAAATGTTCATGTTAGTTTACTTTATGTATCTGCATATTAAAGTGTATCTGTGTATTTCCATGTCACCTTCAGGCTAATGATCCCAACATGAAAAGTTCACAAGCCTTAACCAAGTTCCTTCCTTTAATGATTGGTTACTTTTCTCTCTCAGTGCCTTCTGGTCTTAGCCTTTACTGGTAAGCATAGGTAAAGCTTATAGTTGTTCTTGTTTATTTAACTGTGTATATTTACCTATTGTTTAAGTTGTGCAGGTTAACAAATAATATATTGAGCACCGCACAACAAGTATGGCTTCAAAAGTTAGGAGGTGCAAAAAATCCTTTGCAGCAAGTCCAAAATGATATCATGACGGATGACCTAACACAGGTTCAGAATTCAATATCTAAAATAAATTCCACAAAAGTGGAAGAAGCCAGACCAAGCGAGAAAAAATTGGAGGGGCCACATCGTGGTGAAAGGTTAGTAATTGTAGGAAGCTACTCTCATTTCATATACTATTAGTTTACTTCCACTGACTATAATTGTAATTCTCTTTCTGTTGCAGATTTAAACAAATAATGGAGCAAGAGGCAAAGAGAAGACAACGAAGAGATGAAGAAAAAAGGAAAGCCATGGAAGCAGAAGCTAGAGCAACCAAAGTACATGAGACACATGAGAAAACAGTCGAAGGGGGAAATCAAACTGGAGGTGATTTAGTTGAAAAACCTGAGTCTGTGGCTTCAGATACTGACCCCTTCATATCTGGAGTAGTAAACGGTAATGGGTTAAGTTTGGAAGGAAATCAGAATTCTACATCTACATCTGAGACAGAAAATAATGAAGGTTCTGCTCATTTCAATGATGTTGAGAGAAACAAGGAAAGTTTAGACAAGGTATTATTGCAAATATGAACATAGGGCATTTTTCCTAATATTTATTGGTTAAAGATACATTGCTTCATTCACGCATATGCTAGAAAAGACCTTTTTAATCTATTGCTGAACAGCTAAGAAAAGTGGGTAAAGAGAGAAATATTGCATGCTTTTGACAATTTCATCCTTTTATCGTCAAAGGTGTATGAACACCCTGAATTACCTTTTCATTTTTGCTACTGTTATAAGGATCACGCAAAGGAAAATTTTTTAGTAACATGCTGTGTATATGAAAAAGATTAGAAGTAAATGAGAAATAGAGATAATTATATGCAGTATCACATATAATGTTAATTTTCCGATGTTCAAATAATGGAATTGATACTAAAATTTTGTGCGCAATATCATTCTACTTGTGAGGAGTTATGATCTGTTGAAACAATGTCATTTGATAATAAGTTGTTTTCCCTTTTTCCCCCTTTGTATCACTTCTCTGGTGCTTAGAGGAATTATTCTTTTACCATCAGCATAAAAATAATCTCATAAATTGGACAATTCTCTCTGTCTAATCCATAATTTTACAGGAACCAAGAGAAGTATTAACAACTACAGCCACCACGAACAAACAACCTCCTGTAGAAGACTCCGATCGTGTGACGAAGGATTGACCAACTAAAAGAGATTCATCTGTTTGGATATTGACTGGCCCAGTTGCCCTCTATCGGTCATATTGGAAATGCATCCTCCGTTGCAATTTGGGGTCTCCCTGGTTAACACTGTACATTGGCACACAAATGGCAGAATGAATGAGATTCAAGGTTTCTACAACGGCTGTGAAGGATTGGTTGGATCTGATGGCTGATTTTACAGCTTTGTAGTTTTAGTTTATATTATACGCTTCATCAATTTTCATTAATAAGTATGGATGATTGAATCCCTATTAGAACGGATGCTTCACAATACCCTTTATAGTCAGCTTTTCTCCTTTGATACTACCTTTGTCACTAATCGTTCAATAATGCTGGCCTGGCACTGTTCTATACAGTGGTAGAGATCCCGTGATTGGAGAATTTTCATAATGCGTTTTTTTCTCCTAAAAGATCGGCTGTAACAGGACCAAATAGTGGGCTTCTATATTTTATTATGGAATCTTTAGGTAATAGGTATTTACTTGTACTAATTTTGACGGTTTAAAATTTTCAGATATTATGCGAGTTTGTCCAAACCATACCTTTGACGTGAAGTTAAGGTTTGGGACACTAGTTTTAGAAAGAAAGCACATTGTGTTTTAGTGCTTTACGATATTTAGGGTAGCTTTTGTATGCCATGTTTCATTTGTTGACGCAACTGTCCGCATTGGACGGATGGTTCAACACCTATTCTGTTTCCTGTGATTTCCTTTTTACTGTATCTGTGTGGCCCGTTGTGTGTTCAGCACACGCACTTCTGAGGTGACGTTGCGTGTGCGCCACAGTTTCATTTGTTTGTTGCAGTATAATTCTGGTTGACCACTAAACTGCCCTATCTGCTTCTTATACTTCAATTTGGAAAGCATAATCTAACTCTGTTTAAGCATAACCGAGCCAAGTCATATAAGAAAATGTAATTTTTTATATTTAAAATCAAATCAAACTAAATTGAATCATAAGTAAGTTGAAATTATATTGCTTTTCATTTTTATTTGATGCTAACGTAAAATATATTTTAATAAATGTATTGATATTTTCTTCTTTTTTTTTTAAATCATCCTCCAAGATGCTAATACCCACTCAACACTTTTATCTTTCTCTATTTTTCTTACATCACATTGTCAATCACATCTATTTTTTCGGTTTAATATTTCTATCTCGTTTATACACCTAAAAATTGTCTATAAACTATTTTCCCCGTAAGTTGCATTTGGGCGAAGTCCTAGATTTTAACATAAGTAACTGACTAACTGCGGATGTTTCATTAGCATCATTGTGTAGTGCTAGCAGTGCACTTGGCACAAAAATCATAAATGTGTCGGGCACTTTAGCATTTAAATCTTGGTGGTGAGTGAGCAACAAATTGTGTTTGGTAGAAATGATGCAACTATATAGTACATAAGCAAGGGCTTAGAACGTGTAAAATGTTATGAACTCTAATGTGGCCGTGGAAAGGATAAATTAGAAGACCATATATAGTATACATTCAGAAAGGTGATTTGGTGTAATGCATAAACAGCTTATGGGTAAACGAAGGAAGCCCCAACAATCAGCAGTACGATGGGTTCCCAACACGAAGACAAATATGAGACTGTGATATAGCAGGCCTTGCACATTATACTGCTTAATATTTTTACCTTTGAGGTTACTTTTTATTTGGTTCGAAGGATAACCTTCTGTTCATTCTTAAAAACAGTGTGCTTTAGCTGTGAATAGAATGTAAGTTATTGTTTTATAAATTGACATGGTTTGATTTTGATTAACGTATGATTGGTAGTGTATCTTGGTTGGCGACAAGTGACAATACACCGAATCCAGATGGATGGGTTGTCCACAATTGTAGGACACGACCCGACACGCATTCTCTACAGCTGGCGCACATGCAAACTATTACAACTTGAGATTTGAGAATGGATGTTCCAATTTTACAGAACCGGAGTAAAGCATACGAGTTCATTTTTATTTTAATCCTTTTCTTTTTCTCAACATTCTCGTTTCCCTGAAAATGACTTTGTTTTTTTTTCTTTATCTCTTCGTTCACTTATTAAGTAATAATGCATATGCATGTATATGTATATGAAGTAGACGGATCTCTACATGTTCAAGGATGTCAGAGTTTAAGTGCCTTGTTCAACGAAATTTTGACAGTGATTTTCATACATGTTTAGATGGAGTTCAGAATTTGTTTAAGTTAATGAAATTCAGATATTTATATTAATTGATTATTTACTTTTTTATAGATAAATTTATTAATTCACTTGAAGTTATTTATCTTGTGGATAAAAACTCAGACAAATTTAAGAATTTTTTTTATCTTTTTCATTTGAAAATTTTTTAAATTAATAACTTTTTTAAAATAAGCTGAATCAATTATATGTTTAAAGAACTTTGAGGGATGAGAATCTTTTATCATAGTTGCTCTTGTACATTTTGATGAGTCGGAACTAATTAGGCTGTTTCTTTTTCACACAAAAATGATGACGTTTAAGAAGATTGCGCGTGTTTCTCAAAGAATTTACAAACAAGAGTTTATGTTTCCTTTTGTGAAGAACAGCTAACTAAGGATAGGCATGAATTTCGGGAAGGGATTTGGTCAGATAAGATCTTTCTGAACTGCTGTATTTTTTAATATTTAAATTTGAAATTATAGATTAAGGTGAATCAATTTATTCATTAGTTGATCTACGAGTAAAAGCAAAATTATCAGTATGATTTAAAATTGGAATTTTTTCCCCAATTTTTTTTTTCTTACTGTGTGTGTGAATGAATTGTTGCTTTCTCTTCCTAGGTTGGTGGTGGTCTGTACCAGTTTAAGATGATGAGAGCACCTAGGTAGGGTAGCTAGCTCATAATGGGGTACCCCAAGATTGGTATGGAATGATTCAACTTGCCTTGTGAGACCTATTTACTAAGAAAATATTTGATATACTTTAGGACGCAAACATTTAGAGAGAGATAAGAAGTGAAAAATAATAAATATGATGAGTATATAATATATAATAAAAAAAATAGATAATGTCAAATGAATGATTGCTGAAGGGGTTAAAATATTTGTAAGTTATAATTTAACTTATTAACTCTGATGTCATTGTTTGTTCAGTATCTAATAATGTCACGTTATCAAGCCAGTTTGGTAAAGCTATTGGGAAAGATAGGCTTCCAAGTTTTAAAATAATAACAATGATTGTTTTTAAAATTTAAAATTACAAAGATTAAAATCAATAAATTTTTTAAAAAATTAAATTATTATGATAACTTCTATTTATAAAAATTAAAATATATATTTTATTTTACATTATATTTTTTATTTTAGGGGGTGTTAGGGACAGCAATTACTTTATCCATTATATATTCTTTCAATTGGGCCGTTTAATACCTTAATTTTTCCAAAGCAAATCAATTTGTGGTTATTGTATTTTTAAATTTTTTAGTATAAATACTTCAACAATATTAATACAACAATTTGATATTTTTCATTTCTTTAATCACGTTACTTTTCATATTTATTATTATTTTATGTCTTCTATTCTTATCTCTTCTAAGGCATACATTTGAATGAATTTCAACTAAACAATCTTCTTTGTATTTTAACACTATTGAATTTGGATATTCAAAGTTGTCGAAAACTGTCCACTTTGACCATAACTCGATTCATTAATTCTTATCTATTCACAAATTAAAGCACCGAAAATAAGAATGGTGAAGATGCTAAAGCATGCTTTTAATTAAACATGTGGGAGACCAAGATTCACAAAAGCAAGTAACTAGTCTAAATCATACCTAAACCTTTTTTAGTCGCATGACATAAAATAAATTACCTTCACCAAAGCTTAATTTGTATGTGTCTCAAATTTGGATGTGCTGCAATTCAGGGACCGATTCTATCATTATTGTGCAACACAATATATATGCATGCTTGTATATTTTCTACCTATATGATTGATCCTTTGGATGTGAAATTGCCATTAGAAGAAAAATTAAAGGGACATTTGAATACTGATTGTTGTGTGTGAGTGTGCATTTATGTATCACCTAAAGATTTCTTTGTCACGCTTTGGCCAGCAAATTACACCACACCATGGGGGCATGAGCTAAAAGTTGAACATGACTTTCTTTGCTGAGAAGTGATTCACTACCTGCTATAATTTCAACATGTGGGTCTTTGCACATGATAAATTAGCTTTTTCCAAATTAAATTGAGGGGCAAAACAATTTTTTTTGTTTTAAAAAGGAAAAACATGAAAATGTTTCATGCACTTGTTTTAGGATTTGAGAAAATACTATATGTTCCTTGTTCATACACACTCTGCAAATATGAAAGGTTATTTTCCTTTTTTAGAGGGAACTGTGCAAAATTAGAACAGTAGTGTAGAACTAGGAGGCTATGAAGATTCCCCTTTTTTCAGGAAAATGTAAACATAGCAATATATATATATAGTAGTCCAAGATTAAATCCCTTCTTGTGTGAGGGGTAAATTCACAGTAGTCTCTGATAATTCTCCTTCTTCCATGCCATGCCCAATTTATGAATGTCTCACATGATTTCATCACTTCAGTTTTGCTAGATGCACACATAAAATGTAATTAACAAGTTTATGCATATTAAAATGTCATACCTATTGTTACATGTTGTGTATTTCATAAAAAAAATGATCTAGTTCATTCTAAAGGTCACACAGCTTCCTAAAATGGCTGTAGTGACACTTTTGGCTCAAATTTAATCTCAAGAAACACCCCATGAGCCAGTTTTCTTACTCCCTTTAGAGCTATCAAATGAACTAGTTCATTGCATTCAGTTGCCAACCTACTAAAAGATAGACGCGTGGGTTGGCCCATTTTTAAAGTAAATTATGAGGGTTGTGGAAGCTGGTGGATCAATTCACTTCAATAATAAAAATAATATAAAAGGAAAAAATTATGTAATATTGTAAAATATGAATGAAAGAGAGATGAGAGTGTGAATGATAGTAATTAACAATGAGAAATATGTTTAGGTTTTGTGTCTTTACTTTTGGAGACTTATAACTAAAGATTAAAAAATAGAAGAAAAAAAACCCAATAAATTAGGACCTATTTGTTTCTGTTTTAATTTTTAAATTTTTGAAATTATATTCTAAAATAATTTTAAAAATTTATTTTTAAGAAAAAATTAAAAATAAAATTTATGTTAATAAATAAATTTAATTTTTTTAAAAATTATTTTTAAAAATAAAACAAGCTCTTAATCATATCCGACCTCAACATGTGGATTTGATAAGGTAAATTGGTAGTGTAATATTCATGTAATTCAAATATATCAAAAGTGGTAGGATTTAACGAATCCTACTAAATTTAAGTCATTTTGCCAATTTCACATTTTTTGAGGCAATCAAACTTATATTTCTAGTCTCAATATTGTTGTTACCTTCCAAATTCCCTAATCTTAGAACCAACCGATTTGATCATACATGGTACACACAATATCTTAAGGTGAATGATTTTTCTATCCCTATTTTAAAAAAATAAGATAAAAGAAGAAGAAAATGTTATCATATTAAGAGTATTAATTGTTAAGAGAATAAAATTATAGGAGTGCAAAATTTTATTCCCTAAAACAATATTCTTAAAAATGATTTAACTTAATTGACGAGCACTCCTAACAAAAACTAACAAAAATAAAAATAAAAAATTAACAAATAAATTATATTTTATCTTAAACATTTAAATTGTAAAAATTAATATTGTTTTATATTAATTCATTTTATTATTTTTATGGATTCAAACTTAACTCAATTTCCTCATATCAATCTAATTGAAATTTTAATATATTTTTTACAGCACTAAATCTGAAAAATCAATCATTTGTTTTATAAAACATTATCATATCAAATATTACTACGATAAGGGTAATTCATCTAACCTTGGGTTATGGATGGCAATGCCAAAGCCAAAAGGGGTTTGCTTACGTGTAAGATACCCACACTAACATAAATATTAGCATTTCCTACTTCATTTGCCAAACCGACACATCATCATCACTTCATTAAAAAAAAATTAAAAATGAAAAAAAGAAACAGAAGAGAAGATAAAAGCTAAATCATTCCCTTCAATTTCATTCATTCTCTCTCTCTCTCTCTCTCTTCGCTTTGCAAACACCCCACCACACACTGTCCAACGTTAACCGATCAAAAACCCACCTGTGTCTAAGTCTGTTTGATCCAAAGTTTGCAACTTTCGCTTCACAAAAACGTGAAAATCATCTTGCGATTCTCCTCGACCGATGCAGATTGAATTTCAGGAACCGTCGGTGTCTGGAATACGTAATCACCCTTTCCATGTTTTTATTCCTTCGATCTTTGACGATCGTAATGCCACTCATCGGAAACTTGTTGATCGTGTGATTTTGTTCTTATTCCCCTGAATTCTCTGTTTTTCTTTTTCTTTTCTTTTTTTTTCTTTTTTTTTTCTGGTTGCGTATTCAGCAAGTGTACTTGTTGAATCGGATTACACTGATGATTCTCTAATCTGGGAAACTCACACCCAAAAATTGAAAATAAATAAATAAATAAACGATTTTTCCACCTACCCTTTAATAATTGATTGCAAAAGCGGTTCCATTTACCAGCCCCTGTTTCTGGGTGTTCGGCTATGGACGACGATTTTGGTGGGTTGATTATTCGTTTTGATTGCGATGATCTCACTTTAATTAATTACGATGACTTCACGTGAATAAAAATTTCAACTCCGATGACAAATTTGGGAAATTCCTTTCTTTTTGTTTTAGAATATCCCATCGTTAGGGGAATGAATACCATGCTTTCCCCTCAAAGTTTTCGTCCTTGGGTTCACCTTGAATTATTCTGTTTGTTTTCCCCCTCTTGCATGTATTTTCTTCATCTGGGTCATCTAATTTCTAAATCAAGCGTTTCATAAAACGATCGGGGTGGATTTTCTCCTCTGCCACCGAGGTTTCTTCTTTTTTTCTTTTTTTTCTTTTTTGTTTATTTGTTTTTATTTTATTTTATTTTATTTTGTCTTGTTGATCCTCCTCTTTCATGGAGGGTTAATAATTCTGTGGGTTTAAATGAATGCTTTCTGGTGCTTCTAACTCATAATTGATAATGTCACAATAAATGGAGACAGTTGGTCATATAATTCAGTTATTTTTTTAACGTAAATTTATGTCACATAACATACTGAGTTTATGTAAGTATGCTTTTGTTTGTAGGTTTGAGACCTGAGATTTGCTAATCAATTATATTTTTGAGGTACACACTTTTGCAAGTTAGTATAAGAATGAATAACTATAGTTTCAGATGTTATAAATTAGAAAAACCGAAAAATGAATTAATGTAGTGATAAATTTGCACATATTTTCATAATTCCCAGAACTTTAGATCTTTTCTTCTGCAAAGTTTGGGCACTGCATAAGGTTGGCAGTGCCCATGGATGCTACAACCAGCGGAACCCCAACTATACAATACCATAACATCCCTGACCAGCCAATTACTACCATTGTTGCCACCCCACTTCCAACATTTCAAAGGCAACAACGCCATTGCTTTGGGGACTCCACTCCAGGAGAGTTTCCATTGTCTGCTAATCCCTCCATTGTCCTTCATGTTCTCACAACATGCAATTTGGATCCTCAAGACCTTGCTAAACTAGAGGCAAGTGCTATACTTACCTGAAATATCAAGTTGTTGTTGAACAGTAGTATCAATGCCTATAATGCATGCTGGCTTTGTTTTTTATGTGCACGTTGCAGGCAACATGCACCTTCTTCAGGCAACCAGCAAACTTTGCTCCAGATTTGGATTTGTCCTTATCTGAGCTTGCTGCACTTGACATGTGCCAGAAGAGGGCCATCTTCAAGCCAATGACGACAGAACAACGGCAAGTTTTGAAGCAAAGGTGTGGAGGTTCTTGGAAGTTGGTGCTGAGGTATTTGCTTGCTGGTGAGGCATGTTGCAGGAGGGAGAAATCACAGGCAATAGCAGGTCCTGGTCACAGCATTGCTGTGACATCAAAAGGGGCTGTTTATTCATTTGGATCCAACAGTTGTGGACAACTTGGGCATGGCACCACTGAAGAGGAATGGCGACCTCGACCAATAAGGTTGGAACATTAAGGCCAACTGTAAACTTAAGGCTAACTGCAAAGTGAACTGGTTGATTTAAAATAATTAATGGAACTGCATTGTGTTTCAGAACTTTGCAAGGCATTCGAATTATACAGGCTGCAGCTGGAGCTGGTAAGACAATGTTGGTCAGTGATTCTGGGCAGGTTTATGCATTTGGTAAAGATTCTTTTGGGGAAGCTGAGTATGGAGTACAAGGTTCAAAAACGGTTACAGCTCCACAGTTAGTAGAGTCTTTGAAAAATATATTTGTTGTCCAAGCTGCAATTGGTAATTTTTTTACAGCTGTATTGTCAAGAGAAGGCAGGGTTTATACATTTTCTTGGGGCAGTGATGGCAAACTCGGTCACCACACTGATCAAAGTGATGTGGAACCCCATCCTTTATTAGGTGCTCTTGAAGACATTCCAGTAGTGCAAATTGCTGCTGGATATTGCTACCTGCTTTGTCTAGCTTGTCAACCCAGTGGAATGTGAGCTCCAACTATATTCATTCTCCTTTTCTTTTTCGCACCCTCAAATTTTTAAGCAAACTAATATGTTGAAGATATGTTGAAGAAAAGACTATTTTTTTACAATTTATTCCTTCAATGACAAGCATATCTTCCCTCTTTTTCTTTTTTATTTTCATTTGGTGAGATGTACATCATAACGAGTCCATATCCTGCTAGTTATACATGTATCTTTATTCTCATTAATAATTATTTGAATGTTCATCATATCACCCTTCCTTGAAAATTTACAGGTCAGTATACTCTGTTGGTTGTGGCTTGGGGGGCAAGCTAGGACATGGCTCAAGAACTGATGAAAAGCACCCTCGTTTGATCGAACAGTTCCAGCTGCTAAACCTTCAACCCATGGTTGTTGCAGCTGGTGCTTGGCATGCTGCTGTGGTGGGGCGAGATGGCCGTGTTTGCACGTGGGGATGGGGCCGTTATGGTTGCTTGGGGCATGGCAATGAAGAATGTGAATCAGCACCTAAGGTTGTGGAAGCATTGAGCAATGTCAAAGCTGTTCATGTTGCAACAGGAGATTACACAACCTTTGTAGTATCTGAGGATGGTGATGTTTATTCATTTGGTTGTGGAGAATCTGCTAGTCTTGGGCATAATGCTGAAAATGATGAGGAGGTCTAGTTTGCTTCTATCCTTTTCCATGTTTGACTTGACCAGTCTGCTTCATTTGGTTCAAATGATGTGTCTTTCACATATTTTCTTCTCCTGCATATAAGAAATGTTGATATTGGTGACTATAGCATACTCAATAATAAATTGGTCTTTTTTTTGTCAAATGTTAGACATTTCATGGAAATATTTTAGTAACTTCATATTTACTGAACCATGTTGTGATTGTACATGTACAGGGCAATAGACATGCAAATGTTTTGAGTCCAGAGCTTGTCACTTCACTGAAACAGATCAATGAAAGGGTGGTTCAGATTAGCCTAACCAACTCCATATATTGGAATGCTCATACCTTTGCACTCACTGAATCAGGGAAGCTGTATGCTTTTGGGGCTGGAGATAAAGGACAGCTTGGAATTGAGCTTGTTGCCAACCAGACTGAAAGGGGAAATCCAGAAAGGGTTGACATTGATCTTGGTTAACTGTTCATTGCCTTTACCCTCCAATTCTTTACACCATGCTATCCTCTAATTTATGGTCACCATGCATAGCATTTAGTATTTAAATTTCTTGTCTATTTTGTAAATATAATCAAAGAATGCATCGTGAAGGTCCAAGGTAGGTAACGGGTAACAAGGGCATTAGTTGTTGTCTTATGGTTGTTGATATCTCTCTTAGGCTTCAACTAGTTGTTGATAGTTGATACATTGATGAAGGTTCATTTATTGCATAGTTGTCTTGAATTGTTTTCATAGATCATTTGCTTAGAAACAGTTTGTCAAATTCAGCATTCATTCATCATCAAAATCCTCATGGGTTGGATTATTTACTCTTTTTATCCCAGTGATCAAGAATCGGTGAAAATTTCTTTCTAGACAGAACTTAGATTAATTTTTTTCTCTCTCTGTTATCAAGTTCTTAAAACAATAATGGCATGCAGATGACTTTTTTTTCCAAAAAGTTGCAACCTATTCTCAATTGAAGCCATGTAATGTTGGAAAGGGCATCATGTTATTATTTGATTACAGAACTTGATGAGGAGATCCCAGGTATGATCTATTTGGGGTGATTGAACCTTCTACTTTGAACCCAACAACCCGTAGAGATAGATAGATTCTTTTATAAAGTTAAATTACTTAATATAAGGTTCTTTAAAGTATTAGCCCATTACTATTTTTTATCAAACAAACGTTATGTTCATTAGTGCAAGTGTTAATACATTATTGGCTAATTAGAAAAGTTGGGTATAATAGATTTGTACAAAGATTTCTTTTATTAGTGAGGGAAGATGCGACTAGACTATTTTAACTTCGGAATATCATCAATGTATTTTAATTATATATTTTTTAACGTATTATTTTTTATTAGATAAATTCGTGTAAGACTAAAAATGAGTGAGGCGAAAATTATGGAATGCGATTCAATGAATATAGTTCAATAATAAAGAATGGGTTGAGAAAACTGTGTTGAAGTATTAAATTTCAAAATTAATAAAATTACTATCATTTATGATATTGTATATACTTACATTTATTATTCATTTATTTTTTATATTCAAGTATTTTAAATATATTTCAAATTAAAAGGAAATAACCTCAACATTTTCATAATTAGAATGTATTGTTAGCATCAGTGGTTTGCCTTTAACGTTTAAGATGTAGTAGGGATTCCATGAGGTCTAAATAAATAATTGTCATGATGCTTAAGCACATTAAGTTTATGTTTGGATTAATTTATTTTAAAAAATTATTTTTATAAAGTAAGGAATTTATATGTTGAAATGGAAACAACTACCACAGACAAATGAAGCAGTAAACTTAGTTCATAACTTGCCTTAGTCTACCAATTAATCGTTGAAATAATTAATATAATAAGTGCTTTTTTAATTAATAGTTTTTACTTTTAGATGTTTAAATTCATTCTTGACTCCTGTGCTGAAGATCCTTTTTCACCCTTTAGATAATCGTATTTTATAGTTTATTTTTCTGCCTTTTCTTTTTCTTTTACCAAAAAGGTCATTTTAAATTATTTTAGACGTGACTTAATTCTCTCCCTTTTTTTTTTTTTGGCTGTAAGCGTGTTCAATTGTGCAGTTTTTTTTGGGTCAAAGCCTACTTAGAATTGGGTCCTACTCAATTTCTTCCCTCATTGTTCAAAGGAAAGTGTAGGCCCAAAAGTCACTAAGGAATGCATGGGAAATAGCCCAAGTCGTTTGTTCTCTCCTCTCTCTGCTTTGACAAAACTAAAAAACTGCATTGTAGAGAATGCAAGTCGATTAAAAAAAAAAAAAAAAGGGTACAGTAGTAAGGTAATAGCATAAGACTACAACACCATTTTCTAACATAATATATGACAATGATAAGTTAAAATGTTACTAACAATAACAATATACTGTCTAACACACTTTTAACTATCGGTTAAAATTTATTTAAAATTAAAAAAGTACAAGAAAAATACTTCCTCTAGTCCTTTTATAAAAAATAAAAGACCATATCACTTGAATTAAAGAAATCAATTAAATCAGTTATGTTTTTAATAAATATAATTTTTAATTAAAAATATTTATAATATTAAATAATATAGTGGGTGACTTATATATTTAATGTTATTAATAAAAGAAAAGTATTAAAAAAATATAATAATTAATACATCTTAAATTTATTATATATTTTGTATAGTTAGGGGAAAAAATTTCACTTTGTTCCTTATAAAAAGGACTAAAGGTAATATTAATTTAAAAATAAAACAGAATAAGATTTACATAATTTTTACAATTTTTAATTAATTTTAATCTAATAATAAAAATATGTTACAAAAACTGTATTAAAAAAATGTATTACTAGTGTTTTTTCTTCTGTTTCTTTAGACATATTTGCAAGTGGAGTATGCAGTCTTTCATAATGCAAGTTCGAAGCTTATGATGACCACTGAACGAGAGAAACACGCCAATATTAATGGTTTGCATTCGCTAGCACATGATCCAATCATAAAAGACAAGTTTACTTTTCCATTTGCACAATTTTTTAATAATTTTCTTTTTTTATAATATGTTCGACAAGTCAATTAGTATTTATTTATTAATGACATGAAGACAGTTTGTTTGTAAATTCCACAAGAAAAACCAGAGATAAACTCTGTTAAATCCAGGAACAAAGGATTTTGGGAAGGAAACTACAAGTGAACGAAACAAAAGAATATATACTTAATTCCTATTTCACTCAATTAGATTAAGTACCTGTTTAAAAGAGTTTAGAAACGATTTATAATTTTCATAGCACTTATTTTGATGATTTTTATAATTTAATTTAAATATATGTCACTATTTTAAAAAGTTTAATAAATACTTAAATAAATTGTATATTCAAACATATGTTGGTTCATGCTATCCTTTTCATGAGCTTATGTCTTCTTAGTTAGTGATATGTATAGATTAAGATATTGCTTTTCAGTTCTGAGTAGCACAATTTGACATCATGTTTTATAAAAATGTATGTCATATATTTCACATTAAAGTGATATAATAATAATAATAATAATAATAATAATAATAATTTATCGTGGATGATGGATTTGTTTACTTCAATTTATGCTCAGTGAGCCATAATTGCTCACTTTTCATAACCCAAAATCATTGATCGTATCACCCCAAAAAATATTTCACGAAAATGTAAGATAATGTAAGCTTTATATATCTGAAATTTTGTTCAAGAAAACTTTAGTTTGCCAACTTAAAATCTTACAAAAACTTCAAATCATTGTACTATATTTTTTAGGGTAACATTCCATATTCTTTCCCTTACAATACTATAATTAATTTATAAGAAAGATTGTCTATCCAAAACAAAGAGAATATAAACACAGAAAATGTTAATCTTAACCTTAAGGATAAGCAACTAATACAATAAACATGTATTTTATTTCAATAAAAGCTTTTTATTTATATATGCTTAAACTTAGTTTAACAACTGGAGTTCACAAAACTCTATAAAATTTATTTTGAAGCCTCTATCAATATTCATATTGACCATCATTCATCAACGGGAATTGAATTGAATTGCATGCAGATTGTGAACATGATTGCTCCATTAACTACAGTAACAGTTGTGCCACTAGAAAAAAAAAAATTGAATATACAAGATTTGGAAGCATAATGGCCAAAGGGAATGGTAGCTAGCTTGCCACATGGTTTGCTCATGATAAGCTATATGTGTTATCCAAATTCAAATCTAATAATGTCATCACATGCACGATTTGACAAAACTCATAATGAAGATGTACATGTCTTAAAGTACGGTGATATACAACCCCACTAATCATTTGAATCAAGAACACCTTTCATTTTGTTAATTCTGTCATCAAAACTTAGCACATGATTTGTAGAGTGCATTAATTGTGTAACATTGCATTTACCTTTGTACAATGAGAGTTGTGATATTAAGTAATGTTTAATAAACATTTATTATACGTAAATTCTTATTATGCTTCTATCAACATAGTTAGTTAAAAAATTATTATAGAATTAACGCTTTATAAAGTATTGTCACCAAACCAAAATCAATTATAGTCAACATCAACAACGTCTCATAAAATTTAAATCTGAAGCACATGCTTTATTATTATTCCCATATGATTGACTCATCGTTATACTATTACAGCGAGTTAAGAATACATTTGCTTATATAATAATACAATCGTGCAAGTTAAACAATCAAATTGCTCTCTTTTCTTGATTTGACTAAAACACATTTTCATGGGATTAATGAATATTTAGCGTATGAACAGAGAAAACCTTTTCCGTATGATTACTTTCTTCTCATTGTGTACTTCACACATGACAGCAACAATGTGTTTGCAAATAAAATAAAATAATTTTATTTTCCTTTGAAGAGTCAATTGCTTGGGCAGAATTTCCGTTCAAGTACACAACGTGATATTTCTCTTAACGTGAAGAAGCTACTACTATAAATATAAAATGAGCATTTTCAATAATGATTATACAACACTATATCATATATTTTCGCAAAATTGTCTTATAAAAAATTTATGTGCCTAGCATGTGGCACTCCACACTTGCCACAATGAAACTTTATGAATTGAAGGGGATAAGGTGGGGGATGGATATGGCACTTTTTTTAATCAATTTTTTGGGCCATTAATGGACGTGGCATTTAAGGCTAAGCTTTGTTGTGCCATCACCCCATTGAAATCTGACTATGTTCGTTGGCTTTGCTGAAAAAGAGACCCATTCAAACTTAAAATGGGTTAGTTTGGCCCAATTGTTGAGAATGGGATGAGGTCAAAGAAATGAGCCCTTGGGCCCCACCCAGTGAAGTATCAAAGGGACATAGCCCACATGGGAGAACATGCTTTCTCTTCCATGTCATCACATTCACGGATAGTACGGTCCTTCCAAGTCTTCCTTTTTCTTTTTCTTTTTAAAAATATTCATATTTCTTTATTAGAGAAGATTCTATTTGAATTAAATATAAACATTATCAATAACAAAACTCCCATTTTAAGTATTTAATATCAAATTTGGGTTAATAAATTAAATTGAAAAAAAATCGTATTTGATAAATTTTATCTTCTAGTTTATTATTATTTATCGTTTTTATGAGTAAATATTAGCATACGTTAGTTTGAGAATGCAAAAAAAAGAACATTTTCTAACATTTAAAGATTAATATGATTAATATTTGTGACTTATGAAAACTCGAATATAATTTGTATACATTGAAAATAATTAATGTGTTTAATGTTAAATTTCTGATAACCAATCTGAAACTACAATTCTCTATTTATATTAATAGAAAACACTAAAAGAAACAGTAGTCCCTGCGCAGTTCACGCTTATGCATGTGTTCTCGTCAGATCATTAAGTGTACATCATTTTCTTTCTTGTAAAAAATTTATGATTGTCACAATGAAATTCCCTTGCTATCCTGATCCCATCACTTTGCTAGATAATGTGCCTAATCTATTGCGTGCTACTCATAGATCATGGCACGGAAATAAATGCACATTTTTCGTTTGTTAATGCCTGAGATTGGAAGAATTGCAATTGTAAATTGCAAAGCTTATTTATTCATGAGAAATCAAATCTAAACAAAAGAATTGTATAAAATGATATCAATACATAGAATAGTTGAATTGCATAAGGAAGTAGTCACCAAAAGGAAATGGAACAGGAATAGGTGTAGACAAGTATATAAATACATAGATATTGGTAAAGGAATGACCCATCATTAATGATGTTTTGTGTAATGTGGAGAAAGGAGAAACCCACTTCAACAGCCATATCAACATCAAATGTAACTGAAAGTGATGAGTTGAGGGCACTTATGTGGGCTCTATTGCCTTAACTAGAAGAGTAGCACACTGCATATAAAGCAAATTACCGACAACGATTTCATCTATACAAGTGTCGGCGCACAGTAAATTGGTGATTATACTGTGAAACAACAACTTATTTAAACACTTACTGATAAATGATTTAATTAAGATTTGATGTCCACAAGAGTTATATAATTAGATATAATCATCATAAAAAAAATTGTTAAAATATCGTCCTTAACTATTATTTTTAGTTACTTTAACTCAACTTTTAGTTGAAATACATTAGTGTGAGAAGGACTAAAAATAAGTTAATTATAAACTCTTTCAAATAAATCCAAAAATTCTTAATTCCGAATAGTGGATTCGAGCATAGAAGTAGCACTGTAACAAATTGAGTATTTGAGTAAGCAATGAGGTGGTCCACGGAATCTTAAACTACAGAGAATTTGGGTGCTTACTTAAATTGAGAGCAGAATGCTTATAATGTGCCGTTATGAAGGATGATTACCTTAAATCATGGAAATCTCGGGTCTTATGCACAAAATATTTAATTTATGAGGCACAGTTTCCCACTTGTTCCCTATATATACTCTAAATTGTCCTTACATTTCTTCCCAAGCACACTATATCCTTATCCTCCCTTCTTTTTAGTATTCCTCTTAAGTTCTTGGTTGAGGGCAGATCAAGCAGTTATGGAAATTCCACTCTCATTTGTGTTACTCTTTCTACTTCTTGTACCTTCCTTCATTTGTTCTTCACCAATTCAAGACCCTGAATTTGTAGTGGAAGAAGTACAAAAGTAGGAAACAAGATTTTTTAAGTTTGCATGCATAGTTACTACCTACATATTTGAGCATGATACTAAAAAGGGTATAAAAAACTGCGTCTTCTTTGTATTGCAGGAGCATTAATGCGTCAAGGAGAAACTTAGCATTTCTTTCTTGTGGGACAGGCAATCCCATTGATGATTGTTGGAGGTGTGATCCCAACTGGGAAAAGAACAGAAAGCGTTTAGCAGATTGTGCCATTGGGTTTGGTAAGCAGGCCATTGGAGGAAGGGATGGTAAAATATATGTGGTGAGTGATTCAGGTGATCACCCTGTGAATCCCAAGCCAGGAACTCTAAGATATGGTGTTATCCAAGAGGAGCCATTGTGGATCATCTTCAAGCGTGACATGGTGATCAAGTTGAAGCAAGAGTTGATGATGAATTCTTTCAAAACAATTGATGGTAGAGGTGCAAATGTGCACATTGCCGGAGGGCCTTGCATTACTATACAATATGTGACCAACATTATCATTCATGGGATTAACATCCATGATTGCAAACAAGGAGGGAATGCATATGTGCGGGACTCTCCTACCCATTATGGTTGGAGAACTCTATCTGATGGTGATGGGGTGTCAATCTTTGGTGGGAGCCATATTTGGGTGGATCATTGCTCTCTCTCCAATTGCCGTGATGGACTAATTGATGCCATTCATGGATCCACTGCCATCACTATCTCCAACAATTACTTGACTCACCATAACAAGGTCATGCTTTTGGGCCACAGTGATACTTTCATCCAAGATAAGAACATGCAAGTCACCATTGCCTTTAACCATTTTGGAGAAGGGCTAGTGCAGAGAATGCCAAGGTAAGATCAAAACCTTACCTTCCTCTGTATCATTGGATATTTTATTAGGGTAGCTTAGCGTAGCTTAGCTTAGCTCTAGCTATATGTGTTTTTCACTTTTTCTTTTTCCAGTTAACTTGATTAGTCTTCTTACTTTTATGTACATCTGCAGATGCAGGCATGGATACTTCCATGTTGTGAACAATGACTACACTCATTGGAAAATGTACGCCATTGGGGGCAGTGCTGCTCCAACTATCAATAGCCAAGGCAACAGATTTCTTGCTCCCAATGACATGACCTTCAAAGAGGTTATATGGAAAAGAATAAGAATTTCCTATGTTAACTCTATTGCATACTATTCATTTTTTGGATTGAATATGACTCAGTAAATATACAAACTGACCTTTGAAAGTGAGATTCTATTTATTATATTTCACTAAAGTATAAGAAAAATGAACATATTTGGAGATCAAATTATACTTTTGGCAACTAATTTGTAGTCAAAAAGACTAAAATATAAGCAAGTTAATATATATTTGAGTACCGAATTATACAAAGCAAAACTTTCGTAGATTAAAAATAAACATAATGTCTTTCCTGATATTAATATGTGAATATAATCATATAACTGGTTTTAAATAGACATTACACTTGTGCTAATTAAGAACTAAAAAAACTAATTTCAGGTCACAAAGCGTGAGGTTACCCCAAAGAGCCAATGGAAGAATTGGAATTGGAGGTCTTCAGGAGATTTGATGTTAAACGGTGCCTTCTTTACACCATCAGGAACAGGTGCATCTTCAAGCTATGCCAGAGCATCCAGTTTGGCAGCAAAACCATCTTCACTTGTCAGTTCCATCACAGCATCAGCTGGATCACTTAACTGCAGAAAGGGCTCACGCTGCTGAATCAAGAAGCCCAAAAATTATATATTACATAGTAATAAAGGCAAAAATCAATATGCGCCATGCAACTGTATCTACTTTTTGGGTAAAAAAATGTTATTCAACTTTATTGTATATCGAACTTTTTAGACATTTTGTCTTTGTAACGACAACCTTAGCTTGTGTCTACGATACAAATCATCCGCTTTGTGGTATTGTAAGTTGACAGACACAAGCAAAAGAGTTGATATAATTGAATGTTCAATGAAAAACCAGAATTGAGAAAACGTAGGTACAATTGAATGCTTATAGTTTGATAGTTTCCATATCGTGCCAATGCCTCTGGTATCCCATAATGCATTTTATCAAGCAATTTTTTTTAATGTGTATTTATAAATATTAATCAAAGACTATTCAATACATTTTTTTTATTTTTCTAATGTATTCTCATTGCTTAATGACACCATAAGAACCTATATATAATAATTTTTTATTGGAAATAATGAAATATCACATAATTCAAAGGAGTGATAATATTAAATGCTACAATTTTTAATGAAAACTTATTATTTCTTGATTTAAAAAATGATACATTTTATTAATTACTTTTAATTATTATTTAAAAAATAAATATTCAATAACTTTTGTGTTTTTAATGTAGTAAATACTTCATCATATGGACAATATACCCCTCACATGGAGTTGAAAGGAAACTGATATTGATATATCATCATTGGTAATTGGATCCACGTCCATAGATGGGCCATTATCTGGGGACAAGCATCTTCAATAACTTGTGCATGCACTGATGAATTTGACACACATCATCTATTGTTTAGATGGATTGATTGATTTTCCTCTGACATGCAAGGCAATGAGTTTTGTACACAACAAATAATTTTTCTGTCATTTAATTATCGCATGCAAAGTGACAATAATTGAAGTTTAATTTGTGTCTCCGACAAGATGCTATTGCTATAAATGTCACCCCGAACACTAATTTTCATACTGCATTGCCTTGCTTTGCACTATAGAAGATTTGGATACATTTGTCATCTTTTGTCCTCTATCTCCTGTAATTAACACCAGATCTGGAACAAGGATGGATGAAATTCAAGTTTGGCATCAGACTTATTTATTGCTACAATTTTCAACTGTTTGTGATTATTACAACGGCACAAGTTAATAAAATTACTGATTGAATAAGTTTTATTGATTGATTCTAATTCTACAACAAACAACACCAGACCTTTTCTTTTGTATATTATATTTGTTTATTTCATAATATCTCACTGTATAGATAATGTCAGGATAATTTTATTAAGAGTAATAGAGTATGTGCACACAAAGAAACACAGTTTCTAATCCCTCCCTAGAGTTAAGGGCCCAAAAGCAATAGAAAAATATTAAAAATTAAAACAATGCACATTCATATTTATGCAAGTAACATACAAACAATACAAACTAATGATAAATAATAGGCCTATTAGTATTAAAAAATCAATAAAATATTTTCTAATTGAAAAATTAACTAATAATTTAAATATCGGTAAGAAATGGTTCAATCTGTAATTAGTCCTTATTACTAGAATGCCAAGAAAAGCATATACTACAAAATATTGTGATAGAATTGTGTATTAGAGATCTTATCAAATCATCAATGATCAAGCACACTACTGTCAGGTAGACAAAAATCATTGCAAATATCAGTAAGTTTAGCCAAATGCTGCTAGCAGTCAAATCCAAATTGGTCACTACTTGATGCATTATGCTCCTCAAAGATCTTGCTTCCTATTATTAGCTTCACTTTCTTTGGGCCCTCCTTAGGCACTTGTTTTTCTGGGGCCGTTCTCATCTTTTGCATGCATCTCCCAGTAAAGGGCCCAATACTGAGCCTCTAATCATAATAATTAGCTCACATGAACAAATGAGGGGTTTCAGATACAATGGCTTGGCCGTATACAGAAGATGGCTTACATTGTGATTGTAAACTCATCCTTCTACAGTTTATCTACACCAAAATATTGCCATAAATTCAAATTACTCCTCTCTCAATCCATAGAGCACCTTCTACCATGCCCTTGGATGAATGTCTTCATCTGGTTTGAAAGTAATTTATGATGGGATATCTATACAGTAAGATTCTTACATATGGGACAATTGGCTTGTGGGAAAGTTACAGATTGCAGAGGATCTCGGAAAATAAGTTGATCAAATTTAGCTCCATATTTGGAAAGTAATGCATAAAATATGTCAAGACATGCCCCTACAGTATCATATCTTACTTGTTTCTCCTATAGTATATATGATTCTTTAAATTAAATATTTGCGAACGACATAAAAAAAATTGAGTTCATCGATAAAAAGTAAAACCAGGTTTTGTTTCTCTTACTTGACAAACAAAAACTCTTTCGAAGCTGTTTAGGAAATTTTAAACAAACAATTTTGTATAATCATTATCACATTATATGCCCATAATTAAAAATAAATAAATATATACCAAAATATGCCCACATTATGACCATTCATTTATATATAGTTTAATCTTATTCCTCTTATTCTTAAACTAAATGCAACGCTGGCTTTTCATGGTTTTTGAAGAAGACGTTGAACTTTATATAAATTTATACTTTCTAGTGATAACAACTTTTCATAAATAAAAAGGAGTAATTTTGAAAAAAAAAATACCAGAATAATGAGACAATCAGCACCAACAACATAAAATAAGCTCCTGAAAAATTATGCTTTTAGCCATGTTTAATTTATTGAAGAGAAACCAGACTACAGTTTAGCCCCCAAAAATAAAAACAATGGTTTGTTAATTATAAATTTAATAAACAAGACAACTAGGACTATAAATCATGCATAGCACTTTGATCTCAATCCCATGACTACATTAGTAAACTAGGAATTCCAATAGACATTCACTCGTTAGTTAAACTAACAATATAGAGACTTTTCACTGAGAAAAAAAGGTACACCAAATTAGTACAATTGTTTAGTGGGAGGAATCTGACATGAAAGCAACATGTATATTTTCTTGGATCATTATTATTATTCATCCAAATAAAATTATAGGATGTTCATAGATGGGCGTGTGAGAGTGAAAATATGAAATAGATCAATCATCAATAACAAACAAAAGTGTACCTCATTTAACGACCAATCCTACATGCAGCATAATTGACGGATGATAGGCAAAGAAAGTGCGAGATTCTGATGCTTTCAGCTCCAACGGCACCTCTTAGGCCCAAATACTGACACCAAAATATTCATTCATACCTTAAATTTCAGTGTATTGTAAATTTATTTTATTTTTATTTTTCTTATTAGTGTAATATTCTGATTAAAGAAATGTCATAAGCCCTGAAAGAAAAAATTGCTGTTAATCAGTGTAATTTGTTAATTGAAGTAATGGTCTACTACTACTACTATTATACTGTGTAAATTGACTTTGGGAGAAGGGTGCCTCATAGGGAAGCAACGCTATATAGGTTTCCTAAATCCACAAATCCCGGACACTGAACAAGCATTTTTTATTTAATCAAGAATTAAGATTCATTCCCTCTCAATTCAATTACTACCTATGTATATAAGATTCACTACTATCACTCTTATAGAACAAGTCACAATTGTATAATTACCCTCCTTATTAATATTCTTCTTATTCTTCCCTTTATAGGGAATTTAAGAAATTATGGCATTTTCATTCACATTTATGTTCCAGTTCTTGCTTCTTGTCCCAACTTTGATCTATGCTTCTTCAGTTCAATATCCTGAATTAGTGGTCCAAGAAGTACAAAAGTATGTTATGCAGTTCTTTGTTTGAGACATCTTACACCCTCCCTCATGGGGACCTTTTAAAAATCAGATCGATATACCATAAAATGTTCTATCATCAACCTAACTTATGCTGTGTCTTATTCTGCCAAAACTCTTCTGTTGGAAAACAGAACTGTCTTGTAGCTTTTGTTTAATTCTTTTTTCTTTCCACATAAAATCCATCTAGCATACAAGATGGTTTGTACTATTTTAGTGCAGTTCATTAACAGAAGATACAGATATAAATTATTTGAAGATAATGGTTTGTGTGTTAAACTTAGATATCATATTTTTTAAAAAGTGGCAACCTTTCATCCCTTTATAATATATCAAATTAAAGTCTCGAATTAATTTTAGTTTATTTTTCCTTAAAAAATGACTGATTCTTAACTTTTATTGTGTTAAATCTTAAATTTAAATTATTTTAAACCAATTAAGTATATTATTTTTGGAATTTGAATCATTTTCTCTTTTTAATCATTTGCATGATGCACTTCCATTAAAAAAATAAAAATAGAATGTTCTCCTCGTGCTTTTTGTGATGAAACGTTATAGTGACCACAACTTATTGTCGACAGCAGCACTTAAAATAGGGGAAACACATGTTAATGATCCCAACCTTTTACGTCGAAACATGTGCACCTAGTGACCCCAGCACATTTGCATCCTTTTCTTTTTCGTAGGAGCATCTATTAGCATAGGAGAAATTTGGGTTTTATTCTCATTATCAAGAATATTTTGAAGACTACATGCATGTACTTGCATGTTTGAGCATATCATATTGAAAGAAGCACCCTTTTTTTTTTTTACTGTAGGAGCATTAATGTGTCAAGGAGAAACTTGGGATTTCTTTCTTGTGGAACGGGCAACCCCATTGATGATTGTTGGAGGTGTGACCCCAACTGGGAAAAGAACCGCAAGCTTCTAGCCAATTGTGCTATTGGGTTTGGAAGACATGCCATTGGTGGGAGGGATGGCAAAATATATGTGGTCACTGACCCTAGTGATAACCCTTTGAACCCAATGCCAGGCACTTTAAGATATGCAGTTATTCAACTAGTACCTTTGTGGATCATATTCAAGCATGACATGGGGATCAAACTAGAGATGGATCTCCTCGTGAATTCTTACAAAACCATTGATGGAAGAGGAGCAAACGTGCACCTTGCTGGAGGGCCTTGCATCAAAGTGCAGCACAAGTCCAACATCATAATTCATGGCATACACATCCATGACTGCAAACGGGGTGGCAATGGATATGTGAAGGACTCTCCTAACCATCGTAGCTGGAGAAGAAGATCAGATGGTGATGGGGTGACAATCTTTGGCGGGAGCCATGTTTGGGTGGACCATTGCTCCTTGTCAAGTTGTTTTGATGGCCTAATTGATGTTGTTCATGGGTCAACGGCTATCACCATTTCTAACAATTACATGACGCACCATAACAAAGTCATGCTCTTGGGCCACAGTGATTCCTACGAAGAGGACAAGCATATGCAAGTTACTGTAGCCTTCAACCATTTTGGAGAAGGGCTTGGGGGAAGAATGCCGAGGTAAGTAGTGTTTTTGTTTTTGTTTTTGTTTTGTTTTTGTTTTTTTTGTTGTATCAAAAGATAAGCGTTGTTTAGCTTGTGCTATTCTTTTGATTGGAAGAGAAAGAATACAGCTTGAATGGTAAATTTCTTGCCCAAATTTGCAGATGCAGGTTCGGATTCTTCCATGTGGTGAACAATGATTACACACATTGGCATAATTACGCAATAGGTGGGAGTTCATCCCCAACTATTTTCAGCCAAGGCAACAGATTTCTTGCCCCGGATGATGAAGACCACAAAGAGGTCAAAGATATATAAACAAACTAAAACAATAATGCCATAATTAGCTGCTAATTAATGAATACTGTTGTGATACAAAATAAAATATGTTGTGTAGCTAATTTATGATTTTTGGCCATTCATGTGTTGAATAGATGGCTTCGCATGGTATTTTTAATATATTGAAAATGTGATTGGTGGATTTCAGGTCACCAAACACTTCACTTCATCAGAGAGCGAGTGGAGGAAATGGAATTGGAGGTCTGAAGGAGATCTAATGTTGAATGGAGCCTTCTTCACACCGTCTGGAGCTGGAGCAGCTGCTAGGTATAATAAAGCGTCAAGCATGGCAGCACGACCACCTATGCTTGTGCCTTCAATGACAGCAGGGGCTGGAGCACTTAGATGCAAAAGGGGCTACCCATGCTACTAGCTGCTAGTATCCAATGCACTAAGAAAACAATTGTGTTTAGTTTTTCGTAAGAATAGAACCTAACAGACATTTGGGTAACATAACGTGTGCTTTTAATTTCAAACGCGTTACCAAACAAATCTTTAATTAAAGAATGGTATAACTTCTTGGCATGCTAAAATTTTCAAATTTCTAGTGAAATTGTGGAATACTATACCAGCTTGGACACCTAATCAATGGAGGACAGAACAGTGCTGTAGAGCAGGAAATTGGACATAGAAAATATTTGAAAAAAAAAAAGGTTGATTTGCCTCCAAAAGATGAGTCTGAAATAACCTCCATGGGCCACAACTTAAATTCAAGGGGCTCAAAAGGCCGCTACCATTGACATGCGCTTTAGAAGAACGATTTTTCAATACGGCGAATTCTAGACATTCATGACAGGTCTGACAATTGAAAAGGCACTCATAACATGAGCCGAAGCACCCGTAAGCTACAATAATGCGTATAACATTTAACACCAACTCAAGGGCCAATAAAGAACACAAGCACACTTTGATTAAAAACTGTTAAGCCGGATGCCATAACTAAATACTAGTATACTACTAATTTGTCATTAACCAATGCCATCGGTTCCAATTATTTTGTCAAGAATTCTTTTAAAATACAGTACACTCCCGTCAAACGTACTCAAGGGCCATAACTCTTAAGAAAAATATAAAACCAAGCCGTATACACTTTCGTTGCCTGGCCTACAGTCTCTCAGCGGCACAACCAGTCAAACTCATTTTATAAGGCCCAAAATAAGAGACCGCAAAATTTCCCTCAGAGCCTACAAAGGTTAGATGATCTAAAATATAACAATTCATAATCCTCAATATAAATTGCATAACAATTGCATTAAACAAAAAAAGAGTCACCCAACACCGATACAAAACCGTGCCAAAATCTTACATGAATATTCGAGTGAACATACGGACTCTAACTACAACAAACCAATGGAAACAAAATACTATCAGCAATTCAGCATCCTGATGTAGAACATGAGTTTAAAAGTATCAATAATCGGATGGGGATATGACATCATCAATTTTCAGTATCATCTTGACAACTTGGGTAGCGAGTAAGATCTGTTGCTGCTTTCCGATCAAAGTTTCGAATACATTTTGTTCACACATGTCATTAGTTCCAACATCATTGCAATCAATGCCGAAGTGAGGGTTATTATCCTAAAGACAGAGTTAACGTAAGTGCCATGATATACAGAGTAGTTTGGTATCAAGTTTAGATGTATAACATAGTTAAAACAATCATCATGCTCAATTTATTACCTTTATTTGCTGGGACTTAACAGCAGATAACGTTTCAATAGGTTGGAGGCCACTATTTTCAGCAAGGGCCATAGGGATGGCCTCCAAAGCATCCCCAAATGCTCTAATAGCATACTGCAGGGAAAGAAAACCAGCAATCAATAAAGCTTTTGCAAATAACAGAGAGTAATTTGAACAAGTAATGAGATTACATTGATTCGTCAATACCTCAAGATCACTCTACACGCTATTTAGTAAATAACAAAATGAGTTTTAATAGTTTCTTTAAACTGGTGGGATCATAAATATAAAACTCCATTTATTTTGATAAGGAATAAAAAGTAAACCCAGACAAGTATAATAATATCCATACCTGTTCTACTCCAGGGTATCTATCAGCAGCTGCCTCCACAGCTATAGAACAGGAAATCTCAGCTGAACCACCACCATATACAATAGAATTGTTGCGGATAAGATTCCTAGCCACACACAAGGCATCATGAAGGCTACGCTTTGTCTCCTCTATGATCATTTTGTTACCTGGCAAACAAGACAGCTACTGTTAATTTGTCAATGTTGCTTAGACATTCATCAGTCATCAAAGTCTATTTTAAAAAGCTCCACAAAATTAAAAACCGTGACTTGAAAGTTGCAAAGCCATTAATACAGACAAAAATTTGAAAGTTCACAGTTCACATCTGAAGCAGTAAAGAAAGAAATACAATAGCGAACAACAGTATGGTTAGAAAATTATCTTTCTCCAAGAAAGCAACTAATTATATGAAATTCATAGAAAACAATGAACAGAGCAAATAGTATACGTCTTTACCTCCACGAATAAATATTGTTACAGCTCTTGAGTTTGCACAATGCTCAATGTACAGCATTCGGTCTTTCGTTGTACCAAAGGACTTTTCTCGTACCATACCAGCCTTAAAAAATCAGATCAAAAATTAATGTCGCTTGCAGTGTCAAATGTACAAAAAAACAAAGCAACATTGTTAGTCTACAGCATCCCAATCCCAACAAAAGATACAATAAGAATGCTACCACAGCCAAATGATTTAAATTACTGACCCCCACAATTGCACGTAAATTCCACATTACAACTGACCTCAAAGAAATTAATCTGCAGTTATTGAAAACCCCAAAAGAAAATCAAAAGTGAAATTGTACCTCACCCAACTTTTCTGGAGTTAACTCCTGGAACCTAGGAACAATTCTTCCACCTGTGTATTCACAAACAGATCATTGCTTTGTTAATAGACATTGCAGAATATCTTAGCAACAGACTACAATCATAAGTCATAAAATCAAAGGTTCTATATTCAACGCATAAGGAGTTTAATCAACACTCACCCGTTGCTATAGCTATCAACTCCAACTCTACACCACCAACCCATCTAACAGCTGGCAAGTTCCTGTGCATCAAGAGATGATTTGCTTCATCGTCAAAACCCCATTGGCAGATGACAAGGGTTGCACCCACATCCTGCAAATCAATGTAATAGTCCCTTTTCAATAAATCCAAAAGCAGTCTAGGAAGCCAAAAGAAAAGGAGTTTATAAAAAGACCAAATAGAGTTCAAATCTCAAAAGACTCGTACACCACCTAAAAGTAAGGAGAAAGATCATTCTAATCAGAAAGTTTAAACAAAAGTAAATTTGTAGATCAAAATCTCCCAACCTTGCATCGTTGAACCATATCATCAAAATATTTCTGTTCCTGCAACCTCAATGTCTGGAACTTCTCCACTGTATCAATATCAACCTTATGCTTAGTCTTTGGCTTCGGGGGCTCAAAGGGGCAAGTCAAGATAGCAATTTTAGCATTTTCAATTTGCTTAGGCATTTGAGGATGGCTCATATCCTTATCAACAACGATTCCATAGATTAACTCGGTATCTTCCAATTTACCCCCAACTTTCCCTTCCACTTTTATCAGATCCAAATTAACATCCTTCCTCTCCAGATCAGCAACAGCAAGAACAGCCTTAACAGCAATCTCCGCCAAACTTCGCTTACACCGATTCACACTGCAACATCATAAGAAACAAACACATAAATCATAAAAAAAAAAGAGCCATAACCACCTCGACGAGACAAATAATTAAATTAAAATTACATTTTGGAAGAGAGCGTAGTCATGCAAGTTTGAACTAGAGGCTCCAAATTGGTTTGTCCAAATTCAAATTTGTTAGCAATACGCTCGATATGTTCAAAAGCGATTCTAGAAGCCATTTCGTAACCCTCAGCGATCCTAATAGGGTGAATCCCTCGTTCAAGGAGTCGTTCAGCTTGTTCAAGAAGTGCTCCAGCCATGACAACAACACCAGTGGTGCCATCACCGATTTCGTAATCCTGACTCCTCGAAAGCTCAACCATGAGCTTCGCAATTTGGTTGTCAACGTCCATCTGCTCCAAAATTGTGGCACCATCGTTCGCTGTAAAAAGGGAAAAGGAAGACGGTAACGGTAACAGTAACGGTGAGAATGAGAGAGAGAGAGAGAGAGAGAGAGAGAGAGAGAGAGAGGAACTGACTGATGGTAACGTCGCCGTCGGGACTCTGAAGCATCTTGTCCATGCCTTTGGGGCCGAGAGAGGTTCGGAGAATGCGAGCGACAGCTTTGCCGGCGGAGATGTTGGCTTTCTGAGCATCGAGACCTCTGAGTCTGCTCTTCTGTTCTTGTTCCTTTAGGATTATGAAAGGCCTTCCGAACTCGTCGAAAGCCAACGCCATTTCTGATCCTTTGTTTCTCAGTCACAATCGCGATTGGAGAAGAAGGTGAAGAGTGTAGAAACAACAGCAGCAGCAACAACTGCACTCGTCTTAAGCCCTAACTCCTTCCCTTTCGTTGTGTTGCGTTTTGCTTCCCACCTTTTTCTGATATTTCAATTGCCAAACCCCAACCCGATACTAGTTTTGGGCTGGGCTTAGATGGGCTGGACACTCAGATCTTATACAATCTGGTTCCCAAGCCCAAGTCCATTTGTCAATTATTAGCTCATTTAAATTAATTATTCTGAAATTTCTTGTGCTTTCAATGAATTTTTAAGATTAAAAAGTTGTTAATGAGATTCTTATTTTTTTAAAATAATATTTTCTCAATAAGATACGTTATCTTTTGTTGAATTTTTAGGATCTATTTTAAAATTTAGATAAGCTATAACATGGTTAATTTAGCAAAACACTAGACGGCTATTATTGAGTAGAGAGTCAAAGTTTTTATTGGATAATTGTTGATTTAAGTACAAGTAGAATTGAACATATTGAAAAAAGTCTTGTTATTCTAAAACGAAGGAGATTTTGGTGACTTATTAATTTAGACCATTTCCCATGTCCCAACATATCATCATAATTTAATTGTTTTCATGAAAATATGTACCACAACAATGAAAAATGTAGCACAGAATTTAAAAAAAATAAAATTGGAACTTACTTAACTCAAGACACTAATTAAGGAATCAAATGCGAACATTTTATTAAAATTATATTTAAAATACATCGAAAATTACATAAATAACACATAATAACTTTTTGAATATGTATTTTTTACTTTTAATTCTTTAACAACAATACTCTCAGAACATTAGTTACCATTTCTTTTTTTGTCTTTTTTGTTTTGCAGACATGTAATCTCACAATGTTACTCATATTTTTCTTCTAACAAAATGAACAATCTCCCTACCTTCCCTCCTCTTTCTGATTCGCGTAACAACAGAACCACTGCAAACCCACAAGCATTTCAACTTTTCAAGAAAAATGCTTCAAACTTGGATGATTGTTAAGCAAAAGTTCAAATTGTAAAATACAAGTCCAAAATATATAATGAAAATAACACAAATTTTAACCTTTCACATTGAGAATAATAAGATACTCAACGTGATACTTAAGTACTAAAGTTATCCCGTCCAATGAACTAGTCTTTTGGATTTGACTCTCTTTGTATGCTTAAGTATGAATTGAACTAGCTATCTCGAACATTCTACAGTGAAATCAATCCCATAACAGACGAAAAAATGTGTAACTTCACCAAAGTCTATGTTGAACACAAAAATTCCATTAATTCGAGTGGTTTGGGTCATACACAGCAAGGGCAAGGTGAGTTAAGTTGGTCTAGTTAATAGTGTAGCTGTTGGAGTTGGGGGGTGGCTTGGCTAGCAACAACTGTGTGAGAGTACGCAACACCCTGGTCCCAATATATACATCACTTTATAAAAACAACGTAGCCTTTTTGTTTACTTAACATAAATAGCATAGCCATCATATGATATAAATAAATGATAAAAACTTAGCTTAGGGACACAGAGAATGACACTATTATTTTGACCCTCCTCCCAAAAAAAATATTATGTAATGTAGAATTGACTTTCTTCTTACGTGAAGCTAATGAAAATGTAAAAAATATTCAAAATAGGAAAAAGTGAATCGTTTTTATACCCCATGCAGAACGGTCGTGGTTACATCATAGACCCAAATTAAAAAAAAAAAAAGGTTCAAAAAGATTGACGATTTAATGGATTGACAGAGGTGAGGGAGGGTAGTGTTTTATTGCTTCTTTTTTTGTTAGAATCTTCAAGTTTTGTTGTCTATGTGACTCAATTATGAATTATTAGACCTACCTTATTATATGATATTCGTTTCGTCCAATGGATGTCAATGCATTAACAAAATGATGAATGGTATTAACAAGGCGTGTACACGGTTGGTAAAGATCCATTCTACTAGCTATTGTGGACATTGAATGGGATGCAAATTAGGTGAATTGCGTATTTGGAGAAAAATGACTCCATAGTGAATATCTAAACAAAAAATATAGCTACTTATGTTGGTGTTAATTATACAAACCATTGAGTTAGAGTCTAGTTTTGTTAGCATTTTCCTGTTCATTTCTCGTAGAATATTAATTAATGATGGTGATGGAAAGATCCTGCGATTGGTGGTTAGGGCACACTACCCTCTTTTGAGAGCATTCATGTATTTTTCATTCACATTCATGATTTAGAAAGAGAAATTAATGTTGAACAACTAATGGAATGTACAACTTTTTTATTTAGACCGTAATTATCTTCTTACTGAAGACAATTTTATTTGAGTAATAAAAATATACACCTTTGAATATTAAGAAAAATAAAAAAAAATGATAGGTATAATGAAGGCTGTGATGATAAAAATTTTGAAAAATATACTGTACTATAAGATGACAAAGTAAAAATAAAAAAAATAAAAATATCAGTTATTTATAAGATACGAAAGTGCTAAAAAAAGGAGAAGAAGAAAATATATACAACAATAGAATTTAATTTTTTTTCTAAATGTAAGATTATTATATTTTTTTCTCTGTTTTTTTATTGTAAAGTTATCTTATAAAAAATATTTATATTTGAGTCATGAATAATCACTTAAATTGTTTAAGGCTTTAAAATAAATTAAATATTATCACTTTAAATAATCTATCTCTTAGTTATAAATGGATATTTTACTATATATTTAAAGTAAGAAGAATTTATAGATAATTTCTGAGAATAATGTATAATTTTTTTATTTTTTATATACTTCATCAAAATAAAATATATAACTAAATTCATGACACAAAATCTTATTAAAAAATAATAAATAAGTGCTTAGTTAAATTATTTATTTAAACATGTTCTTAAAAGTGTTCAATCAATCACAGTTTTGATAATGTTGTTTCTTTCAAAATTTCATTGAAATATATTATAAAACATATTTTAAACACAACTAAACATCTGGGTAGTTACTCGATAAATCAATATCAATTTAACACAGTCTGTGTTAGAATCATAAATTCATTATTATGTCAATATTTAAGCTTACCTAACAAGAAATATAGCAAGGGAAAAACTTTTATTAGGGGTATTAATATGATGGATTTATATATACTTAACTTGGTCCTTATTTAAATCTTAATCTAATCATGTATAAAACGAGGTTCGTCAATTAATTCGTTGACATATATAAATTTCAAAATTATATAAAAAGCAAGTATTCTATCTTCTTAATTTGTTATTACATGTTTTCCCTCCCTAAAGCTGTGGATCTTTTAACAACAAAACTGGTGCTAAGAAGTTTCATTCTCACTACACGTGATTTCACTCGCAAAAACAAGCCTAAAATATTCCTTTGCCATTATTCACTATTGTGCATAATATAATAATAATCTATTAAATTAGACGCGTAAACTCAAATACCACTTGAGTATACACTGTAAATATATAATTGGCAAATTAGTTTAGGATATTGACCTGGTATAAATTATGATAAAGAGTATCAATTATATTTTAATTTTAAGTTTAAGTGTTAATAAACACAGCTATATTATATTCATATTTTTATTCAACTCAAAGATACTAGAAAAAATGAATTTAGTGCATACGTGTTGAGATTATGCCATGCCATACCAAGTACCCTCTTAGCTCGAGTTTTGACTTTTTTTCCCCATCTCATTGTATATTCTTTGTATTTGAAACAACATATAGTACTAATAAATTAAACCATATTGACCCTTGGGCCTTGGCTACACGATTTGATGCAACATTAGCAGATGGAAGATGTATGGTTGCCATATATAATATGTTTCCAAAATTATAAAAAAAATCATTTCTCATTTCTATGTATAAGAATCAGTTTATCATTCCTTAAAGAAAGGCAATACCATTCTGGCTAGTTTTTTTTAAGCTATAAAAAGTTATACTTTTTTCTCACAAGTTAAAAAGAATGATTTTAAAAATTATGAAAAAAAAAATCCAATATATATATATATATATATATAATACTGTTAATTTAGCAATCAATGCCTTGCAATAAAAAAATGAGAAACTGATTAATTTAATTGGGTCTAATTGGTTTGACTGGGATGGAGATGGGGAAGTTAGAAAGCAGTATCAGGGGGGAGCAATTGAAGTCCCTTAATCTTCTTCACCAGTCATCCAATGGGGTCCCACCCAAAAGGAAATGTGCCATTCAAAGTTCCCGAAAAGAGAAATTAAACAAATAATAATATTTTGTGGGTGGTCCAAAAGTCATTGAATCGGATGACAGTTATTGGATCAAAGTTGGGTCAACGCTAAACAAAGCTGAACCTGCACTTGGCATGATAGTTATTACCCATTGAACAAACGAAAGCGCGAGATTAGCCATTAGGTATTAGCATAAAAGCATGACGATCTTTTACGACCGCGAAAAGTTGACCCCAACGGATATCGAACCCATGGTTCAACAATCGCCTTCGGAAACGCGATATTACCCAAACACCCTCCTCGGCATGGGTGTGACAGAGAGACATGGAAGTGCAGAAGCGTCATTCCATGTGTATCCCCTCTCATGATGGGCATGGGCCTGGCCCAATGAAAAGATGAAGCGTTTTCCCCTCACCCAACGGACACAACCTCCCCCACCCGCTTCACCTGCGCACAAGTGCGCACGTTAGCTGTCTCCTCACACAATTATGTCCTTGAAATGAAATGCATGCATTTATGATGGTTTAGTTAGCGTTTTAGCAATAGCATAAGGTGTATGGGGAATGAGAATGGAAAGGTAATTAGCTAAACAGAGAGAGAGAGAGAGAGAGAGAGAGAAACACAGTACTCACTGAGTAGTGCCTTAAATGGATGTGTGGAAGCAGTGGTTCAGCTCTTTATAGCCTGCCACAACAACAACTGTACCTCACTCTCTTTCTATCTATATTATCATCACTCCCTGCTTTATGCTTTCATGCCATTTGCACGAAACGTTTCGTTTCAATTTTCTATTATCAATCTACGATCAGATTTGGATTCCATTATCGGTCCAAATCGATTACTAATCCGAATCCAAACCGGTGTGAATCGATTTCGATCATGTATTGGTTTTATTGTGTGATGTGTTTTAACTGAACGATGAATCCACTCTGCTGCATTGCTCCGGTTTCGATCGATCGGGACCGGACTAACCCTGTGGTGGCGAAATCGCCGGCGCAGTGTCAGTTAGGGCTTGATTCGTCTGTGAGAACAGTGAACTGCGGTTCTAAATCGAGCCTCTCTACTCAGGCCTCGTCGCTTGTTACGGATTCCGTTAAATCCTCTGTTGCTGGTTTGAATCACGAGGAGGAGGAGGAGCCGCGAGATTCCAAAGTGTTCGCCGGCGGAAATGGCGGCGGCGTCGCCGGCAGTGTGGCTGGGATCTTGTATAAGTGGGTGAATTACGGGAAGGGTTGGAGGTCCAGGTGGTTTGTGCTGGAGGATGGCGTGCTTTCGTATTACAAGATTCATGGACCGGACAAGATCCTGATGAGTCCAGCTAGGGATTGGAGTGTGAGGGTGATCGGCGAAGAATCATCGAAGTATGTGAAGAAGGCGAATTGGAACCTCAATCGAGTCTCTGCTGGAGGAGGAGGTAACAACAACACAAAGCAATGCAAGCCCTTCGGTGAGATACATTTGAAGGTTTGTTCATATGATGATTTCAGATGCCGACAACGTTTATGAGTTTTGTCTCACTATAATCTTTAATCTAAGTTCTGTAACACCAACACCACTTGCAGAACTTTCTTTTTCTGATCACAATCACTTGCAGTATAATATTGAAATGCCTTTTTACTCTATGAATTTTCTGGTGTTTTGAAAGCATGCCCACGTTCTCATTGTTATTTTATTATTTTGAATAATATTTTGGCGAGGTCTTTTACTCAAATTTTAACATAGTATAAATCATTCGCTTTAGTTGTATTTATATATGCATGTATTAAGTGAAGTTTTATGAGTTTCTCCAAGCCGCTTGGCCAAATTTGCCAGAAAATTCGCGAGAAAGGGGCAGTGGGTGAAGGATTGCGAGGTCAGAGAACTAGTACATTTGACAGTTTGTATGTCATCTAACGCAGGGTATTAAATGGAACATCTGTGACTGACGCACAGATATCATGTTTATTTTTTTCACCAGAACCGAACAACGATGTATTGCTAATATTGATTGAAAAATCCTTTCATTGACGGGTGTGTTAAATTGAGTAATCGACTATTGGTTAAATTATATCTGGGTCCGGCAGTTGCGTATTTGAAAATTTGGGTTCTGCGATGTCTTTCACTAGCTGCTGCTGAAATTGACATCTGCAGACATAGTAAGGTTTTAGTATAAGGATTCTCTCCAGTTTCAGCGTAAACAGGTACAGTCAAGCAAAATTTTGTATTTTTGCTTGACAGTACAGTCAAGCAAAAATGCAAAATCAATGTAACTGGACATCCGGTCACGGAAAGAATCCGGATTCAAGGTTTTATTATTATTAATATTATTATACTGTTGCACCCTTGCACTTGTGTCATGGATTAAGATAATTCATCGATGAAATTTTTTTTTTAGAAAATATTAACTTCAGGCCTCAATGCTGATTCTAAGCAACTAAAAGTGACAAGTTTTAATTGAAAAGAAAGCATTTATTACTGCAAGAATATAAAAGTGTAATAAATGTTATTTTTCAATTAAAAAATCATTTTTTTTTCAAATTAATATATCATCTTTCCTTGCTTGTCTCTTCCAGTGAGTCCTAAATCTAAACACTTCTTGTTCACAGGTTTCTTCAGTTCGTTCCAGCAAGTCTGATGATAAGCGGCTTTCCATATTTACTGGGACAAAAACGCTTCACTTGCGGTGTGTATCTAGAGAAGACAGAGCAATGTGGATTGAGGCCTTGCAGTCTGCAAAAGATCTTTTTCCTAGAACTCTAACAAGTAGCGATCTTGCTACTTCAGAAGATATTGTAGTTTCAACAGAGAAGCTGCGATCACGGTTGTCACAGGAAGGCATAAGTGAAGCAATAATTAATGACTGTGAGTCTATTATGCTTTCTGAAGTCTCTTATCTTCAGGGCAAGTTGAAGTTTCTTCAGCAGAAACATGTTATGTTGCTGGACACCTTAAAACAACTGGAGGTATTAGTCTTTCCTTTTGAAGCACAACTCTTGTAATTAATAAGCTGCATTTTTATTATGAATGTATAACATGATAACGATTACCTGACTTGGCCATGGAAGCAGGTTTTTAAGTTTTTCCTTGCTTCTCTTGTCTGGCTTACGGTTTTAAATATGATCCTAGGAATCAAAAACCTAATGACGGAAGCACTGGATGTTTTACATGGCTTTCAGTTCTACATTAGCTTTTTAGTGTTTTAGGTCATTCAAAATGTACATAGAGATTTTAAGATGAATATTTTTAATTTTTTCTTCGATGTAAAGCATATTGCAGGATAAGAATATATTGTCTGAACCTCCCTTGCTAGTTCAAAGAAATTTTTCCGTCATTAACATGCCATAGACATGCTTAGCCCTTGCCTGGATTTCTTAGATTTAGCTTGCCCCTTGATCAACCACTGGATTCCTTTTACTGTAAGAAAAGGCACACTGTATTACTTCATAGAGTAATACTACTTATCAACAAATTCTTACAAGACTTACAATTTATGAGAGATAGGAAGAGGAAAAAAAGAGAAGTGTAGGATAAGATGGGTGATATGATAGAGAGAGAGGAAGAGAAAAAATGAGTTATAGAAAATGCTGTAAAAATTTGTTTTATACATATCATTATTCTTATAATAATGCCAACTGGAACACCCTTTTTATTCCTCTTGCAATCAGTCACTTCAACTTGTGGTCATTATTGAATGAGTAAATACTGATGGAATTTATTCAATTTACATTACATTTACTCCCATGTATGCTGTGAGTTCCATGTTAAATGATGAAATGCTTACTAGTCAAAGAGTTTGATTTGTCTTTTGAATAATTCATGCAGACAGAGAAAATAGAGTTGGAAACTACTGTAGTGGATGAAACAAAGGAACGTGAATCATATTGTGGACAAGGGAATAGAAGGTTTAGTGGTGAGTATGCTGTTACACTCCTTTGTCATGTCTTTTGCCTTGAATTACCATTTAAAATTTGTACTTACGGTGAAGTCAATATGAATTTCCTCTTGGGTAATTGTGTTTAATCTTCATATATTTCATTCAAATCAGATCTTTCAACTTTATTGCCATTCTGAGATTGAATAACTACCAATCATCTAAAGCATTATTTTTTCAAAGTTATTAATGGCTAGTAGTTGTATGTTGTACAAATGCATTGGAAGTTAATGAAAATTCCGTATAGGTTTTATGAATTGGTATTGTTTTGATTTTGAAGTTTCATGTTAGTAGCAGTCCACTTACGCTTGACCCCTCATGTCTCAGATTTCTATTCTGTCATGTCGGAGGGCAGTGCTACTGATTCAGTAGCAGATAATGAAAGTCAAGAGGGAGCAGATGTTGAAACAGATGATGAAGATAGAACGTACTTTGACACAAATGAGTTTTTGTATTCCGATGCATTAAGAAGTGCTTCCTATCGAAGTAGGGAAGGTATGAGCAATGCCAGTATATATGATAAAGATTATATTCTTTATGATGGTTTGCATGGGTTTGAGAAGGAGATCAAAGATGTAAGTTATCCTTATGTCAAAAGAAGGGATAACTTACCAGAGCCAAAAGAAAAAGAGAAACCAGTTGGCTTGTGGTCAATTATTAAAGACAATATTGGGAAGGATCTTTCTGGAGTTTGTCTCCCTGTTTATTTTAACGAACCACTCTCTTCATTGCAAAAGTGTTTTGAAGACCTAGAGTATTCATACCTGGTTGATAGAGCATTGGAGTGGGGAAAGCAGGTCAGGTCCTCAGCTGTGCTTTCTTTTGTCACAAAGCAGTTTTAAAAAGCATGATCTGCTAGTTTCATTTTATCAAGGTAGATAATATGCTTGGTTAAATTTAAGAAAATTGCTGCTTATAAAGAATTCGACATTTCATGTAGCTTGCTTAGTTGACACATTCTAAACTATGGTAGTTATAAGTCATTTCTCTAGAATTTAGGCCCATCAAACCTGTGCTTGTATTAATTACTAAATTATTCTCAAATACATTTTTCAAAATTGTCTTCTATGTTTCAAAATTTCTCTCTTTCACTCTTTCGCTTTCTAATACCATCGCCAAATTTCCTAGTTTTACAGATTTTATCCTAGAATAAATGATTGAATTTGCCTCAGAAGTCACAACATTTGGCTATTCAACTGTTCGTTTGATTTGCACCACAGACTGAAATACTTTTTGTTCAGTATTTCTTATTGTTTTGACTGCCCATTAAGACTTGAGATTTTAGAAGATAAATATTCAAAATTATTCTCAACTGCTATACAGCCAAAACATTTGGATTAATGGGTTTTGTTTTGAATTTTATCGGGTAAATTAAGGGTATAAAGTTGTTAGTTATGGGTTATTGTGGGGTAGGTAAAGGCAGGAATAGTTTGACGGTTTGTTACTTAGCTTTTTGGCTGTGTCCAGTACCTTCCAAATTATGATTTTGGGTTTGATGCAGGTTGTGAGCAAATTTAAGCTCAATTTATGATATAATAAGATATAGACCTATAATCATAAGTAAATCATAACGTGTGGAGAATTGGATCCTTTCCATTTATAATGTAGGCTTGTGAACTTCTACTAGACCTAAAAGAACTTAAATGAAGATAAAAAATTACTGCAATTAGTTACATATTGCTTGAACTAGGATCTTAGAACTACACATTCAAACCTGGTTCTATACTGATATTAGAGACTTGAGAGTAGATAGAGTGTTCTGGATAGGCTCTGGGTCTGCTCTCTAGAATACTGATTCCATACAGATAAGTATGCTTTGCTAGGCCTGTATAATTTAGTTTAATGTGAAGCGAAGGATCATCCAAATATCCAAGTTTACAATTTACAATAATAGAACAAAGTTGATAAATGAATAAAATACTCAGCTTCAGACTTTTAAGTGCATGCTTTATATATTTTTCTGTTTCTTGGAATAGCATTGTTTGAAAATTATGTTTGGCATGATGCAGGGGAATGATTTGATGAGAATCCTAAATATTGCAGCTTTTGCTGTGTCTAGCTATGCGTCAACTGAAGGTCGACAGTGTAAACCTTTTAATCCTCTACTTGGGGAGACTTACGAAGCTGACTATCCAGATAAAGGACTTAGGTTTTTTTCTGAGAAGGTAAAATGATTTTTCCTGTTAACTTCTCTATCAAGGTTTATATGGAAACGAGTCAAATTTACAGGCAAACATAGCAATAAATTCATATATTTGTTGCTTCATTATTGCTTTTGTCATTGAATCTGAAAAATGGCAGTGATTTGTCTCTGTCTTGTGCTGCTAATTTTCATCTAACAAGAAGCTTGCTCCAGGTTAGTCATCATCCAATGATTGTTGCTTGTCACTGTGAGGGAAGAGGATGGAAGTTCTGGGCAGATTCTAATTTGAAAGGAAAATTCTGGGGCCGTTCAATCCAACTAGATCCTGTGGGTGTCCTCACACTACAGTTTGAGGATGGTGAAACATTTCAGTGGAGCAAGGTTACCACTTCCATATACAATATCATACTAGGTAAAATTTATTGTGACCACTATGGTACCATGCACATCAAGGGCAGCGGCAACTATTCTTGCAAACTGAAGTTCAAGGAGCAATCTATCATAGACAGAAATCCACATCAGGTAGGATTTTGAATGCAACTGGGACATAGAGACAGTATGAATTTGTTATTTCCATTTGATAAGTAATAGTCTGAATGAAGTTTTAATTATAATATATAACAGGTCCATGGGTTTGTTCAAGACAACAGAACCGGAGAGAAAGTAGCAATGTTAATTGGGAAGTGGGATGAAGCAATGTACTATGTACTTGGGGATCCAACTATCAAGCCAAAAGGTTATGATCCGATGACAGAAGCTGCATTATTGTGGGAAAGAGACAACTATGTATCCAAGACAAGATACAACCTCTCTCCCTTTGCAATTTCCTTGAATGAAATATTACCCGGTTTAATAGAGAAGCTGCCCCCAACTGATTCAAGGTTGAGACCAGATCAAAGACATTTAGAAAATGGAGAATATGAGCTGGCAAACGCAGAGAAACTAAGACTTGAACAGTTGCAGAGACAGGTAATTCACCTACGACTCAGCTTCTTATCCATGGTATCTAGTGTGTTGCAATACGATGCTATGTGAGTTTTTCCCCTTCACATTAGTGGCGTAGACCTAAGTGTCAATAATTACAAAGCCTTGTAATAGTTTTTTTTTTTCTGCATGATATAGTTGCCGTATGTTTTGCAAACAATCCCCCTATACTTTCGATGTTACCTTGGATCTCTCAATACATGCCAAGTTTTTCGTTCTTGAAAATTCTGGTAACTTATGCTTGATTCATAATTCAGGCACGAAAGATGCAGGAAAGAGGATGGCAACCTAGATGGTTTAAGAAGGATGAGGATGGTTGTTACCGATATTTAGGTGGCTATTGGGAAGCAAGAGAAAGGAATAATTGGGATGGAATCCCTGATATATTTGGACAGAGTTGTGATTTACCTTCATGTTCGGAAGAGACGGTATAATACTGGTTTTCCTCTTCACAGCGTCTTTTATTAAATGTGAATTTGGATGTAGGTTGTAAGTTATATAAAGATCATTCCAAAGTGTTAATTTACTTTTATTTTGGCCGAGCATTTTTGGGCATCTTTCATTAATATCGGTAAGTAATTTATAATTTATGTTGATGCTTATCGATTGTATTTAGTTCACGAGTCTCTGTCATCACCAGTCATTAATTCTTGACTATGCAAAGAATGGGTGAGAGAATTGCAATCATCAGAATCTGTCCATGCGCTGATATTATTGGTTAAACTTGCTCCTTTCCGGTCACCGGGCATCACAGAAAATGGCTCTTTTTCATCATTATGAAGAGGGAATCTATTAGTGTTTTCATTGCTAAATTGTCCCGACTGTCGATATATTCACTTATTTAATGTCCCACAAGAAAAAGAGACAATAAAAACATTTTTCACAAAATCTGAAAAGGATCGAAAGGAACCAAAATGGAAACTGAATGCAACAAATCTTGCACAATGTTCATGATATACACAAACATGAAAAAGATAACTCTGCACTCCAAAGCGTTATTTGCTTTGAAGTTCCCCCATTTCTATTGTATTCGTACATGTATTAACATCTTATCAGACCACATTTTTCAGTCCGATTGCCTATTCAATTACTCCAATTTCGGTTCTTTTGTTATAATTAAAAATGGTCAAAGTATTATGCAATACAAGTCATGCCAAGGAACTGGGAAAAATAAAAGATAACTGAATATAACGGTGTAACAACATTCAACGGGAATAAGAAACAACCATTACCATCACATACCGGTTTTAACTTTTAACCGTATGAGGTTGGAAAAAGAGGCTCACGAGGGTTCACTCGAAGAACAAAATTCTGTTCATGATAAGACACCATAATTATTGCTTCCACGCTTTCCTACCACGGAACTGTTTGCTGGATCGCTGATGTTTCTTCTTTTTCTCTATTCGAGATCTTGCTACCTTATCTCTCTTTGCAGCCAAGGGCATTTTCTTCTTGTGTTCCTTTTGTCGGTTGCTTAGGCCACCAGTCTGTTCACATCAAATAATACACGTCCATTGGATTTGAATTGAATCAAGCAGCAAAATATTTAATATATGATCCAGCTGTTCTTTCCGCTTACGAAACATAAATTTTACACATAATCTCAATACTTTTATGATGATAAAAAAAATTAGTAATATATCCATGATAGTGTAAAGATTTTTACATGGTTAACTATAAATACATTGTTATTATACTTTTTATATTATTTATCAGAAAAATTCATAATTATTATTGATGTGATAATTTATGATTGAATAATTTTTATTTTTTTTTACACAATCAGTATATTTAAATTTTATGTGTGTTGGGGGGAGGGGGAGAGATGAATTTAGTGAGAATGACATTTTTATGAGGATGAAAAAAAAAGAATTATACAACCATATATGGATGGTTAATATTAGAGGAAATTAAAGTTGCGTGATTTTTTCAACATATCACATCACCTCTAAGTTTTAATTTTTAACCATTTATAATAAGATCTAATGATTAAGATCTATTATTATTTTCACTTAAAAAAATATCTTTAATTATAGATAGGTAGAAAGAGAGAGAGAGAATGAAGCCTTCACCATCTTGCAAAATTCAAGACATGTATGTTTGGTACGACAATTAAAAATAAATTAACATTCCACGGCAGTTCAAAAAGTAAAAATAATTGCAGAAGAGGTGCGACTAACATACCTTTTTCTGTTTTACAGCAGTTCGAGCATGGTATTTTCCTCTTTCCTCCCTGCCTGCTCTAACCAATGCTAACCTTTCATCCTTACTCAGCCTTTTCCTTACATGAACCTGGAAGGTGCATACATCAATAAGTAAATTTGATTTACAAAATGCATAATAAATATTATTTAAAAGTAAATCTAGAAGTGTATCTCTAAAAAGCATGTAATTCCTCCTTTTGGAATGGACTACAGATTGACATCATCTACAAAACAATTTAATAAGCTAAAGCTACTTACTTCAAGCATGGTACCATCCACACGCTTTAAACTTAGTTGATCAGAGCTCGGAACCTTAATTGATGCTGACTTGGCTAGCCCATGCTGAGCCAATGCATTTTTTGCCTCTCTTTTTGCCTATAAATCACAAATAAATTCAATAGGTAAAAAGCTACAAATGTTACAAGTTGAACTCACTGAACAAGCCAAACAAACCTTTAGTTCTTTGATTTTTTGGAAGTCCTCATTAGAAAGAATTCCATCTTTAGATTCCGATAGGGCATCCCCCACTTTTGCCCCTGCCAGTTTCTTCAAAGCCCGGAGACTTGTATCAGCAGCTATAAGTTGACCATTAAAATCAGTAAACTTCCTCTTTTTTGCTGGGTCTTTCAGTGTACTTTTTGTCTCCACACTTCCACAATCACTGCCAGAATGCAGACCATCATCTTCATGTTCTGAAACGTCACCATCCTCTTCATCATCTTCCTCTTCACTGTCTTCAACAGCATCACTAACACCAGTTTCGTTATCAGAACTTCTTGCATCTTCATCTTCTGATACAACATCATCATCATGGCTTCCAGTATCGTCACTGCATAGCTGGTTATCATCATCATCATCATTTATACTCATATGATCAATTTCCTGGTCATTGTCAGAGTCACTGCATACAAAACCATCAGAATCACCACTCTCCTGCTCATCATCATTGTCAATAATCTGCAACAACTCAGCACCAGGAACATCAGTCGCAACATTGACCTCTCCATAGGCCTTTGGTCTTGCCTTAGGGTCAGTAGGCCGCCCACGGTCCTTCTTAACTAGCAGTGAAGGGCAAACCTGCAAATGAACAACATTAATTAAATGTCATGGACAAAGGTATATGAGCTTGCTATTGTTCTCTAGGACACATGCAGAAAACTCCGCATAAGAGAGCCAATGGTAACCACCTCTCTGAATAATGTAATAAGAGATCGAGCAGCTACAGAAACTGCCTTCTCACGTGACTTCTTATATAGGGCAAGGTCTTGCAGTAAGTCTTCATTCATTAACTACAATCCAAAATTAGAAGATCAGAAGGAAAGGGTTTAGAAACATATATTCTGTGAAAACATAAATCAGTAAGATGGCAGAAGTCTAAGGATGATGAGATAGCAGTAGTTACCAATGGCATGCGCATGCATATCTCCCGGATTGCATTTAGCCCAACAGTAATAGCCTAAAAATATCAGCAAAATTCATCAATGAAGCAAAGTAGAGTGTACCTACCATCGAAATATAAATACACAGCAATATATCAAATGTTAATCAGATCCAAAAAAATACCTCAGGGCGTGAGCGGTCATGTACAAATTGATTTACTATTTGTTTGAACAAGGGCTCAACTGCATCAGGAGGAACCTGAAACCAAGTAAAACCTTGAATGGGCTACAATACAGAGAAAAATACAAGAGAACAGCATACTCTATGTCTACTAAACAATCAAGTTTTGAAAGAAAAATATATTTATTATAAAAATAAAACTAATTGTGATTTAATACTATACCATATCATGGCAAGCTTGAACCACTGCTGCAAGCAAATTTGTAACATCACGTTGATGTGGCTGATTACATAATGCATATATCACAATGGTCACACTTTAGTTATATACGGAATACCAAATTTCACCAATTTATCAATCGATACCTGAATATATTTCTGAAGAAAAGGATAAAAGCTTAACAATATTAACTGGTGAAGTCCAACTGTTCGAGCAATCAATTTCAACATCATCATCTTAACCTAAAATTTACAGAGGTAATTGTAGAACCCATTAAAAATGCACTCTTGAATAACTTTGAGAATATTCCAAAATGAATTGCAAGTCTTTATTTACTACATGATAGGAATGCTACTTTGATTTTAATTAGAGTAAGCACCTCAAATCGTTCATTACATTTCTGAAGACGAGAGAACAGCTTCTCGACAAAACCCTGTGATCACATAGAATCAAGATGCTTAGTCAGTAAAGCAAAAGCAAACCCAAAATGCTACTATGATGATAGAAAATGTCACAAACCTGAGCATCTTTGAGATGGTTAAGAGGTGAATAATAACTGTTATTGGTCCTTTCAGATGACATGCGTTGCTTTCTTTTCATGCTGCGTATGGCACGCTGTAGCTTAGCTTTCTTTTTCTTTTTGCTAGCTGCTGTACCTTGGTGGCTTGCCTAAAAGTTTGTAAGAATGACCAACAATTATAGACAACCAAGTGCAAATTTCAACAAGAACTATCCAAAACATGTTCCAATACTCCTAACATCCTTTTCAGAAGAATGGGTGAGGGTACAAAAGGTAACCTCCATTGTTTAGATGGATGGAGTGGAGTGAGTGGAGTGGAGGAATAAAAGGATCTCAACCCATTGTTTGGGAGTTCTATTACTAATGGAGTAAAATGGTTAAGGAATGAAAGCCAACCCACTTTTTACCAATGAAACGTACCAATTTCTATATGACCAATTTGGTGGGTTTGAGATGGAACATTTTTTTTCATATACATTTAGAATTTTAAAAATAACTTTTTTTCTTTCTCATTTTCCCACAAATTGTTCTAACCAGAGCTTTATATCAATTTGCAAATGTGCATTCTTAGATCAATGTACGTCTTTTGAAAAATTTGGTTAGTTGGTGTGTCAAATGTCTTGTATATTTATACACAATTTGAGGCCGAATCCTGCATTGACCAAGGAATTAGAGCATGCTAAATATATTTTACTACGCTTGTTACAAGCTTGCATAAATTTAAATATGAAAACAGAGAAATATAGGTCTGCGTCTGTTCTGAAATAATTTCCAATGAAATCTTTTTTTTTTAATAATTAATCCTCAATTGTTTGTATTTTAAAATTGTTTATCATTGTTAGATTATATATGAACTCGTATAATAGCTAGTCTACAATGGTTCAGACAGAATGACAGTTGAAGTTGTAATCCACTTCACTCTATCAACTACCATTATCACTTCCAAACAATGGAGTAATATTCTTATGTGAACAAAACTTTGTTCATAACTCCATCACTCTACTAATTACCTTTCCAGTCCATCACATTCCACACTCCTCCACTACTCCACCCTCTTCAAAACTCCCAAATATATCCCAGTTAATCAATGCCAACAACCTTCATGTCAACTTAACTTATATATACAATTCTGCTACAGAATTTGGGTATATATGAAAGCCACAAATTGAAAAAGTAGTGCAATGTTGATTTAACAGGTTATCACCTTATAAACTGTCTCCTTGCTAAGGACAACTTGAGGTGATCCAACCAATTCATCATCACTTTCTGAATCATCACTATCATCATCATTTTCAATCTTCTCATAATCTAGCAGAAATGATAAAGCTGCTATCATAATCCTGAGAGAACATACAAAATCATAATTCTTAGGCCTAAGATAAAAAAATTTGCAACAGTAACCAAACAATTGCTAAAAAGAAATAAACCTCGATGCTGGATGGAAGGAAGCAGTGCAAATTGCATTTGCTGTTCTCTCGTCAAACCACACTTTTCTCCTGTGAAGCTCACACAGAGTCACGAGCGCCCTCTTGGCCTCCTCTTCTTTCTCTTGCTATTTATAAACACACATTCATTCACATAGTGTTTGGATTAGTTTATTTTGCATTATAAACCACTTACATTCAAAATTGTATAAGAGAGAAAATTTTCCATGAAAACTAACATAAATGCAGAAAACCGAATCCTATCAGAAACCACAGATAATAGAACAAAACCATGGGAAAAGATTCACAAACCTGAAGCATGGCAAACAACACATTCTGAAGCGCTCGGTTCTTGACTTCGTTCTTATGCTTTTCGTTCATGCGGCGTATGCTGTGAATAACGTGATCAAACGCCAACTTCTTCAGCGTTCTGTCACCTAGGGTTTGAAGCTCCATGAACAACGACAGCGTGTCTCCAATGTCAACAATCTGCGCAATCGAACCGAATGCAACATCAAACCACGACACTACTTTCACGAAACGAAATTGAATCGAATGCAAACCTTTCGGTTAACGAGAAGGATAAGAGCCTGAGCGAGGTGACAACGAAGGCCTGAAGGAAGCGTGAGCGCAGCGCGGCGAAGCAAATCGGAGAGTTTGTGAGGGAAATCGGCGAGGTGTTTGGGGTAGAAAGGAGTGACGTGGGCGAGGAACGTGGCTCTGTCGCCGAGGTCTTTGGCGACGGTGGGATCGGTGGCTATGCCGGTGATGGAGGTGAAGTTCAAATCCGCTTGTTTCTGACAGAGTTCGAGCGAAGAGTTGAATTGGCTACGTAGAAGGAGTAGCTCCGATTCGTAGCCTTCCGGATCGCACTTCATCTTCGATTGGAGTGATGGAAGACTCAGCTTCTCGGAGCTCCGACCCGATGCCAGAAACGGCTCCTCCGCCGCCACGCCATCGGAAACCATAGTTACGCCGTATTGGTTTGGTTTGTTTTCCCCGGGAAGAAGCAGAAGGAATGAAAAACCTAACAAAAACCCTATGGCTTTTATATGTTGGAATTAACGGCCTAAAAAAATTATAAATAAGAGAGAAAATGATTATTATATTGAAAATAAAATAATATATTCATTGAATAAAAATCTATAAGTTAACATAGCCTATGTCAAATATAGTAAATTTAAAAATAATTTAAATCATTTTTCATTTCTGTGAATATTATTATTTTTTTGAATTAATTTTTATAAAAATATTATTTTTTATTGTTAAAAAACTTAAATATTAAAAATTAAATACAAATAATTTTTTATAAAATTTAATTTTAAAAATAATAATTAAAAACTTGTTTAAACCTAAAATAATGTTCAAGAAAATTTACCAGTAATTCATAATTAACTATATGTCAATATCAAACAAATATGTATATTGAGTAATAGCATTATGGTTTGAACTTTTTCCTTTTCATTCTTTTCACTTTTTAATGTGTCTAATTTTATAAACTCATCACTTCCTCTCATAAAAAGTAAATTTGGCTCTTTTGGACTTAAAAATCATATGAAATGAAAAGGTAATAATATATTTATTTGTTCTCAATTTAAAGTAAACTAACTTGATATCTATTTTATATTATTATCAAATGATTTTGATGATAAAATTAATGGAAAAACAAACATAATCAATACTTGTATTTTATTGGTTAATTATTTAATATTTGAAGATGACGGGTAAAATAGCATAGTGTTGTGTTGTGAAGTGAAGTGAAGTGAAGTGAAGTGAGGAACATAGGATAAGGTGGATATCAATGTCGGTGATGAGGTTTCAACTTCCCAGTAAGCATGTTTCAGCCGCCATTCACTCTAACTCTCTTCAGGTCTTTTTTTTCTTTTATTTTTATTTTGTCATTCCATGTTAATGTTATTTCAGTTTAATTTATATTATATTATATTTATAATTTATAATACATAGTACTATCGTTGTTAGATCGTGTCAAAACCGAACATCGCGAGTGAGGAGTTTATGGAAAAGGTATTGAACAGAAGATGGAGTTTGATGAGCCCAGAAACCAAAATTCAGCAAATAACACACACGCATGGTTCTAATTTCCGATTGAACACTCATCCAGCTTTTGCTGATGGTAATCGCATGGTAGACATGAATAAACAAAGCAACTACTTCTATATCGTGCGAGATGATTTGTTGCACCCACTAATTAATGGCAACAAAGCAAGAAAACTCGATGCACTACTTCCTCTCATTCAACATAATTCCGTGACTGATGTGGTACAAATCACTTTTCAACATTACCCATTAACTGATTACAGTATTGTTTTCACAATTTAGTTTTCTTTTTTAATCTCTCTTTCACAACTATTCTTTTCTAGCTCTTTTGTTGGATGGTGGGTTCTTCTCTATGTCTAGATTGCTAGATTAGACAGTTTAGGAATAGACAATTCAAATAACATTAGCACTCAGTGTGTTTTGATTCACGTTTGAAGACATGTAAACATGAATTTATTACTGAAGCTATAAGCAACGTTGAAGTAAATGTGAATCTATAGCCATTTACACACGAATCTAAACATGCTATAAATGCCCTCAATTTAGGATTTCCAAAATCAAATAACATTCGGCAGGTACATTTTCTAGGTTACATGTGGAGGTTGTCAGAGTGCTCACACAGCTGCGATTGGTAGGTAGTTTTCTTTGTTATGGTTAAAACTGTGCTAAATTTTATGAAATGAACTATACATTGGTAGAGTTTATGTTATGTTCTTTATTGTTAATTCTGTTGTTTCTAAACCATGATTTACTTATTTTGCAGCTGTTCTGTGTGCTGAGAAAGGAATTGTGTCACATCTGCTTCTACGAGGGGAGCAACCTGAAATCTTGACTGGCTATAATTTGATGTCTACAATATATGGAAATGTCACATATGTTCCAAGAAATATTTATGCCAACAGGGAAGACATGCTAATGAACTATGCCAAGTCTGTGGCTGGTGACAATGGTTCTGTCCTTTGGTTTGGTGATATCATTCAGGCTTCTTCAACAAATGAATTGTCTACTTCAGATTTTATGCAAATGGATGTAAGTGGAAGTGAGGGAAACCATCTACGAAAGATTTTGGTTGTCAATGAAGGTGCAGGTGATTCTGTTGCTCTACTAGGTAATGAGAAGGTGGAGTCTGAAAAACAACAATGAATATCTTCAGGAACATTTTCTTTTAACTAGGTAAAAATTCAGATAGAATAGGACTTGAGCAATCTGTAATCTTGTTTAGGTGGTGCCTATGTGTATTTTTGTAGATAAAAATCATATTTGCTTTATTAGAATAAATAATTTGTGTTTGCTTGGGTACTAATCATCTGGATTTTCATGAATATGTAATAAAGCCTTAACAGACAGTAACATCAAGTGAGGTTTGGATCCTAGTATCATCTCGAAGAGTCAAGTATCTTAACTGCACCTCATATTTTGTATACGATCATTGAATGAGTTTAAATTGACGGCAAATTCATATGTATCTATGCAAGTAATAATGTGAAACAAGTCCTCTTCTTGACATGTATATTCTTATGATTTTGTTGTTCATCACACTGTTTTGTACTCTTGTCTATGGAAAATCATTTGTTGGTATTATTCATCTCACTTATTTGTTTAAGTTGTTGCCTTAAGTTAGTTAACTTCCATGGTTGATTGTTGCAATAACTTCATGAAAATATTGTTTCTTTGTAAAGGCATTATTCGCTTGGTCCACTACTTATCACAAGATCATTTACTTGGAAAACAAAGGGCCATAAAGTTTGTTGTAGATGCTGGTACTGGTACAACAGCTGTTGGTTTAGGACTTGCAGCCCTTTATTTAGGGTGAGGTCAAGTTTGTAGTATTCCATTTTAATTCAAAATATTTTTGAATAATTATACTACAAGTTATCTACAATGTTTTTGAGTTTAGAACCATGACATCAAGGTTGCATTAAATCATTGGTAATTTTAGTTGTTGTTTCCATGCAGACTCCCATGGGAGGTATATGCAGTCATGCTGGCTGAAAAAATTGATGGGTACAGAAAGCAAGAGGAGTGGTTAATTTCAGAATTCAAAAAGCATTTTAATATAGAGTTTATTGATCACAGTCACAATGTAAACAGAGAAGATGCTGGGATTGTGCGTTGGGTGGAACGTGGCCGTCCAAGAAAGTAAGATGTTAACACACTTGTTTTTATGGTACAAACATGCTCTCTTTTTTTTTTTGTTGTCAATTTGCCTTAAGGATACTGGAATACATTCTTTTTTATTTTTTTGCTTATACCTCAAACACTTTCTTCAAAAAAGATGCTTATGAATAAGGTTTTGTTTGGTATAGAAAATCAAGATAGAAAGGGTAATATTCGACGAGGCATGCAATCACTGTGTATTGCAACATTGTCTTTTGAATTTACTTCACCTCACAAAATTTGGCCATCTTATTGACTTCGGTAAAATAGTAACAACCACATAATGCCTTACTGCAAAATAAAAGCTAGATATTAAACAGGACATAATTCTTGACTAACTTCCAAGAAAGACAACAATGTTCAAAGATCAAGTGATGAGTAAGCTCAAATACAGATAGTTGCTGTAATGAATCTTATGATGACAATTTATAACTGGTCAAACTGACTCTTAATATGTTCCATCCCAATGACATATTTGCAAATTGTAGATTTGGTAATGTTTTGGAAGGGGAAGTGGAAGCATGTCAGCAAATTGCCCAACAAACTGGGATTCTGGTGGATCCTGTGTACACTTTAGCTGCTTGGGAAACAGCAATGCTTCTCTCTAGCAAAGAAGCTGAAGGAGGACCAGAAGTGGTGATGCTTCATACTGGAGGCACATTGGGTATGTTTGGGTTAGCACAGAGGTACAAAAAATATTTTGGCATGCTTAGAAAAGGACTCAACCATTATTAGAAAATATGTATTTTAGCTGGCAACTAATTAGAGTGAATTTGTCATTTATATTTTATTGTAGCTGGCGACAGACACTTATTTATTAAATTATCAATATTTTCCATGTGTTTTTTTTTTTTTGTTTATGTAGTTAGTAGTAGTACTCTTCATTATCTGGTCACATTGATTTTGGACATGAAGACTCAGTTTGCTCTTCTGGTCTGAAAAATCAGAACCAAAAAAACAACATGAAATACATAATATAATATGATTTATTTTGCTAAAGCTGACCTAGGAAATGGTAATCCTAAGAGGGTTTGATTTTTTTTTTTTTATTTTGCTAATAAATGGGGCTTGCAGCCCAAAAAAAACACACACACTAGGCCTCAAGCCTAGGCTTCCAAGTGCTTAAAGAATCTCTCCTCAGGGGTTCAAGGCTTAAAGGAGCCTTTTCAAAAGTGTGAGAGGGAAATAAATTTGACTTTCATAAAGGCCTAAAGGAGGGGTTGATTTTATAATGTAGTAGATAAACACTATTTCATATTACTGAATTCATTTTAATAAAAAGAAGGTGGCCGAAAGCCCAAGAACGCAAGAAACTGAATTTAACTAAGCCCAAAGTTCAGGTAAAGTAGTCTCAACAAAATAAATTTGACTTTAAAAACACAATACATAAAAGAGATTGGGCTTATATATGTCCAAGCTCAACTTGTTTGGCAACTCACACTCGTTGGATCAGCTCAACGTCTAATCCAGAGAAATGCTAACATAACATAATACTCTCTATAATATTCTTTTAAATGCATTTTTAGTTATTAATTTTATTTTTTTAGTTACATTCTTTTCACTTCTAATTTGATAATTCCTTAACTTTATATTTTTAATAAATTTTAACTAATAATAAAAAATGTTAAATGAAGCGTGTTAAAAAAATGTGCTTCAAGTATATTAATTCTCACTTAAAATTTTATAGAATGTTAGCTTATGTTTAACTCATTAACTCGTGCACTTAGTAGTTGAATCGTTAACGAATAGTTAACTGGAGTCACTTTTAGCTCAAGTGGTCATATCAACAATTTAAAAATCAATGAATATGAACCCTAAACCCATGAATGAAACTTGCCCATATATCAGAAAAATCATTCATTCAACGTTATTTATAGCCATTTTCCCTTTCTTTTATGAATTGAATCGTACAAACAGCATAGAGACGGAAAAACGCCGGAGAGAGATGAATTAAAAATTGCTACTTGAAAGATGAAAGAGTAAAAATGTATGGTTTAGCAAAACGTACGTGAAGATTGCGAAGCGATTTGCCACAGTGACCCGACAGGGATGGTAATATCTTGGTCCGTGGTCCCTCATCACGCCAACACTCCCCAAGGATCATTGAGACTCGAGACTTTGAATCATCTAGTCTTTGTAACATATCACCTTTATATTATGCTACTAGATCATGGTAAATAAAATATCACTTGAGACTAGTTTAACATTTTTTTTTACTTTCGCTCAAAATCTAAGTTCAGACGTAGGTAATTATTTAAATACATTTTTAGTCATTCAAAAAAATCATGATTTTTCTCACAATTAATGTAATTTTTTAAGTAAAACATGTCTTTTGTCCTTCAAAATACATCAAAATTTGATTTTTATCTTTGTAAAGATATTTTTTTGGGTTTTAATTCTTATGTTTTTAAAATTATATCTTTTTGTCCATAAGATAACGTGGTTAACTTAAAATCTTGTTTTATGTTTTGTGTTACTTTTTTTTTAAGTAGAGAGAAACTAAAATTAAAATTATAAAAATTATTTAGACTAGAAGCAAAAAACAATTTTATGAAAACTGAAATCTAAATTTTTGAGAGATAAAAAAACATATTAACACTTATTTATTTTATTAGATTTTTGAAAACAAGGTAATAAACAAAAATATGTGATATTTATAAGCATCAAATGAACCAATTTGTAACCAAAAAAGTTTGAGTCACTCATTTAAGAAAAACAAAGATTAAAAGCTTGATTAATCTTGGAAGCATGATTTCATAAAATGTTTAACTTGTAGATATTGTGTGAATTATTAAATTGAAACCATGGCATAACAAACTTATAATTTAATTTTTACAAGTTATAGCCATACCTAAAGCAGTGAGGGGCAAACATTGCTGGTAACAAGGTCCGGGGAGCAAACAAGGATGGTTCCATGCATCGCTGTTCCAAATCCCACTTCTTTTTGTCTCTGATTAACTCTTCTTTTTTCTTTTCCTGCACTGAACTTCGTGTGCTCAGTGCACTTGTGCCTACCTTTTCGTTCTCTCCCTCACACACCCACATTTTCTATAATTTAATATCACCTTCTTCTCCATGAAACGTATTTTTCTCAATCACAAATATACATTATCTTAAATATTTTCATAAATCACTCAAAATTTTAATAATATATTTTGTTTTTATTTTTGCTTCTCTTGAAAATATACAACGTGGTAATTTTAATATATGTCCATGAGATATTAAACTTACTGTGATTAATATGTGGCACAGAGAGGCTCGTAATGGTGTTGGGTGCACAAAACTCTATACACAAAATGTCTTCGTGGGTTATAGGAAAGAAATAGTGATTCATGATAGTACTAGCAACACATTTTTATAACATATTTTTATTATTAATTAAAATTTATTTTAAAAAATCATAAAAACTACGTGATTTTTGCTCGTTTCTCTTTATTCTATTTTTTTTTAACAAAATTTACTTAATAATAAATAACGTGTTAAAAAATGTATTGCTAACATTTCTTTAATAATTACTAAATATTTATCTTTTGTTTTCATCGAATTAAATATATATCTCATCTAAGGTCATGCCTCATTTTCGTATTGAACGTTATATTATGAGCTTCTAACGTGTTTTAGAAAACATGTTTGACTTTGTTCATATGAAAAACACTGGTTGGGGAATGGCCAAACATATAAGAGTGTGTATTTAAAAACTCACTAAATTTACATGAAAATATATTTTAATATAAAATTTATAATTTCCAAATAAATTCATATTGAAATAAATTTAACAATTATTATCCAAACAAATCATGAATATGAATGTGGTTGGTATGCCAGTGGTGAAGAAGCAAAGAAACGTCGCTTTCACATGCTTTTCGTGGCCACGTGAGATGAATTATACTGAGTGGCATGAAAAAAATATGCATACAAGACGTATCCCCGTGCATATGCTGTATTTGTAAGGCAAACGGGGAACAATTTAGGCAAAACAAAAAGGCAAATTAGTGAGTGTAGGCAAAATTTTGATTTAAGTAAATTTAGGATTTCTTTAATTTTCACACTTTTATTTTAATTAAATAAATTATAATTTAAATTATTTTCATATTTTTATTATTAATTTTGTAATACAAACTATATTATAAAAATTCTATTGATAATCTCTTAAGTAAGTCTCACTTTTATTGATTGGGTTTTTTAATCCACAAAGTAACGTCAACCTTACAAATAAAATCTAATATAAATATTAGCTAATCAAATCTTTTAAATATGTAAACAGTGATTAACTTTTTATTGTATATATCAAAAAATATTTTTAGGATAAATAAAACTTATTTCGATGACTTTGAAGTAAAAAAGATTCAGCTTTTGATCGAGACATAATAACAGTGTATATTTAAATTAAATTTCTTTATACTGTATCGTCGATTTATTTTTTCACAGTGATAATTAAAATTAAAATTTAATTGTTGTATAAGATCACTACAATGTATCATGTAGATTTACCAAAAGAATTTGTATGTATCATGTGGTTTATATATATATATATATATATATATATATATATATATATATATATATATATATATATATATAATTTAGAGTTTAATATGTCAAGGCTATTTATATACAACACATAAAGCTTCAAGATTGGGAAATGTGTATTGCTCAGGACGAACAAAACACGGTCTAATTCACCTCGAACCAAGACAAAAACAAGGAATAGTTTATTATATAATTTTCAATAATTATTTTATAAATTAAATATTAAGAATTTTACTACATATCTTTGTAACAGTCTTTCTATAATTTAATATGATCAAATTTAAAGAATACACATATTTATTATCATTTAAATATAAAAAATATATTGAATATATTTTCATTTAATAATTTAATAGATTTATAAAATATAAAATAAAAATAGTATTAATAAAAAATATAAATCATTAAATGCAAATTATTATGATCAAATTTCTTTCCAAATTAACGGAGGAAGTATATGCTATTTACAATTAAAAGGTATTTTTAAAACTTAAAAAATTCAAAATTTAATGCAACCTCATAACTCGACAAGGTCCAACCTGAAATTAATTGAGCCAAGTTAAAAAAAAAAACTGTTAACATTAATTTAAGAGCATTGTTATATTGTTTTATAGCTTCATTGTTAATGAATAAAAACAAGGGGGTAAAAAAAAAATATGCATACATTATTTATTTATTTAACATGAAATATTTTAACAATTAGAATAAATTATAGATAAAAATAAAATTATTTGTAGGGTTGTTTACAAAATTTATTAATTATAAAAAATATAAAAAGAGTGTTATTCTTAACGAAAGTAATAATAATGAAATTAATTCACATAAATTAATTGTTAAATTTTTTTAATTTAATTTATAATTTTAATATTTACTATATATAAATTGAACATTGAAAACTAAGAACTAAGGAAAAAAAAGAATGGAGAGGGTATTAAAGTAATTTGGGGGTATTAGGTGGGAAAGTACATTTTTGGCAACTTTGGGTTGGATAGGAAAGTAGAGAATGAGGAAAACACCCCACAGACTTCCTCTCTGAGTCTCTTCTCTTCTTCTTTTTCTTCTTCTACCCTTCCCGCATCTCTCACAAACACTAACACTACATAAGAAGGAAGCAAAGGAAAAGAAAAACGATTCATCAATGGGTGAAACAGGTATCATTCTCCGTTTCCCCTTAGACCCAACAGCGCAAGAGTTCACACCAACAAACCTATGTTACCCCTATCACTATCCCTATGCTCCCCCACCCATTCCTCTTCCTCTTCCTCTACCCCTTCCCTACCCTCCTCCGTTCCCTCCACCGCACCTTTCCACGGCACCAACTCGCTCCCTTCTACTCACTCCTCTCCCCGTCATCACCGAGTTAGCACTCAAAACCCAACTCCAACACTTCGGCGACGTAAGAGCCCTCCAAATGGATTCTCTCCGTCACGGTTTCGTCACCGTTCACTTCTACGACCTCCGCCATGCAGAAACTGCCTTCGCCGCTATCCGCATGCACCACTCCCCTCAATTCCACCCCGCACCGCCGCCCCATGGACTCGTCGCCGGCCGCCCCGTCTGGGCCCACTATGTCCTCTCCGACGCTCAGAACCAAGGCACCCTCGTCGTTTTCAACTTGGACCCCGACGTCTCCGCCGAGAATCTCCGGCGAGTTTTCGAGCCCTTCGGTACTTGTCGTTTCCATCTTTTTGGGTGTCGTTTCACGCAGCGAGATCTAGAACTGGACTAGCTTTATGTTTATTTTGCGAATGTGAATGCTATTTTATTTGTGTTCACACATGTCGGAGGGATAATAATAATAACAACAACGATAATAATAATAATAATAATAAGCTTGAGATGTCTCTATCTGGTCCCTTTTGTGTCTCTCTTTTTTTGATGTTTTTGTTTGGTTAATTTGATAGGTCCCATAAAGGAATTGAGAGACACCCCATGGAAAAGGAATCAAAGATTCGTGGAGTTCTTCGACACAAGAGATGCTTCCAAGGCTTTGAAACATATGAATGGAAAGGAAATTCATGGCAAAACCGTTGTCATTGAGTTCAGTAGACCAGGTGGTCACACTAGAAAGTTCTTCCATTCTTCTTCTCCACCTTCTAATAAAAAGCCTTTCAATTTCAATATTAATATTCCACCTCTTCAATCTCCTTCCCCACGACGTCGTTTTGCTTCCTCTCGCTTCCACTCCTCTCACCCACAACTCTCTCACAAGAAAACCCCCCACAAGGTTCCCAATCATGCCACCATTGATGCTGCCATGCGGTCTATGAATTTGAGCGAGGATGTTGGAAATGAAAACGAAAATGAAAACGGGGTTGAAGAGCACCATTCACATGCCCCTCCGAGGAGGAATTTTAGCAGAAAGCAAGGTTGTGAGACCACAGTTGGTAGCACTAAGCAGCAGCAGCAACAACAACAACAACAACTACCTAGGAGTAGTAGGCATTGGAAAGGAAAACAAGCAAAGAAACACGAAACGCGGTTTCTTATCAAAGAGGATGCCATTGTAGAGTCTAGTTCAAGAGATACTAGAACTACTGTGATGATCAAGAACATTCCCAATAAGTACAGGTTTGTCTTTCATTTTTGTATATTATTAATTTTTTTCTCTCCAATTTCTACTTAGTTACTCCCATGATCAATTGAGCTTATCCTTTATTTTAAGAGAGAGAAGGGCTATAAAAATGTGCAAGGGTATTTAAGTTTTGAAGGAAATAAAGTATAATTATAATGTATATATTTTTATTTAATTCAGAAACTTTTGCTGAATTAAATTATATTATTTTTTGCAGTCAGAAGCTACTATTAAACATGCTGGACAACCACTGTATACACTGCAACGAGCAGATAGGAGACGGCGATGAGCAGCCTCTATCCTCCTACGACTTCGTGTACCTTCCCATTGATTTCAAGTAATTTTCCGTTTCCTTTGTGTCTCCCATGCACTCTACAACCCGTGCAAAACAACGTTATCTTTTGAACTAATTACTCTGTCAATTGCGTGTTGAAACAGCAACAAGTGCAACGTGGGATATGGGTTTGTTAACATGACATCTCCGGAGGCAACTCTGAGGCTGTACAAGGCCTTCCATCTTCAACACTGGGAGGTTTTCAATTCCAGAAAAATTTGTGAAGTCACCTACGCTAGAGTTCAGGTATTTTCCTCTTTCACTCCCATTATTAACATAAAAACAATATATTATAGTTAAAAATTAGTTATACTAACTGATTGATTTGTAATGAATGGAAAATGGAAAAAAGGGATTGGAAGCGTTGAAAGAGCATTTTAAGAACTCAAAGTTCCCATGCGAGATGGAGCATTACCTGCCAGTGGTGTTTGAACCGCCTCGAGATGGGAGGGAACTGACGGAGCCACTTCCATTGGTGGGGAACAAGCAACCACTCATTCCAATTCCGATTGATGAGATGGAGAATGGTGTTTCTGCTTCTGCTTCTGCTTCTGCTTCTGACTATGACGTGCTTAGCAGCAAAAGCGGCGGCGTGGGTGATGATGACACAATTCAAGTGTAGCATTGCTACTGTGAATGCGAATCATCAGCATTTAAAAGTTAGGTCGTTGAGCAACGAGCCACATATGCGTTCTCTCACACCTACGTTCTCCTCTCTGAACCTGTTGCTGCTCAGTGCTCACCTTCCCTCTCCAATTTCTTTATTTTTTTTTTCTTGCTTTTTTCCACTCAGAATATATTTTGTACCCTCTTTTTTACCTTTTTCAATATCTTTTCTTGCCTTTGTAGCTTCTGCCATATGTATTTACTTCGCCTTTCAATTTAAAATCGCAAGAATTTCGATCAAGAATAACGTAGAACTGTGGAAGCTTAACTATTTCTTGAATTACGTTTGTTTATGCTGCACAATGGCTCGGCAAAATATTCAAAATATAATGTAGTAGTTAATCACAATATAATATCGAACGTTATCTTTAAACAGGGATTTAAATGAATTTTATAGTTATCTTTTAGAGATTTTAAGAATTTATATAGGTCAAGTTTTGGTGTATTAAAGCATTTTAAAAATAATATTCTTATGAAGGCTACTCAAAACAATACGCAAATGTACGGTCTAGCAAAAAATAGTGTAAAAAGATAATTGAAAATGGTTGTTTTTAACTGGGTATTAGAACTTTCTATACTCCCTAGGTAGACATATTTGTTAATGAGCTAGAAAATTGTTCGTTTCACTAGTCTTGTGAGTAAAACTAAAAGCTTGAGCTAGAAAAACAACCTAATGTTCAATATGTTTGTACTAATAAAGCAAAATATTTGTTAATAAGTTAAATATGTGAATAAAAGTTAATATGTTTCTATTAAAGTAAAGAATTACCGAGTGTGAATTTGTTAATGGAGAAGTGTTTAAACTTAATTAGGAATTTGGATTTAAAACTGAGACATAAATATATTTAAAAATTTAGAGAGAATATTATTGGGTATAAGGTATATGGATTGGAACCGATGTTCCAGTATGATGTCTAATATGATATACATGTGTCGGTCTTCGTAAAGAAAAAGCAGGGAATTATGTGGCAAAAGTGTCGAGTGAATGCATGTACAGTATCTGAATTCTCAGAGATGCATTCATGGAGACACAAAGTCACAACCCTTACTGCTGATTGCCGGATATGATATTCATTGCTTTTTTAAAATATATATATATATTTTTATTCATATACTTTGATTAAAATTATTATTTTATTTTTACAATTTTATAATAAAAAATTACAGGTAAAGTTAATATAAGTTATTAAAGCAAAATTATAATGTTACAAAAAAGTCTACTTAGATCATTTTTGTAAAAGTTTGATAGAAACAATTCATGAAAGCTATAAAAAATCAATAAAGATGATTTTGGCACGTTTGTAATTGTTATAAAATATAAAATACTTGTGGATGTATTTTTATTTAATTTAGCATAGTGAAAGTAGTCATTAATTTGTGTTTGAATATATATTTGAATTATAGATTTAAGGTGTGTTTAAAAGAGAAGTAAATGGAAGAGAGTTGTCCTTGTTTGGAAGAAGATGGAGCCTATGGCAGCATTGGGGTGTGTGTGAAGGAAGTGTTGTCGTTACTCGCATTGTACCATTGTGAGCTTTTGGGCGTTTGCACCATATAAAGTTATAGCGTTTGGGTATGGCTTTCTTTGCTGTGGACCATATAAAGTTTATGCATTTAATGTTCTGCATTTCGTTCTGTAGCTTTCAGCTCTGAGAACAACACCACCCACCACCACCCCCTTCACATCTCTGTCAGATTTTCACCTGTTCTTTTCTTGATGTTCTGGGGTTTTGACACGTGGACCACCTGATTATTCCCACGTCATCACCCCTCCCAACTCAAACCTCGTATTGTTCATGTCAATACTCTATTTGCTGACTCTTCCTCTCAACTTTGACCATTCTCTTCCAACACCAACAAATAAATTATATTATTTACATCAATTTTTTTTATTATTATGTACGTCTACAAGACTACAACATTTCCACAAACAAAAGTAAAATATTTTTTGTTTTATTTTGAAAATGAAAGAAATATCATAAATCCTTTTTTTTTTTTAATTCCTGCAAAAAGGAAAAAGAGTGAGGACAGAAGAAGGTGATGAGTTCTTCAGTTTTTCTCATTTCTTCAACCGTATACTTACAAAAGTTATCCGTTGACAATAGACTATTTACTCACTTTTAAAAAAAAAACACTCTTAATTAAAAATTATTAAAATTTAAAATATAAAAAATAATAATTTAAGAATAAACAATATGAGACTTGCATATTTTTGTAATTTTTAACTAATAAAAAAATAACATTACTCTTAACCATATTATTAATCTCTTCTAAGTTCTAACTAAAGAACATAATTGCTTTTTTAATAAAAAAAAATCCTCTCACACATGTGTTTAATATTACGTTTTTTTAAATGTGTTTATAAGAAACTGTGTATAATAGTTTTTTATTAAATTTTATACAATATAATTATTTTTAATAAAAAATTCATAAAAATAATGTTAATATCCCATTTTTGTTTGAAATTAAACGTAAGAATTTATCGATCCCCTCGGTAATATTAATTTCTATTCTCGCAAACATTCATATAAGACCTTCAAACACTGACATTTACACGTGTGAAATTGCCAAAAAAATTAAAATACTTAGAAGCTTATAAAATTAAAATTTTTTTAATATAAACTTTTAAGATGGAAGATAAGTAACTTATAATATTAAAATTTTATTAAAATGTTTTTATTATATTTTTATAATTTTAATATAATAATTATATATTTTTTATAATTTTTTATTTTTAAATATTTAAACTTAATTTTAAAAACTGAGATTAATAAATTTTATAAAAAAACATTTTCAAAATATTACAAATTATTTTAAAAAATACTGTAAACTCTTAAAACAGTGTTGTAATAATTTTTATTTAAAAATGAGTTGGCTAAGAATGGTTAAATGTATGATTAAAGATTTGTAGATATATATGACACTTTAGTCTGAAGTTGTACTATTTTCCTAACTCTCTTTTTTAATAGGCATGTTCCTACATTCTTATCCGTTCACTAAACTATTAAAAAGTTATTTTTATTTATTTATTGAAAATTTAACATTCCAGAAATATTCTTATTATGCTTATACATCACTTAATAATTCCAAATAATAAAAAAATATTACTCTATAGTTAACAATTTTTTATAAATAATTTGACTATTAAACTAGTAAAGACACCTGTTTATAGTTTAGTAACTCAAACGTATTTAAAGTGAAAATAAAATGGTATCAATAAAATATATAATTTAATATTTTATAGTATGTTAAATAATAAAATTATTGAAAAATATTAAGTTAAGAACAAAAATTTAAAGAGTATAGAAAGATATTTTATAAGATGAAGACATTATAATAACTACTTAAATAATAGCATGAAGTTTTGTTTGTTTATCTGCAAAATGTATTGAAATAAGAAAATTATTTCAAATTTGGTACTAACTTAAAATAAAAAAACATTTTTTAAAAAAAAATTATATATTTCAAATATTTTTAAAATATATTTTAAAAAATAAAATAAAATGTATGTTAATAAATAGATTTAATTTTATTTTATTTAAAAAAACAGAGAACTAATAATTTCTAACTTTTTTACTACAAAATTTTCATGAATTAAAGCGAATAAGATTGAAATTTAACATCATAAGTTGAGTTAAAATAATTTTCATATTTCAATACACTTTTTACAATGTTAAAAAAAAAAAATTTAGTTAAAAATATAAGGTTATTTATTGTATTTTTAGGGGACATCAGTAACGAGTAAAAATGATATATAATGGGAAGTAGAGAGTATGGAACATGGTCCGTGGAAACTGTGGCAGAGGCATGCGTGGGTTCACTTTTGACGCAATCAAGGCCACACGGTTGGCCACTTGGACCCATCCCTTAAATAATTTACCTTCCGTTTTAGAATCCCATCAAAATGGCAAGTTTATTTAAAGCTTCAACACTGAACCACTTTGGAATTTGGAAACACCATTTGTACGGACACCATCTCTGTTCTGGGCCCTGTTCCATCATCATTAAGTATCCCTATTTTTTTTATAATTTCGATTCAATGCATGTGGAACAAAATTAACCCCCAAAATCACATAAAACACAAATTTGTTTTATGGTTTTACTATACTGTTTTTCCTCTCTGAAACCTTTTTTTTTTTTTATAATGTCTCTGAATACTTTTTAAATGGTACAACGCTATTATTAACTGCTCAGCAATATGGTTTGTTAGTTATTTTGGTTATTTAATTCATAAAAGTACTTTTTATACAAATTAAATAAAATATAGTGTACATTAAACACAAAAGCAACTTTTATATTTATTCATCAAATATGATGGCAGTGAGGACAAACAAGGAATTAGCGGAAGATGGAGAACTTGTATTCTTATTAAAATTTCAGGATAATACAATGAAAGGGTGCGTATAAAACTTAAGAGCCAACACGTCACTGACTAAGATTTGATTAGATTAATCATTAATGTAACATCTAGTTTAGTACTAGTAGTATCAAATTTGTGTAGAATACTATGACTCAATATCTTACCAATCACAATGATCCATTAATCCTAGTTTTCAATAACACTTCGATAGGCTCAATGATAATGATTAGGGGTGATTCGTCCTCTACCTAAACTTTTTCGTCGTTGATTTGTGGACATTATAGGTGTTGGTTGTGATCAAAACTACAAGTAAAACCAAATGAACATAAGCAAGAACAGTGCATTGTTCATACTATAATGTCTCATAATGTGACAAGAATTAAGGATTTCATCATTAGCCAACAAATGCCGGCCAAAGTTAATTTAATGTATATAACTCAATCACAATATATAAAATTGATACACTAAACGAGCAAAACTACCATTATAACAAGGTATTGAGTAACATTAAGAGCATAGATATCCCACTTAATTGTGATGCTGTTGGCATGAGAAACAAAGGTGGATTTTTTCGTTATGCAGATGGCATTGACAAG